AAAAAAAAAGTCATTGTTTGCTTTCGGAAATTTAAAAAAGTAAAGCCAAAACTATCAGAGCTTTCCCTACTCCTACTCTTAAATCATAAAGCTTGCGCTCACCATATCAACTGATTTGAAAGCGAAATATCTTTCCATCAAAAAAGATTTCTGTAAGCAAAATTAACTTTTTAGAAGTTTTTGATGCCCTAAAAAGTTGGTATCACCTCATAATTAATCACAAGTTAAACTCTTGCAGCGCCAGATAATGTAACCAAAACTGACATAAGTCACTGAACGTTCCATAACCATGAGGGTCTGATTCGAAGTGACACAAAAAACTGTCCAGTCAGGACCTCTTGTCATAGGTTATTTATTATTTGGATGCATTAAGTTATATTTGGAAGTATGGTCTTTTCTGAGAGCTCCCTGCCCTACCTTGAGTGTTTGTGGAACACCAAAGCATAAGCGTACATGAAAAGCCAAGGCAGGTAGAGCAGCAGCAAAGACTCCAGGGGTACAGAACATGACACCAGGAAGATTAGACATGGCGACTTAAACTTTAGTACCTGCTCATGTTGATTTTATAAAAGGAAGAGACAAGTCCAGCTTTACAAACAGTCAGTGGTTCAAAATTATAATCTGTTAGTTTGCTGCAACCATAAACTGAAGCAAACTATAAATTTCAAGTTTATGGTTTTGATAGCATATTCAAATTAGGCACCACCCTGCAGTCATAAAATGTGTGTTTCATGGGATCCCAAACTTTTATACTTATATATGCATTACATTTGCATTGTCAACTTTGCACTAAAGCTGTGTCCCAACTTTATACTACATACTGGCTCTATGCAGGTTTTTGCAAATGTAGCGTGTTTGCACTGGACAAAAACATAGGACATTATGTTCAAAGATGTCATACATACTAAATCTGCATGTCTTTATGGTGTGCTTTTAAGGGCAATTCAATGTACAAGTCAGATCTTTATTTTTTTTAGAGAGTTACCACAGCATTGTTTGAAAGTAGCTTTTGTAGATAATATGCACCAAATAACCAAAGGTTTTTTTTTTTTTTGTTGGTTTGTTTTTTATATGAACTCTGCTTATGATATCCGTACAATAGTTCAACTTGGCATTTCATTACATGGTGACGGAGTGGCTCCTAGCAGCTGCAAAAAAAAATAATGTAGTAGTACTTTTTTTTTTCCTTTTGTGAGATTTGATTTGCAGCATTAACCAGACTGCACAGTTGAACAGGTGTACATCAGTGTAAATACCAACCTGCTCTCCATAGGTACTAGTTAAGTAATGTTGACACTGTTTTCAAGTTAGTTGGTGAATCTTTAGCATCTCTGCACTGATATTTATCTGTACTGATACCTGTACAGATTACCTAATATATCAAAGTATCATATCTTTTGTACATTGTAATTATAAGTATGTTGTTAAGACTTGGGACACGGCTGACATATGCACACACAAACAAAACTACACAGTAGTTTTGAAAGTAAATAACCTTTTCTAGGAAAGGGTAAGAGATATTTCCATTCACACAGCAGAGACTTTTTTTCTTCCTTTAGGTATGAAGTACTTTGGTGATCTGACAAATTGCAATCATTTCAATGCAGGAGACAAAACGGAGGGAAAAATCTAGAAGGACAATAAAACAGTTACAAGGTTTATAACATATTTGAAAGCTTATAGTTTCCTTCCTAGAAGTATTCAGAGAGTTCAGGGATGAGAGAACAGATTGCATAAACTTTTATGTGGTTCTGTTATTTGGCCTTTTTTTTTTACTGCCAAATGTGGGTTACTTTATTTCAATTTTTGATAAAGAAATATGCTGTCATTTTGAAAGTACATAAAGACATGTTCACCGGATAGTTAGGTTATCCTTGTAGAAAGTATGTTAGTATGTTTTTTTGGACACAACTCAGTGTTAATGCATAATTACAAAAATTTACAAATGTCAAAACATACAAATAAAATGGAAAAAGTTCAGGCTTATTCAAAAGGAGTTTCGAAAACTATCTGCGAACTCCTAAAAAACAACCAGAATTCCTCAAATTCATACTAACCTGTGTCCAAATGATCAACTGCATGGTCAATATATGGTCCAGACCACATCCAGAATAAACTGAATTCAGCAGATACAGTTACAACAATTAGATTAATAATCTGATAATAAAAAATGTAAACTCTCCAAGATGAATGAATGAGAGAGTCGAGTTTTAGGGAGGATTGTAGTTCATTCCATTTGAATGGAGCGTAATGGCTGAGGCTAGGGCTGCCAATTTTAGTGCATGTAAATGGGATGTCTAAAGTTAGATAGTGAGGTAATCCAGAAGTTTCTTAAGCAGTGCTTTGTAGATGAATATCATCAGGCGAATATTTCTTCTGGACTGTAGGGAGGACTATCTAATGTTTTGGTGCAGTGAGCAGTGATGTGTATGCAAATTGTCATTCATGATAAATGTAGCACACCATGAAAGACCAGGTATAACTGTTAAAGGCTTGAGTAGGTAGCATGACAATAAAGTATATCACCATAACCGAGGACAGACATAAACAATGATTGTACAATGATTCTACGGTTAGAGGGGAACAGACAGCCTTTGATTCTGTATGTATCCAAGTTTGATTTTGAGTTTCTGGGTTAACTGTTGAATATGAGTTTTGAACGTTTAAGTGTTATCGAGCCACATGCCAAAGTAATCGTGAGAATCATGTCAGTGCCATTTAAGGTCTTGATGGCGGGGTATTCAGAGTCAGTATTAGTGGGAGCGGAGAAGACCATGTATTTGTTTTTTGTTTGTTTGTTTGTTTTCTGCATTTCAGATTAATCTATGGTTATGGAGAGATAAATGTAGGGAATTAAAAACAGTGTGCAGATGAGTCAGGACATTAAAGTAGTAGGCTTATATCATACATCTTACTCGATACACAACTGGCCTTGGTGACATTTTTCTGTGCTCTAATGTTGATTTATTTATTTATTTTTATTTTTTTTGTGGGTTTATTTTTTGGCATCGTAGCAGTCTGCGACATTAGAGAGAATTTCTTGACAAACTGTAAACCCTCAGCATGTCACACAGGAGTAACAGTGGCCTTCTTTCTATACAGTGACACACACCACATGGGCTAGGCAAAAGCTGAAGACATGACAGTAGGGCTATGCAAAAAGACGAACCCATTTCTCCATCATCTCTGTAGCTACAAATGCTGGTCTCTTCAGATTCAGGCTTCAGCATGATTGTGACCAAGTGTTTTGTAGGAAATGTGTAGACAAACAGATAATTTAGAAGTAAAGCAACTTAATACATTTATTTGCATGCAGAACATTTACAATGAACGACAAATGGCTCAAAATGGGGGGGAAGGGTTTTCTTATATCTACCAGGAGTACTTTCTTTTTCTTTCCAAAGACAGGAACACGTTTTTTCAGATGCATCACTTATTTTTAAAGACTTTGGTTTTGTTATGGCAAAAAAAAAGAAAGAAAAAAAAAAAGAAATCAACAAAGTACCTTTACCTTCTGTAACTATGCGGCCTCTGTATTGCATAATGTACCTGTGTTCAGGTCTGGACCTACCTGCCACCAATGTTATCAGTGATCCAATCTCTTTATCTGCAAACCATCAGCGGCATAGATGTGGCTTTTCCTTGACAAAATAAAAATGTTTGCATGTCTCAACAATGTATGTGCATGTAGAAAACTTAGTACTTTTAGATACATTTGTTTTCTTTCAGTTGATTTTTAATATTTGATATAAATTGTGGGGTTTACTGAAAAGAAAGATTTCTATTTAAACAGTATTGAATATTGTTGACAGTTCCCCGCTGTGCCGAACATTCCTTTCTTTGGGTTTTGGGATTTAGTGAAATGTTTGTTGCCTGATTTCATGTTTCTTGGCCAGACTTTGAAATCTGCAGTTGTTTCTACATTAAACATTTTGTATGAAGCAAAGCTCATTGAAATAAAAAAGAATAAAAAGAAACTCCCTCTCTCTTGATAATTGATTCCAGTGTTTAAGGGAGACTGAGCCACCCCCTGTTGCTTGGAAATGGTAAAAGAAATCGATAATGTGACCAAATATTTAGGAGATGGGCATCAATTCATGGAGTCTGTGAAGGTTAGAAGCACATAGGTAAAGGGGTTCGACATTTATTTCCAAAAAGTGAATTTAGTCTGTCATAAGTTTTATTAGAATTGTGTTCAGATCAAAAAAGATCATTTTAAATTTGTTTTATACATCAATTGTGATATCTATGAGCTTCATCATCAGGACAAAAACCTAGCAGTCCACCATTTTAGCTTAGAGGAGGTAGAAAGTCATAATAGTAGTTCTGGGGTAAGTTGAACCAGTGGCTCAACTGAGAAAGTAAAGGAGTCTGATGAGAGGATCAGAGTTTCAGCTCAGATTTTTGAAATGTGTTACTTTTTCTTTTCAAAAATACAGCTCGAATGGCGTATAATAAATAAAAATACACATGAATGTGAAGAAGTGACTGTTATTTAGGGAGAGAGAAGGTGAGGGAGGGCTGGGGTGGAGAGTGGGCAGGTAGTAGGAATACGTTTCAACTTACCCCATACATGGGGTAAGTTGACCATAGGAGACCACTTTTTTTGGCATGCTATATTATCAAGACAGTTATGTTTACACTCATTCTGTTGGTTTGTAGGGATGCACAACATCTTGAAATATATGCAGATACACTAGTGAGAGACAAAACTATGATTGCCTTGATGGAGTGATCCGAAATATGAAAAATGGCTCATCTCACCCCACTCTCCCCTACTGCTCACTAATCACATTAGTTATTATTGAGCAAGACTCTCAAAAGGACTCTACCTCTTCCTCATTCAGTAGACATGTACTAAGTTCTTTATCGTCATTATTTAGTATGAGTTAAAGATCTTACACGGGGTTTTGATAAAAAAAAAAATACCCTGACTTTAAATGAAGCTGTTTTTTTAGTTCATTTCATTGGAACAACCTCAGAGAGCAGAACTTCCGATATTTTGGAAGTCCCTAAACGCAGCATAGGTGAATGTGAAACCCGGGATATGTTGTTGTCAGTGAGCCTCATCACATCCTACTGTAAGCTACAAGTGGATGACAGCACGTTTTACAGCTTGCATGAAATAAGGAGCACCGGCTGTGTGATCATCGGTACCGGTGAAGTGTTTTAAACATGCAGAGACCCCCGAGGCTGTTTTGACGACGTTGAGCTGTGACTGCTGCTTCCCTCCTGGTGGTCGTGGACTGGTTGAACATCTGACGATTACAGTGGAGTCTTTACGAGGTAATGCCATTGAAATGTTTTAATTTTTATCATTATGATTATTTGATAACATTTAAATTTAGTTTAAACTATGTTTTCTTAAATGTCTTTGAATTATTAATTGATATTTCTTAAATCCACCTTATGGGTTCTGTTAGGCCTCAAGCCATGCCTCGGTCCTCAGCTGGGCTGTGAATCCGCCAAAACATCACGTCGAGCGGGGAAGTTGGCGTTGTCACCGCGGCGGGATTCCTCCCGAGGTTAGATCTTGTATTACGGTAGAATAAAGTCATTAAGCAATTAGTGACAGACATTATAATTTCTAAATGTGAAATATATTAAATTTCGACAGGCTTTACATATTAACATCCAGTTACATTCGGACTGTAGCGAATAACTATAGCAGCCTGTTGATTATCAATGATGTTAAAGCAGATGTGATGATGACACCCATAAACCTAGCCGTGCTAACCCTCCTAACGTTTTGTTGAAGATGTGTTACTCTGCATTAGATTTGTTGTGAGTAAGGTTACACTTGGTTAAGTACGCTTTCAGCCTTTCATTTTTTAAGCCAACTGTGTGAATGAAAGTGGATCCTCAACACCTGCAGTCCGTCTGATACAGGTCTTGGCTGTAGCCTGTAGCTTCTTGGTTTAAGCTTTCAGGTCATCTGTATTAATGTCAGGGGGTAATCTTGTATGAATGGATTTATTTCAAATGAGGCCATCTTTTGAAATAGTTTTGAACTGTGGTTACATTTCATATTTTTATTGTTGAGTGTATATATAACTCATTTCAAACACAGCTGAATCAAACAATGAAAAACTGAGCAGGCAACACAAATGCTATGTGACTTACTACAGAAAATCAAACTTAGTTTTCGGCTCTAAGTGGAGTGAAATCTTCCTCTCTGACATCTGGTATGTGATCCTAATATGTCATCATATCATAACCAAACATAAATCAATCAACCAGGCTTTCCTACATCCTGTACTTAAAGTCTACAGAGTGACAACCACACACTGTATTAAGAGGGTGAAACTTCAGCAGCTGTTCAAAATTATAGTTTTCAAATTAACCCCAGACGTAAACTGAAATAGGGGAGAGTGGGGTAAGATGAGTCATATTTTGGATCACTACATCAAGGCAATCCTAGTTTTGTCTCTAACGAGTGTATCTGCATATATTTTAAGATGTTGTGCATCTCTGCAAACCAACAGAAGGAGTATAAACATGACTGTCTTGATAATTTAGCATGCCAAAAAAAGTGGTCTCTTATTGTCAACTTACCCCGTGTAGGAGCGGGGTAAGTTGAGCCGTATCCCTACTACCTGCCCACTCTCCACCCCAGCCCTCATTCACCTTCTCTCTCCCTAGATAACAGTCACTTCTTCACATTCATGTGTATTTTTATCTATTATACGCTGTTATACACTTTCAAGAGTAAGAAATTTTTATTTTTATTTTTTTTAAATAAAAGTCTAACCCCTTCCCCCATTTGCCTCTTCTAACCTTTACAGACTCCATGAATTGATGCCCATCTTCTAAATACTTGGTCACATGATCAATTTCTTTTACCATTTCCCAGCAACAGGAGGTGGCTCAACTTACCATTTGGCTCAACTTACCCCACTCTTCCCTAAAGCTCTTTTGAAAGCTTATCTCAAACAAAAGACTGTCAGATGTCAGAGAGTAGCTCTGTGTGATGAAACAAACATGTAGAAAAGGTAACAGGATATGGTGCTTTACTAAATCAACAGCAGCTAACTTACTCTGGAAAGATTGTCTCCATGATTACAGGAAAATGCTATGGCATACCAGGACTGCCTACTACTCCTCCCTAATAGAAGAAAATAAAAAAATATCCCAGGTACCTTTTCAGCACTGTGGCTAGAATCACAGACAGTCAGAGCTCCATTGAGCCATGTATCCCTCTACCCCTTAACTGTGATGATTTTATGAGCTTCTTTAAAGAGGGGTTATTAGAAATTTTTTTCCAGACTTAGTGAAAGTGCAAAAATGTGAGACTTCACGCCTTTTGCTTTGAATGATGACAAACTGGAGCAAACCCAAAATCAATATTGGTATGTAGGCATGTTGAGTATGGACATGATAACCCCAGAGAATCCAGTGGACATTAAAAACACAGTTTCAGTCAGGCATTTGTAACTATTTTGTTCTTTAAGGAAAATAAAAAGAAGACATTTTTATAGCCTCCCATCACATACACATTTGGACCACATGGGACTAATTCAAACAAAACACACAACACAGAGACTCGAAAAAAGTGGATCACGATATCAAAAATAGGGTTTTACAATACCGAGTAGCCAAAAAGTAAAGAAATTCATCCAAAAGGGTAAAAGTGAGTTTTTCTTTAACTTGAAACCAACTATTTGGTTGTATTTGGTCTCCTGTGTCACCTCACCAGTCATCTCTGTCCTGCCCCTGACTAAAACATCTGTATGATGTGCCGTCTTCTTGCAGGGCTGAGTTACAGACATGCACCCACCACCTCGACATGACTACGTCTCTGTAAACTTTGCTGAAAAAGGAGGTGGAGGCTACAATAACAGTAAGCAGTGGAGGAGGCAGTCCTGCTGGAGGGTGAGTGAGTTGCATCATGATCTGTGACACGTCCTTTTTTATTTTTTTTTTACAGCGCTTTCATTTCCTACTCTGCTAATCCCTGATAAAGATAGAGACATTGCATTGGTCTGGTATCCTGCTTTTCCAGCACTAATACTTGCCAAAAGAAGATACTGTAGATCTGAGAAATGCATGTTTTTCTATAAAACCAAGCTATAAGTATGCCTTACAATTACAAAAAGTATTTCCCTCAGGACAGACAAGTTAAAGAATAAAAAGGAATTCAATACAACAGTTATTAGAACGGTGTTGCTCGACAGAAAGTCTTTAGCGAGAGGAAAATCCTCCAGTGATGTCCTGAGACTGCTGGTGGTGGTTGTGGTGGCTGATGACTTGCTGGGAATGGATGGATGATGAATGGTAATGATGATTCTGCGCAGACAAGGTTGAGATAGAAAAGAACAAGAGGCAGAGAAAAAAAAATCGTATTTAAAAACAGTTGACAATAAGGGTGTGCCGCTGTGCTAATAGATATAGAGGCTATTGTCGAACAGCTGGTTTACCAGTGACTGCCCTGAACAATGACTGCAGGAAGAGTGAGTGAGCATGAGAGAGGAAAAGAGACATAGGAAGCTGATTCTGCAGATATAGTTTTCCTGATTGAATTTACGCCAGAGCTGGAAAAAAAATGTGGCCTGGGTTGTTTGGACTTTTTACTGTTATTGCTGCAATTGCATCAGAAGAAAAGCTGGTGCTCGGTGCAGCAACATCGCAGGACTTCAAGACATCATCTGATTCAACAGCTGGTGTAGCTTAGAGAATTTAGTCCAGCTTTTTGAACCTTTGTCATCTCTGGATCCTCCACTTCAAGTCTCATATCTTTACATACTGTTTCCCACAATGTAAAATGGGACCAGCATGTATGGCATTAGTTTATCTACGCAGTGAGAAAAGGAGGCTCTAATATAATGACTGAAGAACAGCTCTGTGATGGTCTGTGACTCCCTTTTTTAAATTGTAGTGTGAAGGTTCACCAATATAATTATCAACCATTTTTTAGGTTTGAAGGTCTTTACAAACACCCTGTTTTGCCTATTCCTGGTTCTGTTTATTTTTATTGCATTAGGTGAAAAGATATACTCAAATAACTCAACTCTTTAGGTCAGTGTAGACAACTCCTACTGTACCCATTTTATCCAATTAATCCTGACAAAGAAGATACAAATGTTAGAATAATTTTGTATCCACATTCTTTGTTGCAGAAGTAAGTGTTGAGTAGATTCTTTCAAATGTACTGCATGATTAAAAATTGCTGAAATGTTAAAGGGGTTTCATAAAACTGTTTGTTATACCTGTGGTTTTGTAAAGAAGTATGTTTTCTTCAATATCTTCTCTCTCTCTTGTGTGCCTGCAGAAATGGAAGCAGCTTTCCAGATTGCAGCGGAGCCTTATCCTCTTCTTCCTCGTGCTTCTGTTCATTTGTGGAATTGCCATCTATCCTTCTGTTACTGAACACCTTAGGGGTAATGCTACCACACATCAAACATCTCATGTATTCTATTGGTCTACATTAACCAATTAACCACATGTTGTGATGCCTACTGAGAGATGGAGCCAACAGATTAACCCATGTTCAGAAATCATTTGGTCAGCCTGCCATCTTTTGATAATGTGACTGTAATACTTTTATACTAAAAGTATATGTTTGTGTGTATGTGTGTGTTTAGGCCTTACAGAGAGAGAGCAGGACACAGACAGTAACAGCATACTGAGGCCTGCTGTCCCTCATGTCCTGCCTGAGCCTGTTAAACAGGAACAACTACCACTGCCAGAACAAACCTCCCAGGTACTACATCTTTTTTTCAACTTTTTATAGAAACTGGGGCACCTACTTGCTGATTATTTTTTCAATTTGTTGTCAGAATTAATTAAGATTGACTCATTATGATAGGCCACAAGTTGAGAAGTATTGATTCAAAGTACAATTAAAGTGGTTATTGACATAGTGAGAAACAACTATTAACAGACACAGCACCACTCTGTGGGAAAACACCAACATTAATCATCACCATCACAACATCAGTGAACATCGTTTGAGTCTTTGAGACTTCTGTAATATAATTGAGCATAAATTCAAAAAATGAATAAAACAACCTTTAATTTGATCTCTCACATGAAAAATTCTTCTATACGAAAAGAACAGCTGCAGAAGCTTGTGTCACTGATTTGCAATCACAGACTCAATAAGTTATAAGTCACAATTTTCACTTGGCCAATACAGTATATCAAATAAACATAAGAGTCATAGAGTAGAGGAAATGAAAATAAAGTCACAGCTTCTGCATCGTCATGGATATTTCTTTGCACGGGCGTAATAGAGCTTGCAACAGGTGTGACTAAGATGTAAAACACTGAAGGCTTTATGTAAATCATCTTTCGTGTTTTAGAGCAGTGACCTGACTAGACATGCTGAGTGGATCAATTGCAAAAGATTACCCATTCTCACCTACAGTTTAACATTGTAGGAGATTTAGCTCTGCAAAGTTTAAAGAAACTGTTTTTTTTTACATTCACAGTTAACCAGATTAAGATGCATATTTCTGTTTGTGGTGATGGAATTTAAGATTTAACCCTGAGCACGTACAGTGCTGCTGCATAACAGTATCTAAGTTAAAGTAGTGATTTTTTCTTGAGCTTTAGTAAACAGAGAGTTTCACTTATGGTGGGAAAATAATGCTTGAAATGAAAAAGTAATTGATGAACTGAAAACTCTTGTTTATTTTTGTCATTTTCCACAGAGGAAATTATCCAACAAGAGAGGTCCACCCATCCTCCAGAATCGACTGCAGAGGAAAGGAAACAATTCAGACACAGGACTCAGGGAGAAGCCCGCTGACAAACGAAAAGATGGCGAGGAGGGGGTCATCAGGTAAGACAACCTAAAATAAATCTGCTTGTGCAGAATATATTGTATATTACTTTAACCCTTGGTGTCTTTCAGCTGGCACGGGGCAGTGATCGACACTGAGCAGGGCACAGAAGGAACTAAAGATGAAGAAAATAAAGAGGCCTCACCTGCCAACCAGAAGGCCAAACCAACAAAAGTATCAGGTACCGCCTGCTTTATTTCCAGATGTTTTTTTAGTCCAATTATCTATTTAAAATAAAATAAAAACATTGCTTTAAAGAGTGTGAGGGGTTTGCCTGTGATTTTGGTATCAATGGAACAGTTGTTTTGAATACACGGTCCATTGTTAAGTCTTAATGTCTTAATCACCTGGATAGATTTGGACTGAATAATAACAGGCCTCGTCTGTGTAAACTTTGTGTCCCAGGAGCCACCAGGCTGGAGGTGGTGCGAGAATCCTTCAGACATGCATGGAAAGGTTACAAAGACTTTGCTTGGGGCCACGATGAGCTCAGGCCCCTCTCAAAGTCCTACAGCGAGTGGTTTGGCTTGGGTCTGACTCTCATCGATGCACTGGATACCATGTGGATCCTTGGGCTCAAAGAAGGTAGACTAAATGCACCATATTTTTTGTCTGTTTTTAAATGTTTGGGATGACTGGTGGGCACAGAGATGAACTGGAAGAGATATGAGAGAAAAACAGCTGCACTTTGCCTTCAGATTACTTTATTTGCGTGCAGGTCAGAGTCGCTGCCAGTCGATTTTTGCCTTTAAACTTTGAACCTTTGCCTCGAGATTAGTTTGTGTAAATTAAATCCCTCTCTCAAGGTCTTTTTGTTATATACCGTTGATATGAGCACTGTGACAAGTGTTTAAGGAGACAAACCAGATCATAGATAAAACCATGTGTTATATTAATGACATACTTTCAAATTATCTTGGTTTAGTTTGTAAAAAAATAATTATTCTGTGTCAGTTCTGAATATTTTCTCTTCCTGTGTTGCAGAATTTGAGGAAGCCAAGAGCTGGGTGGCCACAGAGCTCACATTCAATAAAAATGTGGACGTGAACCTGTTTGAAAGCACCATCCGTATTCTGGGAGGCCTTCTGAGCACCTACCATCTGACTGGAGACACTGTGTTCCTCGAAAAAGCTGTGAGTCATCACATAATCACTTATTTAAAAAGGAACGATGCAAGCACAATGTGTGCACATCGTCTGACGGTTGAATACCAAAAGGTTGCAGTCTTATTATCCACACTTAAAAAGACAAATAACAATTAGTTGATAATTTGATTCATGGTTTTCTTGCCTTTTATTTACAAACACCGGCATGTGATCTTGATCCTCTCCCTCTGCAGAAAGACATCGGCTCCAGGTTGATGCCAGCCTTCAATACCCCATCAAAGATCCCCTACTCTGATGTGAACATCGGGAAAGGTACAGCCCATCCCCCTCGCTGGACCTCAGATAGCACTGTGGCTGAAGTAACAAGCATCCAGCTGGAGTTCAGAGAGCTCAGCCGCCTCACAGAGGAGCCACAGTACCAGGTAATGCACACTTGGATTCAACTACACTGATCCAAGGTCTGTTGAGAAAAAACTGAAACTCAGGTGGGAAGAAGCTTTCAAATCCACCAACCCATCTTTCAGGAATCTTCTAAAAGCTACAGGTAATTAGTGTTGTAACATATGGTGTGCTAGCACTACTAATGTGGCAACAGACCATGTAAACCTTGGATTTGATGAAATGAAAGCACTTGCTTTAAGACAAGACAGTGTTCTTCATGTTCTGTAAAGAATACTTGGAAATTGGTGGTACTGGCCAAATTTGGTATTGGATTGAATTGATTACTTCTGAAGTTCTTTTACAGGCAATGATGGCTTTGTCAAACTACTCTGAGTCAGTCAAATAAAATCGAACAAATCTGTTAAGTTTTACTCATCAGACCTGTGTTTTTCCCAGGCTGCCGTGGCTGAGGTCATGAACCAAATCCACAAACTGGACGGCAAGTTAGACGGTCTTGTGCCGATGTTCATCAATACAAACAGTGGACAGTTCACCCACCAAGGCATCTACACACTGGGGGCCAGAGCGGACAGCTACTACGAATACCTGCTGAAACAGTGGATACAAGGAGGCAAGAAGGAGGACCAGTGAGTCAGATTACAGATAATCAGTATTCACATTTACGTGAATGGATGAATTTCATCGTATGAAATTCATGGGGGTGTACTGATACAACTTTTCCAATACAATACCAATATTGTAGCCTTCAGTATTGTCCAATACTAATATTGATCTGATATTGGCACAAACTTATGCATGATAAGTTGAAATGAAAATTCTGCCACAGGGACAACATCACTCCTACTCCTTGGTACTTTGTTAGTACCTTAGTACACACTGTTGTTGTGATCACATGGGCTCTACATGCTGGATCAGGGTGCTGCTAGATAGAGGTGCTGGAGCGGAGTCTGGAATGGACTGCTTGTATCAGAGTGCTGATATCGGTTATTTTAGATGCAGGCCGATATAATTTTCTGTTGATATCAGACCGATATCCGATATCAGTATCGTATCGGGACACCCCAAAGCACTACACTATCAAATAACATCATAAATTTTTACAGATTTCACTTTGGATTCAATATTTAACATACCACTTTAAGTCTGCTGTACAAAGTATTGGCCCATGATCTCCCTGATGTTTATGGGTGATGTCAAGCTGAGATGAACATACAGCCACATGTTCCCCAAACTACTTTTATCAAACTTTTTCAATGATTGATTTGATGTAGCATGCCTGATCATCAGATGTCATAGCTTTCACCACACCTACCGGCTGTTTTGAATCAAATCAACCAACTTAGAATACAAATTGAAACGCTTTGATATCAGTGGACAGAGTTCAATCAAGTGTTGAAGTTAATCCGGTAGAATTGTTCTTGGCTGCGTTAGGGGGACTGACAGATTAATAAACAGGAACAACAGCCTCCTCCAGACACTCAGACATGCTCGTGGGCATGGCTTAGATTAAGCAGCTTTGAGTGTCTGAATTATTTGTGTCAAGTGTGTTATCTGTGTCACTTCTGGGTTCCGGCCTACATTAATACTTGGACAAATATGCCGCTGCACGTCTGTTCTGAGTAAAAAATACACATATTTATTCATGCTGTGTATTTCTACATATAGAATCAAAAATATCATCTTTAATGATTGGATGCAAATCTTCTTTAACCTTCCCACCAAGGGCTTTATTAAGTGTCACGCGTTTTTTAAGCATGCACTGATTACAGTGCTAGCTCTGCCTCTCTGCATAAATGACAGTGATTTGGTTTCATAATGAAAAGCAAACTCACTTCATTATCAATATTTATGATCAGTACATTGAGATGTAAATACTTGTGTTTGGGTATAAGGAAAAGTTATGTACAATTTAATGATTAATCAATGCACATTACAATCAAATATTCATGTTTATCTCTAGGGGTGTCCCGATAAAACCTTTTTACCTCTGATACGATACCAATATTGTAGCCTTCAGTATTGGCCAACACCAGTAAGGGATACGATATGGATATTGGATATTGGTTCGATATCAGCAAAAACAAATATCGGATTATATCAGCCTTCATCTAAAATCTACAATAACAGCACTCCAATATAAGTTGTCCATTCCAAATATCAATCTGATATTAGCCCCAACTTGTGCGTGACAAGTTTTGCACTCGGCTGTAACATCTTTTTCGGAGTTAAAATTCTGTCACACGGCCGACATCACTCCTTCTTCTTGCTACTTTGTTAGGACCTTAGTGCAAACTGTTGTTGTGATCACATGGGCTCTACATGCTGGATCTGGGCGCTGCTGGATAGAGGTGCTGGAGCGGAGTCTGGAATGGACTGCTTGTATGGGAGTGCCGATATCAGAGATTTTAGACGTAGGCCGATATAATCCGATATTTGATTTTTTTTGCTGATATCGGACCAATATCTGATATCAGTATCGGATTGGGACATGCCTATTTATCTATGTTGTCAAATGGAAAAAACAATGGTTACATCATTGTGAGTGCCAATGCTGATGTGATGTGGGTTATTTTAAAATGTCATTAATCTGCATTAGTCTATCCGTAAAACAAACCAACACTCAAAGTATTTCTCCTTTCACAAGTAAAAGGAGGTCTGAATGTTTGGTATTACATTGCAGCAGTAAAACATTGTTCTATTTGTGTCTGTCTTTAGGTTCCTAGAAGACTATCTGCAAGCAATTGGAGGTGTAAAGAAGAACCTGTTACAGAAGTCTTCTCCAAACGGCCTCACTTTTGTCGGAGAGCTCTCTCATGGACAATTCAGTCCTAAAATGGTTAGTTATATAAAAAACCTTCTTTGTTTAAGTTTTGCTTCCTCTTTCACACTGCAAACTACTTTTAAATTGTGAGTTTCTGTCAAGGTCAGTTGGCATGAACAGTGTTGATAAGTGTGTTCAAGTTATTTCCATTTCGAAAAAGATTGCAGTGTTGGTCAGAGTTGCTTAGTCTGGTTACATATGCACAGGTCTATCACATGTACACATAATGCCCAGTTTGGTATATTTTACACTTTGAGATCCACAGTATCCAAGCCAGCAAATCAACTCTTCTATTTTTAAAGTAATAACTCAGGTCAGGTTGGGGGACAAGAATACCTCTGTTAACAGTGTTGGTTTGTTTCAGGACCACCTGGTGTGCTTCTTGCCAGGCACTCTGGCCCTTGGTGCTCATCACGGCCTCCCTTCTGATCACATGGACCTGGCCAAACAGCTGATGGAGAGCTGTTACCAGATGTATGTCCAGATGGAGACAGGCCTCAGTCCGGAGATCGTTCATTTCAACATGTATGAGGGCAGCACCAGGGACATCGACGTAAAGGTAGACTGTGCCTGCTAATAATTATACAGGAGTGTCCTTTAAAAGCTTGAATCATGTATCTAAATGCAGGAGCAGAAAAGTAAACATGACCAAAGTTGCCCTCTGATCACCCTGGTTCTCAGAAAAAAAGTCAGGGGAAATGACTTTGAATAAAGCGGGTTTGCCGGAAAATCCGACACAGCTCCTAATTTCTTGTTTTTTCAGTGCTATGTTTTCTGTGACAGCTGGCAGACAGACACAACCTCCTGAGACCAGAGACTGTGGAGAGCCTTTTCTACCTGTACAGATTCACCAAGGACCCAAAGTACCAGGACTGGGGATGGGAGATCCTCCAAAACTTCAATAAGTACACGAAGGTCAGTCAAGTCATACTTCAGCATGATTCTTAATGGTCCCAACTAGGGCTGGGCGATAAAACGATAACAATATATATCAAAAAATAATTTCCCTTAATATCGATATCAAACATGGTCAATATGCTTTTCGATATTCTGCATTCTGCCATGTTTTGGTAGACTATACGAATAGCCAATGAAAAGGGGAGTTGCTCCGGGTCCGCTTCACGCTGAACCAATCATGTGCTGAATTAGAACCAAGTAGCAAACAACTGCTTAGTAGCAGACTGTAACTACACGCAACCATAGCACTTGAACACGTGAAGCCGACAGCACTGTCGGTGAGAAAAAAGAAAATGAGTGGTACCCCCGGCAGAAATGCAGATGAAGGCTCAACAGGTGATGATGTCGTCAACAACACTGGCACGAAAATGTCTAAGGTGGGGAGGTATTTTGGTTTTTTTGAGGTCGGACATGAAGCAGAGTAATGTGCACTGCAAATTATGTTGAGTACATGTTCTTGCAAAGTCGTTATATATCGTGATATATATGATATCGACTGATATGAAAGTCCTAGTCCCAACCTAAATTTATCAGAATGGTGAGTGGTGAGAATGAGTGGTGATGGCATTTCTACAGCAGGCTTTATTAACCTGACACGTACTTCATGGCGCTGGTTTGAGGCTTCAATGTTGAATGATTTAATGATAGAAATGATCGTGTTGGTGATGGTATATTTTGCTTTTGTGGTTTATTGATATCTATTTGAATCTGTTTCATAATCAGTTAAAAAAAGGTCCTTACAGGGGCTTTAAAATGATTCTCAGTGTCATAGAGTCAAGGCTCACTCCTTTAAGGATTAAGGCTGATCTAATAAACTTTTTGTCCTCTGAAGTGAACGTGTGTGTGTGTCTTTTCTCTCAGGTTTCCTCTGGGGGCTACACCTCTATCAATAACGTGCGAGACCCAGACTACCCGAGTCCTCGAGACAAGATGGAGAGCTTCTTCCTGGGAGAGACACTGAAGTACTTGTACCTGCTCTTCTACGATGACCCAAACTTCATCAGCCTGGACCAGTATGTCTTCAACACTGAGGCTCACCCCCTGCCTATATGGGCTGCCACCTCATAACGCAAACACAAACACACACAAATACACACAGAAAGTCAAAAAAAGCGCAGATATGGACATTCCAAACATCTCAGGGACGTTCTGACAACAAGATGATTCCTGTTTCAGTAACAGGAATTCAAAAAAGAACAATGAACATGGAACACACAAAGAGGAAGCCTCCGTTTTCTAATTGAATAAGATATTAGCTAAATACAAACAGCCATGGAGAAAACTAAAGCTTAAGTCAGTCTGGCCGAGCCTTTTTTTTTGTCAACCTGACCAGTCGTGGACTCCTGATAGTGACAGAAGTTCATGCTGTAGAAGCTTTTCGTCATCCAGACCACTAATTCAGCAAAAACCTGATCGTGACTTGAATCAAAGATGTCTTAACCGCATTTTAACAGAAAGAGGAGGACCGCCGGGTAGAACTGAAACATTTAAGTCTGAAGCTGCTTGTAGCTTTCATTTCAGTCACAGTCGTGAACATTTGTTTCTTATAGTAGTAACGTTCGTTTTTTGTCAGAAAACCTTTAAGAAACTTTGAATGCCCTGCTTCATTTTCTTTTTATTATAATGGAAATAGTTTCGTAAGCAGCATTACGAAGGAAAGCCTGCACCTAATGGTGGAAATGGGTAGAAAAACACACACTTGAGGACAGTGTTCAGGGAAATCTACTCACTGTTTTTCTAAATGGACAAATTGGATCACGCCACAGTGCAACAAACCCAGCAGCAGTCATAACAGCCACTATCAGTAGCATTAGAGATAGCTCTTTGCCAGCACTTCAATGTCATTGTCTTGTCATCTGGAACAACTGACAGGGAGGCTGGAAGCTGTAGTTCAACCTGTCAAAACTGGAGGTGATTGTTTCATTTTACATGTTCTGAATGCTGCTGTGTCGCCTTTTGACCACGTAAAGTAACAGGGGATTCAGGGCTGTGATGTTATTGTAAGTGTGACAAGCCTATTAGAGCGGCATGGTTTATGGTTTAACCTTGGCGTTCGTCACATGGTTGGCATTGTTGAATAAGTGATTCAAAACACACTGTGCTGCTACTCTGAATGTCCTGATCATTTCTTGACTGTGGACGACTGCACAGACATATTAGTCACACCAAGTGCGAGTAAAACCATCTACTCACTGAACTCGTGAATTGTGCATATTTACCTGCTTAATCTGAAAGAATATTTTGATTGATGCGCGTGTTTGTATCACGTCTGCAGAGTGCCCTAAAACACGTGTGATTAGGGAAGAGGAGAGAAAGAGAGGAGGAGTTCCCACATGTCATGTCAATCTGTTTACATAGAAAATAGCAGAGGTTGACCACGCTGTGAGGATTGGTTGATTTCAAATAACTTACCAGATAATCAGACCTCCTCACTCTTTTTCCTCCGGTTGAGCTCTTTTTTTTTACTCCTGCCTTAACCCCAATTTCCACAGCATCCGGAGCAGCTACGAAAACGCCGTATCCACCGACAGCAGCTGATGGTAACCGTTCAAGTTAAAGTGTCAATTTCCACCGACTTTATTCTGTTCCGCTGCGGATCGCAAGAATTCTATTTTTTCCGGACGCCAGAACATGCTGGATAAATTCATCACAGATTAACCCGTGCTGGAAAGGAAGTCGGGCACAGACACAAAATAAAACATCTGGCTACTTTTCAAAATAAAACACAGCGTATTTCAGGTGGATCGTATTTCACACTCTGCAAACAGGCGGGGCAAACAAGTGAAAAGTTTTTTTGACAGCATTTCACCCAGATCACACCATGTATGAGAAGATGCTAATTGTAGAAGTCTAGAGGTGGATTTCCTCCTCTGGAAGAACACAATCTACTGCTTGTATGGTTAGTCTCTGTGGCTGTCTTTATAGAAACAACTCGATATCGCGTGATTGCACGTAAATTTGCGCGTTCTTGTGAGTTCTCGCGATTACCGCTGTCTGTAATCCGCCACGAAATTCTCCTCACCAATGGATCCAGTAGGAATTGGCGGACAGTGAAAATCGCAGCTGATCCGTATCGGAGTTCCGGATGTGGTGAAAACTGGGGGTTAGTTATCTTGACGTGAACATTCGCTTGAGTTAAGATATTTCAACTTTAGCGAATTTGCCCAATTCATGTCTTTCTCGTGAATGACTTGCTCAACTCTCCCAAAAAGTCCACTTAATTCAATTCGCGCTGCACAATTCGTGTCATTCACCCTGTCTGAGTCGAACAAGCGTCTAATCGTGTCTTTGTGTGTAATTCACCTGTGCAAATGATTTTACTTGCACATGGTGTGACCGCCCCATAAAAGATTTGAGCCCAAAAAAGTATCCCAAAAAGTTTATTATTATTATTACGAAAATTGGGGCTTCGTGAAAACTCAACAGATTGCTCTATAGTCAGAATATTGAACCGTCAATGGAATAAGGGATGCCCTGATACTGATCCCACCTGTCAAATTGGAGCCATTATCAGCATTATGTAACTGATCAGGGATTAGCAATCCAGGCAATCTTCAGATGTCGTGAACTCAGCACAATTCATGGTGCAGAACACACACTGGACTAACTTAGCATTAGCAACTTTGTGGCTAATATGTCAGCAGTTTGGACATTTTGTAAAGTAGAAGGTGAAAATGACCCCAACAGCCACTTGAAATACATACATAACCCTTGTTTGGCGAGTCAATAGCAATCATCCTGTGTTCAACACAATTAGTTTGATATGAAACATTACAGAGACGATGGTTTAATTCATCACTTTCAACAGCCAGCCTATCTGCCCCATAGAGAATGTCCTGCCATCATAATAAAGCACAAAGTAAATTTATTTATTTATTGGTGAGACTGTATTTTAAAGTTAGACTGAGATATACCATTTTGTGACTGAGTAGAATAAATTCACTCATGAGTTTTGGCGGGACTAAGTTAATCAGAATAAGGTAGGGAAACCTTTATTGAGCTTTCTGCTTTCTCAGTAAACTTCACAGGTAGGAACAGAAGGTGAGCTTTGGTTCTGGAAAGATACGACCATGAGGCTGAAGATTATGCGTATATTTGACCATATTTAAGAAACGGTTGAAGGCAAATAGAAAAAACAAAAGTTTATTTGCCAGGTTTAAAACAAAATGAAGCTTTTTTTTTTTTTCATTTTACCATGCACAGAGATTGCAGTGTTAGTTTTTTTCCCCCAAAATCACGCAGCTCTGTAAGCTTGGAGAAGACTAAACGGTTTTGTTGCACCAACTCCTCGACCGCTGTGCTGGCATGTTTGCCCCTCCAGGTGGCAGTCACACCATGTGTAATACAGTCGGATTACCATTATCTTCAGAAAATGTAACTGAAGTGTCCTGACGGGCTGTGAACAAATCCCCCAGTCAGTGTTTGGCTGTTTCTTCATGCTGTGTTCATGTCATATGGGAAATGTGGCTTTTCTGCATGAAAGCCCTCCTTTAGGAACTGTGATGGAGACCTCTAACTAGACAGATTAAATGAGTTTAAAAATGAATCAGTTAGAGGGGCAGCCCTTGGCTTGAACCACTGTAGCCACAATGGTCAACATAAAGAGGAGTTAAAGGGTCAGTCCGCAAAGATAGAGAGGACGTTCAAACTATAAATAGTTGTGCCAAATACAGAGAAATAATAACTCAAAGGAAAGTAACTTGTCATTTTGACCTCATCCAGAGAAATTACAATCAAAACACAGTCATTTTTACCTCATTCAACCTCATGTCTGATATTTATCCTCATCATGATTGCCTTAAGGCTCTTCAAAGCCTGTTGACTACAGTTCCTATGTTACACATCACAGCATATACATGTGAGGAAATCTAATGAGCAGGTTGAAAAATGTATTTCTGTTCATGGTAATGCGCCAAACTTTTAGATGACAGTGATGTGGGTTTCTTTGACCTGCAATAAATTTGAATTTGACATCTGTCTGATAAACTTGTGCATTTATGGCAGATAAAGCCGTTTTTTCCCACATGACATGAATACAGCATCAGTGATTTACCTGGGGCCAAGGTGACGTCGATTTTGCCGCCTGGCATTAGATTTTCCTCTAAACTGTGAAGCTTTGTAATTTTCTGTGGAGCATTGTGGCTCCTTTTTTTGAATGTTCAGCTTCTTTCTTCTTTTGTAAATTTTTCTTGGTAAGGTGTAGCATATCTTTGCTTTTCCCTAAAAGTGATTATTTGGGAAATTTGATCGTTGATTTCATGTAATATATTGATTATTGTGTATATTTAAAGGTATAATTGCAGCTATCTGAAGCTCTCCTTGAGCATATGGTTTAGTTTTCCGTAGTAGCAGCAGCAGCTTTGGAGCAGCTGCAGTCATTCCTGTAAATATTATTCCTTTACTCGAATCTTAGTTATTAATTCTAAATCCTTATAAATTGTATGAAGACCAAACTTGTTAATATTATTTTCTTGGTGTTGTCTCACTTGTGCCTTTACTGTTGCTTTAGACAACATCCAAAAGACAACCGTTAGCTTCATTTCTTTCCATTTGACCTGTCTTTGTGTAATTGCACATAAAATACAATGTAATATGGAAGCCCATTCCTGCAAAAAGCAAAAAAAACAACTTGATAATCAAAACAGAAAACATAGATCTGAAGTTGTGATGGAAATTATGACGGACAAATGAAAACAATGCAAAAAAATAATTGGATAATTTCTTATTATGACATGGTCAGTTTTATTAAATTCAAAAGTGAAACTACGGGAAAGAAAGTCATAATAATGAGATCAATTGTAAAAAAACAAAAAACAAAAGATCATTTAAAAATGACTGAAAGTAATTATTTGGGACACAAAGTCCAGATAGTGGGCTAAAATATCTGTAATGCGAACTATAATGGTTATAATTAGTTCAGAAGAGCCTAGAATATAAGCTACAAAATCAAAATTGAGTGCCTGTAAGGACAAACTATGAGCTATAAAATCTAAAATCAAGTTAAAACTGTAAAAATATGAGCCAGACCATCAACAATAAGCTATATGATCCAATGTATGAGTTTGAAAGTCAAAGTTGTGACATTAAAAGCCATGATATGAGCTAAAACGTCTACTCTGAGTTACAAAGCCTTAAGTGTAAGCTACAAGAAAATTTTTGAAAAATTAAAAAAAATAAATAAATACATTAAAACAATTAAATAAAAAGATCTGGTACTTTTACTTTTCATCTCATTATTGTGACTGCTTTTTTTTTTGTTTTTTGGCAGTAATGGGCTTCCACAGTATGAGTATTACCACTGCAGAAGAGAGTATTTTTCCATTTATGTGACAAAAAAATTGATATATTTATATCAGTCCTTTTAACATCTATCATTAGCTTTACAGAATATCCATCTTTACCAGTGTGTATTTTTAAATCTTGATTATAAGGGCTCTATTGATCCCTCCCTGGATGTATTTCAGCATCACTACCGAGCCAAAGACACACTGAGAATCCAATTTGACCCTGCTGTTTAAATTGTTTGGGATTTTAAAAATTTAAAGCCATTTTTCCAAAGGCACCTTTTTCAGATTTAAAAAAAATAATAAAACTAGAAGGAGATATTTTTAGTGCTTTTGATAACACTTTGGAATGTGTGGGTTTGGAGTGTGGTGTTAATATTTTAGGATTAAAGTCATGGAGGATGAAGCAGGAAATCGCACCTCTGGATTTGGGTTTTTTTTTTCCTTTGTGTTCTCAAAAATTGTATTTTTTCCACAAAAGTTTATTGAAAGTAGCATCACCTGGATATCTGTCATAATGCATCCTCCTGTGGACCATATTAGAAGGAGACACACTACTGCAATGAAGGTTTACAGCTTATCATGAAGAGTGAGCGGCCTGTGCAGTCATGTGTGGGAGCACCCAGAAGTCATCCGTTTACAGGAGTTATGGGGACTACCTTTTTTTTTTTTTTTGGTCTCTCTTGGATACATACACTGCCATTTCCTATCATCTTGGAGTTACAATAACCTGTAGTTAGAGCGGTGTGGCTTCTTAACACGGTTTACTCTTTATAAACATTCATGAGGGCTAAGAGAAGACATCGGAGATTCAGCTGCAGTTACGTCATAACCAATGTATTAAAAGGTTTCAGATTCTCTGTAGATAAAGTTTGCAGGTTTACTCAAGCCACAGTGGGGTCAGCGGGTGTCAGTGTTTTTTATTTCAAGCTGTGTATAACAGGATGTCCATGTCATCTGGTGTATAATTGGCTTTATTTTGTAAAAAAATTAAAAAAATGTACAAATAAAAACAGATTTTATTGAAACGTGTCGGTCATTGAGTCATGAAATAGTGATCTGCTTTGTCCAGATATCTGGGGTTAGGGCGACGATAAAAAAGCTAGTACAGCCAAAAATTCAGTGAGCTAAACTGTTTCAATACATATCAGAGATGGTAATGAGTAGGAAAAGTTATGTGACTGGTATCAACATTTATCTTAAGTTCTGAGGTTTTCAAATTTTTTTTTTTTTGCCTGAATTCGAAAAAGGACAACTCTACAGAACACAATGAGGGCCACTGGGAAAAAAAGAAGTCCAATATATATATATTTTTAATTATTATTGTGAGTTTAAAGTCAGAATTAGGACTTTTTTTTTTCTTCTGAATTTAAAAAATATATATATTTGACTTTTTTTTTTTTTTTTTTTTTTTTTACAGTGGCCCTAATCCTCTTCCGTACAATTCAGATTTTTAGAATAAAAAATAAAGCTAAAAGATCCTTCTTGGAAATTTGAAAAGGGCCACAGGGGCTACTGTGTGTACATTATGATGAGATTCTTCAGAGATTTCAAACAAACAATTAATACTATTAGCATTATGATATAATATAGAAGGAGCACACCTACAACAAACATCCTTTTTCAAACATTTATTTACATTAAAAAAAAGAAAATTGGGGGTGGTTTTCCTAGTTTGTAGTCAAACAGCAGCTTTGAAAATGTGATGAAATTAAAGGGAAAAAAAACAATTTTTCCAGTTGCGAGTTGAATTAGTTTTAAATTTCCTCAGCTGTAGCAGCTCTTTTTCTGACACTGGACTCAAACACACACACAGAAAGCATGCAATCATAATATACATGCATCAGGCTCTTTCTGCCTCCAACAGCACATGTGCAAAGGACTCCTGTGTCAGTCACCTCAGGAATTACATATGATTTGGCACAAAACAAATTTATTTATGAGCAGAAAGTCCTAAAAAATGATTTATGGTTTCTTTCTTAACCTGATCCTCTCATTGTACACCCACTGTGCGATGAGGTCTGCTTCGGCCCTCCTTGCGATGATGACTGACACTGGATCTGCATCGTTGGACCCTCTGAAGAAGGAGAAGAAGAAGAAAAACAGAGAATTGTTAGGGTTTCCCTCCTGTTAGCCTTAGAGATTAAAAACAAGAGCACCGTGCTTTACCTCAGATCCAGGTGATGGGCTCCTCCAGAGATGTTGAGAGCTACTAGTGACGGGCTTATGGACTGACGTACCTGAATGACAGAGGTCTGAATGAGTCACACTGTAATAGGGGACTTAAGTTACTCATGTGTTATTCTGTGTGATCTCTTACCCCTCCATTCGCCCATGGGTCCAGATTCCCATTAGAGAAAATAATGTTGCTGCTTGAGGAGAGTTCTGAAAACAAAAAAAAGGACATAAAAAACAAAATACTGGTGTACAAACAGAAAACATGTCTGGTGTGTGTGATTAGATGACTGAGTGAACTTTCACACATTTGTGGTCCTGACTAGCTGCTTAATATTTGGATTCAAGTATCAAATCTCTTCAATTTCATATCCTAATACCACCTGTAAATATTTAAGAATGATCAAATGAGTCTGCTGGTGTTGTTTTGACTTACGGTCACCAAAGAACTGGGTTTTCAGCCAGTTTGGTCGAGGCACTACACCCCAGCGTCTTAAGCAGTACTGCTCCCGGCTTTTCTCTGTGAAACTCAGAGGAGGGAACATGTCGGTCACGTTGTTGCTCTCGTAGCATAGGCTGATCTCTGTGCATGCCTGCGAACACAACAAGGGAAGAGTTCTTAAGCAGCACCAAACATACATGGTATATTTTTAAAATCACATCTATCAAAACTGCTATTTTGTAAAAATAGACTCACACTACCATTTACTTAAATCGGGACTGGACCAATACTTGAAAATATCATCTTTAAGTAGAATAAACTGCAATCATCAAATTCATCCTAAAATATCTGATTAAGACATGATAGTCTGCAGCTTCTAGCTAAAAAAAATCTGTATGTAGAAATATGTCAATAAAAAAAGGTATGGATTAATAGTGCTTAAGTGCTTACCTGAAATCATCCTATCAGATCTGTATAACACATATAGTATTCTGCTGTGTGTTGCTGATTGAAGGAGTACCTGGTAGTCCCAGGCCAGACTGTCATAGCCCAGTCCACAGCCAGTCGGATCAGCACACTCCATAAATAGGCCGTAAATGTCCAAACAGGTCAGCGTGCCTGTGGTGTTGTACACGATCCCTACGAGACAAAATCAAAACTACCCTTATTTATGATCTGTGAGTGGTTCATTGTGTTGAGAATATAGATTTAAAAAGATATGGTATTACTTTAACCTGACACAGATTTTGAGGGAAAACTTGTTCTAAAAAATGGAAACCTACATTCCCCTAAAACTCTTAGGAGTAATGAATAATTACTAAAAAATGGAAATAAACTATTTCTGTTAAAAGTAATTAAGTCACTCAACTTGAAAATAGAAGAGGTAAAATTATACAAACACTAAGCTTGAAAAACAAATCGGATTAAATCAGCCTGTTTCATTTGGTTCTTCATTCCCTGTATCCTTTATTTTTTGGACGAGTGAATAAGCAGCAATGTCACCAACTAATAACAACTAAACTGTTATAAACTGTAGGGTCTTCATGATGGTCAAAGTCAGCTGGTAAAAGATGAATCGTGTGTTTTCAGCTGAACAGAGTGTTTGTGTTTTATTAGTGGGTTTGTTATTCTTGCCTTTAGAAACTGGTGTCCAGAAATGACTCGAAAATATTATTTAAATAACAAAAATTGAGAAGCCGACACAAAAAACAGGTAATATTTAGTTACTCATAAAGCACTGTTAAGAAGGTTTCTGGTCAACCAACAGTTATCAAAGGCAAACACTGCCCTCTGCTGTCTGATCATATAAACTACATCTGATCTTGTACAAGTCTCCTTTAGCGTTTGTTTACCTGCTGTGTTCCTGAGGTTAGCCAGGATGTCTGATCCCCTCAGCATGGTTTCACAGGCGACCTGAAACAAACAGGTAGATCTTATCAGACTCAGACACCCAAGTTATTAACAGCATCTGTATTTGTAACTGTGATGCACAAAGTCTTTTTTATCTTTGTGTATACTCTGAGGACTTGACTGTCATGTTTATATCACAACAATGTAATTGTCCCTCTTATGTGGTAAGCTACTAACCATCCTGCAAAATAACAGTTTATTGGAAAAGCTGTATTAACTAAAGAACAAAAAAAAGATTTTGATCATCTACTCTTTTTTTTTTTTTTTAAATTCTTAACAAACGGAGAGTTTATTTACCTGTCTACCTATTTTAGAGAGTAAATAGCTATCCTATCCTATCAAACTACATCCACAAAAACAAAATTCAATCAGGACCACTTTAGTCAATAAGAAAAACATTTACATGGGATATTTGGATCATGCATATTTATATCTGGCAGTATGGCTCTATTCTGAGAGCTCCCAGCACAAGCCAATGGACACTGGTGCAAAAGGACACTTAAAACAAACACTTTGTATATCTACAAAGTTGGTTTGCTGAATATATTTTTTTCCCAGAGCAGTTTCAGATGATATGAGTTACCTTGACTGGGTTTGCGGGCATCTTCCCCATGAAGTATGTGCTGTAGGGGTAATCCAGCATGGCCATCAGGGTGAAAGCATTCCTCAGCAGCAAGTACAGCTGTCTAATGTCCACCTCAGATGTTGGAACCTTACAGAGCAGGAACTCAGACTGGATATGACTGTAAACTGAATACAAACAAACAGTGATGGATTCACATCAAATAACTAAGGAAATGTCCATGCAGAGTAACTGTACTTGTCACACAAAAATCTACAGAAAATCAACGGTGCAGGAAATTCTCTAGGAAATTACTCGTCAAGGATTTCTCATCTTTGCTTGTATGATAAGTATCATAATCTCATTGTACAAAGTTACCTCTGTTATCAGCTAATTCTTTTAACTGATGGAAGGCATTTCTCACAGCCGCTGTGCATTCAGGGGCGACTTTCTCAAAATCCTTTAAAAAGAGAAACATGTTTAAAATTAAGGGTTTGGTATGGGCATGCAGAGATTGAGCTTATATATGCATACAAGCAGAAAGAAATAAAGTTTCAGTTTGCAAGATTAAAAAACTAGGGCTGTTTTGTGTAGATGGTTTATAACAGGACAGAAGGATTTTGTACTGACTGTTTATAGGAAGTAGAAGAGATGCCCGAGGAAAGAGAATTTCAATTAGTGGCAGGAACTGCTGTTTGACTCACAAACTGATCAAATCAGATCCAATTTATCGTTTGCAATAAGCAAATGAGTGCAGGATTTTGTGCAACATCTACAGTACAAGGTATCAATAAAATATTATGATAATCTGAAGAAATCCTGGTGCATAAATTAAAGAGATAAAAACCAATACTGGACGTCCGTAATCCCTGCGCTCTCTGGCCCACTGCCTTAAAAACAGACACGACTCTTTGCTGCAAAATTCCATTGGCCATGAACTCACAAATCTAAATAGAAAGCAATAAGAGAGGATATGCAAACAGCCAGACTCCTTTAAAAAAAACTGTCAAATAGGAGCACAAGCTCCACTTTGAACTCACATTTGTAACATCTCTGAAGAATTGTGCAGGGTCTCCCATCCCAGCTGTGGACTTGATGGGGGCGCTGGCAGCCAGAGCTCCTGCCACAATGTTTGGATACTTCAGTCTCATGTAGACAGACAGCATCCCGCCATAACTGAAAAGAGATTTCAAATATATCTTTATATCTTTCTGTCAATCTACACACACATACATATGTTACGTCACATTCAAAGTCACCAAATTCTACAAAAATCAACATGCAGAGGTACAGCTCATGGACAAATATGAACCCAAAAGGAAACCAGATCTGTCAAAAAAACTATGTGACTGGTTTTGAGTCTAGTCCTCAGTCTGGTGATGGATAGCAGAAGTTAAAAAAAAGTTATCTAAAATTTTTGAATATGAGTGTCAAGTGAGGTTAGTTGGTGCACATCCATCCACAGTTCATGGAAGTGACTGTTTGACTCGGCCTAGCTTCGCTCTTACTACCAAGTCTTAACTATAAATCCAAGAATATTACTAAATACCTCCTTGATGATTAGAATTACTTAAGGATTTAATGGAAAAAGGCAGATTAATGCTGTGCATGATTTGGGTCATGTGACTTTTATACAGGCTACCAAATAACTCAGTCAACCAAGTAAACTGCTTTGTCCATCCATACCCTACAAAACTTCCTGCTAGAAGTTACGATTTGCTGAACGATTTTTAGGAGAGTAGATTCAACAACATATGATACTGTTGGAGATTATCTGCAAGGGCATTTCTGACTTTAAAGCTACATTTATTTAAAACTAATAAATTAACAGCCAAGGTTGGTTGACAGCAATATCAAGACACAAATGACAAACAAATGGAGATATCAGCATAGTACATTTGACTCTGCCCTGACTCATTCTCTGTTAGATCTTGTGCAATACCTGGAACTCTTTTTGCTGAGTTTTAGCTGCTGATAAAACATTTTATTTTATCTCTACTTTTGTATCTAGTTTTTTTATTTCCTAATATAATTCTGCACATACGGGAAAGGTAAGGTAATCCATGTATTTCTTTTTTCCAATTAATTTTAGGCATTTTTGCCATTATTGAATAAGACAGAGTTAAAAAGTGGGAGACTGAGAGAGATGACATGCAGCAAAGAGTTAGGACTGGCCTTGACACCTGCAGGGACCATAATCCCCATATGTGGGATGTGGTTTAACCTGCTAGGCTATCTGCACGCACTGTAATTAATGTTTTTTTGTATGTGACTCTGGTGTCCGCTTCCTTTTTATAATTTTTCCTCAGGGATAAATTAAGTCGTTCTGATCTTATCTTTTGGGAGGTGGGGAGATATCATGCTTTTATTTCAGACTTCAGATTTTCACTCTAATACCTCTTTTATAGCTTTACATGATTTTCAGATTAAAGACAGGCTTGAAATTTCTCACAGTGGTGTATTAAAAAGTTATTATTTCAGCCTCCATCTGAAACGCTTCATTTTAACAGCTGTTTTTTTAAGGCCCCCCCTCCACAACCTTACTGATTGGCCACCTCTCTGGAGGCTTTCTGGAAGCTGGCGAGGGCAGAGCTCGATGTTTTGGTACACCAAACTTGGCAGATTTTTGTTGTACATGTGAGAAAGCATGATACCTCTCATTTAAACTGATGATGCTTATATTCAGATTTCCTCTGTTTTTATTTTTTTCACTAAAGTCTACAATTATTCATAGATTCTTGGTAGCTAAGTCATATGCCCATTCACTGCTTTTTGATTGAGCACTGTGTGTAGTATACCTAGTTGAACACTTAAAATGTTACAATGTCATTTAGCTGATGCTTTCATCCAATGCAACCTACAGTCAAGAGCAAGAACAATACAAGCAAAGATCTAGACAAGAGAAAACAAGATCAGTGAGTCCATCTTGACGCAGGTACTGTCAAACAGTGTTGAAGGCGATGCACGAAGTGAATTCAGGAGGAATAATATTTCAAGCACATAAAAAAGTGTGTTATGAAAGTAAATCATCACAATAGAACTGAGTAAATCCAGATCAGTGAGGGTGGAGCAGATCATACCTGCCCCCGAACACGATGACTGGACACTGCGTTGCCCCATACTGTTGTCTCAGCTCAGTGAGCATGACGGCGTAGTCAGCAAGCGCCTGCTCCACCGTCAGCAGGCCAATCTGAGGGATGAGGAACGAGTCTTTGCCGAATGGCTGAGATTTTCCGTAAAACCTCTGGAGGGAGAGAAAAAGAGTTAAAGCACTACAATAAATGCAATTAGTGTGAAGAGAAGTCTACATCAAAACCAAACATCCATACTGAGGAAGAAGTGAGACATGTTAACCTTGACTTCACTGTTTGTCGCTCTAAAGCTACAACTTATCAATACATAGATGTTTTTTTCAGTAGTTTTATATCTGTTTTAAAAAGGTTGATGTATTTCTAGACTAAGAGACCATGAACAGCATCTCCCCAGAAGAACATAAATTTGTACATCAGATAAGATTACAAAAGGGGTAAATTTGGTGCTGCAAATATCCACTAACACTTTTCAAGACTTTGCTGGTTCTAACTTTTGTATGTATAGGTATGAAACTTCTTTTTCCTGTTACAGAAATGAAAATATGTTTGAGTTTTTGAAGATGCATTTTAAAACATCTACCTAACCGCTTGGAAATTGCGGCAAGCATCTTCTCAACTTTGTGACTGAGGAGAAAATCAGTAAAATTACCCATGTGCTGTAATATGTTAAGTAACTCTGAGGCAATGATTTTAACCTTTAGAAAGCAACATAGGCTGATGGTTTTGTTTTTTGTTTGTTTTTGTTTAGACAGCTGCCTCTATTTTGTAATGGTGTTTTGTTTGTTTAAGTGACCAGTGCAGAAAATCAGTGTGTGAGTATTATGAGAAGTTAAAACCAGCTGACAGTGTGTGTGTGTGTGTGTGACAAACTTCGGCCATCTACTTCTCTTTTTGTCACATGATGTGCAAATTTCACTTAGTCAGCACTGCATGAAAAGCCAATGTTCAGTCAAACAGCATATGGTACTGATTTGTACCACTGTGTCCTCTTACATGTTCAGCAAATATAACCAAGGCTCTCTGCTGTGCAGCCAGCTCTGTGATGAAGCCAGAGTTGAGTGCAAACTCCCAGATGTCCCCCTCATTGCCAGTGTAGAAGAAGATGGGACCGTAGCCTTTCTTCCAGAAGTTATCTGAATGAATGAATAAAAGGGAATATGAGTCACTACTTCATTCATTAGTGACATTCAAAGTGGTCTTAAACCAAAATTGACCTATAACGAGGTATCTCTGGTTGAAGGTCCCGTTGCCCATGCTGTTGAAGTTGAAGTGGTCCAGAGTCTGGGTGAAGAACAGCTCTGTGATTTGTGGTCCTTTTCCTTTTCCATGATGTTTTCTGGACTATAGAAAAGACACATGTACTATTAAACATTTCACTAAATGATTCATATCGACTTATATTTACAAGTAGTCTTCTGTCACGAGAAAACCGGCACGAGACATCTTAAACTTCTACTCGAATATGTTCAGAAACACGATTATATCACAGAAAACTACACGTTACCTGAAAGTGACTGTACGGGAGCCCGTGTAACACCTCTGTACACAACAGGGTTAATGTTACCGTCAGTAAGAAGAACATTTTACTCATGTTTCAAGAGTGCGGAGATCAAACTACCGCACAGTCTGGTCATGAGAAGCTGACTCTTTTTGTTCTTGAGAGTTTAGAGGGGTTCGAAAACAAGCTGAACGGCGCATTACCGCCACCCACTAAACAGGAGAACACATCTGATTCCACTGCGCAGTAGTGATGGGCAAGGCAGTTCTTTTAGATGTACTGAATCACTAGAATCGGTTCACTAAAAAGATTCGTTCACCGAATCACTGACTCATTTAGCGGGAGAAGCCTGCGACTCCAACCTCCTGAACTGATACACAGCTGAACAGTTCAGGATTCAGTTCAATTCATAGTTTCTGGGACTGGGAGACAAGAGTGTTTGGCTGTGTTGCTTTGGCAAACAGGTTTGTTAAAATGAACTTGTTTATAAGTCATAATGTTTTAAGTGTACTGTCCTATGGTATGCTATTTACCAGGCCTGCTCCATAAGTTGGGCTCAGTGAGTGATTCGCTCACTGAATGTTTAGAAGAATTCACACTGAACATGCACCGTTCCCTCTCACTACTTGTTACATGCTGTGTCCTACCGTATGAAAGTTGTTGTGTTGACAATTTAGCAGTGAAAAAAAGGGTAGTTTTGTCAGACAAAAATGGTTCCGGAGAGTGTAGTTCAATGCTTGATTCGTTCAGCAAGTGATTCAGGCGCCGGTGCATGTGGTCCCTGATTCGCTGGCTGCTGGCCTAGTAATGCTGTTTCTCACTTCAGCTCAACTGAAGTGAAAAACGAACAATTCACTCTAGCAAGTGATTCAATTTAGTACGTTCTCTTAAAAGATTCGGTTCGTTTGAAGGAAGCGTTCGCGAACGACAAAACACTACTGCGCAGACGCTATTTCCACGTGACGCCTGACTGTCGTTTACATCCGTGACGCATTCAGGTACATCGCGTAAGATCCAGTGTTAAGTGGGACATGGAGGTAAATAAATGAAATGAGAAGAGCAAACACGAACCCATTCACCACCCTGCAGTTGTTGTATTCGACATTTTTAATATTCGTGACAAATTTTCTCAGAAATGGGATCATTTTTCCATTTCAAATTTTAAATCGAAAAAAGCAAATTATCCTTTAAAAAGTGGAAAATAAATAATAGTTGAATACGAAGTTTTCCCAAATGTTATAATAAAAGTATGTAACAGAATCTTTATTTTAAACATATGAACAAGTTTTATGCATGATACTAATAAATATATCATTTTTTTATTGCAAGTATTAAATTACAACTATATATTGATACAGTATACATATGGTACACTAACAATCATTGTGTTATACATTTATTGTAAAAACAACTCTGATTTCTGCTTTTCAAATTTCTCTTTTTCTTTTTGGACTGCAGGCTGAGATGATGCTATCCTGCAGAGTTGATGTGGTGGTTGGGGACACATGGAAGCTATAGCACTGGGGTCCGTTTCACGTAGCAGGTTTAGTGGAAACTCCGAGTTTGTTAACCCTGAAATCAGGGAAACTCTGAGTTTTCCGTTTCACAAAGGAGGGTTAGTTAAACCAGGGAGAGAGGGGTAACTCAAACCTGTTTCACAAAGAGAGGTAACTCAACCTCGCGGTCAGTTACCACAGTTACAGACTCCGTGAACCTAACCTGCTCGGGAGCAGGTTTAACTCAGTAAACCCAGAGTTTCAGGTGAGACATCGGCATTTTCTCATTTTGATCATGTTTTACATTGTCAAGTAAGTATTAAGTGGCAGTTTGATCCCTTAAAAAATGCTCTTTTCACACTGAAAACTGAATTTTACTCTCTTATTATGTTCCGTTAAATGATTAGGAATATTAAACTAACACAAAACGGTGGTGGTCAGCAGCCCCCCCCCTGCCCCCCCCCCCCCCCCCCCACACACACACACACACACACACACACACACACACACACACACACACACAACGATCGCTGCTACGGGGTGGGGGTTGCGATCGTCGAGGGGGGCAGCTCCTCTGCCTCCGTTAAAGGTGGGGCTGCTGGGCCACCACCCGTTTTTCTGGCATCTGCCCTCTTTCTGTTTCCTGAGTGAAAGTCTAATATTGAGTGTAGTGTGTGTTAGTTTAATATATGTACATATACATACTGAGAGTTAGTTTAATATTCCTAATCATTTAACGGAACATCATAAGAGAGTAAAATTCATTTTTGAGTGTGAAAAGAGCATTTTCTAAGGGATCAAACTGCCACTTAATACTTACTTGACAATGTAAAACATGATCAAAATGATTCAAGCAGTTTCCCTGCAACAGTCTGTCATTGTGATTGCACGAGACTAGATTTAAAGTTACGCATTGACGCGAGCAGCGATTTCCTCCCAAGCCCTCTCCCTCTCCTTTGCAGCTGCTGCTGTATTGAACTTTCTTTTAAAAACGTGCTGTAATTCGCTGTTGGCTTGCTGCTGCCCCCTCCTTCTCCCTGTTTCCATTGGTTGATCATTGAATCTGCGCTCCACAGATGCTGGCTGTTTATGTCTGGCGTGCACGTGCTTAACTCCAGGTCAAACTACCCGGAGTTGTTAAAACCGTCTCAAATCAGGTATTGTGAAACCGGAAATTCAGAGTTTCCTAACTCAGAGTAGATCAACTCAGAGTTAAGGATTTAACTCAGAGTTTGTTGAACCACCTACGTGAAACGGACCCCTGGAGTATCACTCACAAACACAACAAGTGCAATCGGTTTTCCTTACTTTTAACTTTATAATTTTGTCATTTTTATGCTACTTTACAGTCTTCGGCCAGGAAACAGGTGTTTTTCCTCTTGACTTCCTTCTCTGAAAGGTTCTGCGTAAGGCCAGGTCAAAGGTCACTTTTAGTAGATCCCATTCACATGGTTCAGTGTTTCTTTCGTGTCACACCAAGTGATTGATTACAGCTCTTTACTCTGATAATCTGATGACTTATTGTTATTAGACTTAATGCAGAGACCCTTTAAGTAATGGCACATTAGTGATTTAAAGTGTTAGTAGTTTCTACAGAGCCTATTCACTTGTTTGCCCCGAAATATATTTAACTTGACATAATGATTATGTAAATGATTGCCGTAAAAATGTTTGGCTGAAACAACTCATGTTGAAATATAGTTTAAAGAGGAAATCATCTGTGCATGTAGGGTCATCAGGTCAAACAGGTTGGAAATTACCTGTATGACTCATGTGTGCGTGTGTGTGTGTGTGTGTGTGTGTGTGTGTGTGTGTGTGTGTGTGTGTGTGTGTGTGTGTCTAGATATCCTCTGGGGAATGTGGATAGAGGACTTCCTTGTAGCAGCAGCAGGGTGGAGACTCCTGAGAAGGCTGGTTTTTCTCGCCCTCACTTCCCTGTTGGCTCAGAGAGGAGGACAGGTGTCACGGAGGCACAGCAAACTATTAACCCAACTCTTACCAGACTGTCACTCAGGATTAGAAGGTAAGAATGACAGAAATGTATGAAAATTGTGTGATTATCATATAGTGGGTGGTGTTTAATAAACACTTTTAAACTTATCAAGATGAGCAGAGAATCTTTGGATGAAAACACAAGGAAGTATTTCATTTAAATGTGTCACTAGTTAACAACACTGCATTCAGGGTTTACTGTCTTCCTTTTCTTGTATACTCTATTTTTCTTATTTGTCAAATTATGACAGGCTAACAGGTTAAGTTTGATGGAAGAATCAAGGCTCTTTTTCAATTGTAACTTATTTAACTTATTTTTAATAAAAATTTTAAAGGACCAGGTACACTACTAATATTATTGTTTGTCTACCATTTTCTTCTCATCTCTCTCTGTTTCTCTTCTCTTTCTTGGAAAGTTTTTTGTTTATTTTCATTCATATCGAGCTTTTTAATTCAAACTAATTTAACTCGTCTTTGTATTCCTTTTTCTCTAATTTCAGTTTTTGAGGTAATTTAACATATTTTGTCAATGGCAGCAAAATATGAAGGTTAACTTAAATTTATAATCTATTACTTTTTTGAAGTTTTCAAATTATATATACCAGAATATAGCACTAAAATAATATTATAATATAGACATTCACTTTGCTGAAGTATCTAACCTCAGTGTGTTTAATCTTGTTAGGCATGGCTACTGTTCTTAGCGTTTTTACCTCATTTTTTACCACACTTTTCTTGCCTGTGTTTTGCAGGATGCTGTACACAGAGTTACTGAAGCTGTGGAATGAGTCGGTGCAGGCAGTGGATAACAAGGACTGGGAGGGAGCTCTGTCTACACTCGATCAGATCAGTGAGCCCACATCTCGCACTCTATTCAATGCTGCCTCGGCTCACCTCGCTCTGGGAGACCTGGACATGGCCATGAAGGTGTGCAAGAAGTGAATGGGAGGTGGAGGAGGTGGTGGTCAATCTTAGAAGCCAGTATTAAAGACATTTTAAACATGTTCGCCTTGAAACTGGAATGTCAAATTAAGCGTCAAGTTGTCTGCTCTGACTGTTCCCTACTGCACATCGTTCTGGATACTGTCAACACTGAGTACCTTACACTGTAAAAAAATAAGCATAATTTCATACTTCTGTGTCTCTGTTAATGACCAGCCTCACTGTCTAACTTTCAGGCGTTAGACCTCACCCTTGCAAAGGATCAGCGTCTTGCTGTTGGTTTCTTCCAGAGGGCAGCTGTGATGATGCAGGTTGACAGGTAGGAGGCAGCACTCCATCCTAAATACTGACTCACTATATCACAAACCAATAATGAAGCTTAGGTACCGTATGAAAGTGGAAATTTCAAAATGAAAAAAAAAAAAGTTTCTCATTTTTAGTCTTGGGGAAAAATGTGATGCAGAGTTCTGAGGTTTAACAATGTTTGTCACCATATTGGAAATGCCTATTCAATCTAACTTTGGTCAAGCTAACAAGAGACAAAGAAGTGGATGTTTAGCCTCTTTCACTAACAGCCACAGTGTGTTTGTGTGCCTGTTGGCCAACTAAGCCTCATATCACCTGTAATGATGGTCTTTTTTTCTAATAGGCGTGTATGTGGCTTTCAGGGGTTTTACAGCCAGCCTCAAGTGCACACTCGAGGAACTACTGTTTTTTATCACTTCCATCTTTAGTACAGCTATTTTGGTTCCAGCTGCTATTCTGTAGCATCATTCCACACTAACCAGCCTTTACTCCCTATCCAAATCAATGAGACTGGGCCTCTCATGACATGGCTGACCAGTGGACCACTTTTTGTAGGTGGTGATTCCTGCAGATTGAGAACAGCCTAAAAGAGCTGCCGCCTTGTAGATGCTCTGACTCTGTTGTCTAGCCATCACTTTGGTCAAAGTCACACAAAGCCATTTTTCCTTCTAGGACTCAATGTTCACCTCTTTTTCTAGTTACCTGTTTGGTACCAGTGTTATAGCTGACAGCTAACGGCTAATTCTAGCACATATAATTGAGTTGTGTTGTGTTTGATAGGGAGGTTAACTCTTTTGTCCCTCATGCCATCAGACTGTACAACTCCTCTCTGGGAAGGAGGAGGGCTAATAGGAGGACAGAGGATGGGAAGGAGCAGCAGCAGTAGTAGTAGTTGAAATAGTTGTTATAACCATAATGTGCAAATGTTGATAACTTTAAATATTACTTTCTATAAAAATATGTATTTTATCTTAGGTCCTATTACATCTTTATTCTTTGATGATCAAATATTGTATTTTTGATCATTCTTTTTCTCTTCTGTAAATATGCTGCTAGAATTTTAATTTTCTTGAGGGAACTCCCAAAAGATAGATGTTTTTTTTAATCTAATCTAATCTAATCTAATTTAATCTAATTTAATCTTTTTGCAAAATTTCTCTCCACTGGACTTCATGGAAACTCTGCATCACTGTAATATAGTCAGGTAACTATCTGGGAGGTTACTAGGCGTGACAAAGAAAAAGTCTGTCACATAACATCTTTGTAAGAGATCACAAAGACCTGCGTTTGTACAGAGCTCAAGGTGCAGATTTTTAACATTCATCTCTCTGTTTTCTTTGCAAAGGTTGGAGGAGGCTCTGTCAGACTGCATCTGGGCACAGAAACACATGAGAGGAAACATAGTCATCGACTACAAACAACTGGGCCTGAGATTTAAACTCTACAGCTGGCAGGTCTGTTGTCGCCCTGCCAGGCACAGTCACACACACTGCTACACACCTGCTTTGAGACAGAGACATGCTGGCCCTCAGCCTGCTTTTTCTGATAGGAAGAAATAGAAAAGGAAATCTGATACCCTGAGGACTGTCAGTGATGTGGAATGAAAACAGAGCAAACCGAGCTGTGTCATCATCGCCTCCATTGTTTAGTTCAAATGTCACACACACCTGGGAGCACACAGAGCCCTATTGATGGAGGCCAGGAAGAGCTTACACAACAGTACATATTTCTCATGTATGAGACACGCTGTAGCTTCACACACTTACAATGCATATGCAGACAGCAAGATAGATTTACTTAAAACTTAACACAGCTATGATACTTTCACCAGGGTTTAAAAGCTAATGTTGCCATCAGAGTGATAATCAGATATGACAATAATCCAGCAGTTCCCTTAAGTAAACTTGATGATAACTACACTGGTTATCAAGGGAATCAAATAAACTGTAAACAGGCATGCATGAAAACAATTTTGATGGGTTAGTATGCAGAATCAGTAAATCATCTCCGCTCTAGAATAATTTTGGCATTTTGAAACGTGTTGTGAAATATATTCTCAAGTGTACAAAATAACTGATACTTCCTGGAAAAACAGCACCATCATTAATATCAACCTTTTCCTGGATGTAAAGAATATAGTGTGGTTATGAAGTGTGTTACGAAGGAACACATTTGAGACTTGGTAAAATGGAATTTGATGTAAAGGAGAGTAAAATTTACTTCTTTTAACAAAGGGATTTTCCCCTCCACAGCTGCAGGATAATGCAACATAAAGATCATAACAGAGATCTGCGTGTGGCCATTGGAAATGGATTTGGAGATGCACAGTCTGTCTGCTGTGATCATTTGTAATTCCACAAATGCATACTGTAATATCACATGAATTACTTTGGTCTTGCAGCTGTAAAACTGCAGTATGAAGTTGTACTTTCACAAGAAATTACTGTAGTATCACTTATCTTGCAGGTGCAAAACTACAGTATAAAGTTGTAATTTCACAAAGGACTCCTGTAACATTACAGCTGTGAAGTTACAAGAAAGTTACTGTGAGGATATTAAGAAGTAAATAAGATTACTGTGAAAGTCATGCAAAATTTGGCCAGTTATTTATAGTGATTTCGGGCACAAAAATTTTACAGTACAACCAGATTATGTAAAGGACGTACATAATCCTGCCATAATCAGGATGGCATTGTCCAAAAAATTGCATTTTCCTTCACTGTCTGCAGCAAAATCTCGACAGGATAAAATTTGAATAGCAGCAGCTTTACACGTGTCAATCAAAATATTAGCTGAAAAAAAGTGAACAAAAAGTTTTCTAACTGTTTCAGAGAAATAGCTCCATGCCTCATCTCCTTGTCTCAATGTAGACAACTTTTTGGCTGTGGGAGAATTTAACTGTCAAGTAAAATACTCAAATTGACTGCATGCACCCTTCCCCAGCCTATCATTTATAATTACTATAACTGTAAACTGGCCTTGGTGGCCCTACAACCAGCCTGGCCCACTGAGAAATGTCCGTGTTCTCTCGATTAGACACCCCAGGCCCGGACTGGAGCTTAATGTATAATTGTGTTGTGTCCCCTAGGTGTTATATAATGCAGCAGCTGTGTACTGTCGGATGGGACAGTGGGAGCAGGCGAGGGAGGTGCTACAGTCTGCGTCTCAGGAGAGAGGAGGAGGCCGAGGGGGGAACATAGAGGTGGCTCTGGATGGGATCACGGTGAGTGACTTTCCTGATTGCACGGACGATGCTGTGAAGGTTTTATTTGCGCTATTCCCAGTTGATGACCCTACAATGAAAGGGAGATAATGATGAAAAGGTAAAAAAAAGTTCAGCCCGTCCTCACCTCTTTGAAGATGCAATGAGATGAAAACTAACCTGAAGGACGGTGGATCATCAGCCGCACTTCATTTGGCCTTCTGCTGTGCAGTTTATCAAACTACAGCAAGAACAGTGAACTCATTTAAAGTGAGTTCACTGTTCTTCCTTTTATGCTGCAGCAGGTCTGTCTGCTGCTGATCATGGGTTCAGATGTGCACAGACAGCAGGCAGGTAAGTGTATCTCCAGATGAGTTGAGCTAACAGATTAAGTTAACAAGTAAATGGTAAATGAGTGAGCAAGAAGAGATATGACAACTGTTTACACAATAAATTAATGATAAAACATTATCAAATAGCAGAATAGCAAGTAATGAATGTGTATTAAGCTTTTTAGATAATTTTTGGTTTTGTCAATCTGCACACATAAGAAGCTAACATGATGACATTTCTGTAAATCAATCGGGTCAGACCTAAACCTGAAACTGAAGTGCCTATAACGGTATTGATTGTTCCTCTTAAATGATGTACTGTGCACTTTTTGGTGTTATTACTATTCTTGCTGGCTTGATTCACAGATTTCTATGTCTAAAAAAGGTCAATTGGAAAAATTAAGTACATTTTTTTGATACAAGATATATCCTCTGCGTACTTCCTCTTGCAGAGGGAAGAGGTCCCAGCTCCTCTCCAGGTACCTGAGGGTGTGGTGTTTCGACCCAGGAAACAGGATGTGGAGCAGCTGCAGCAAAGAGACTTCCTGGGTAAAGCAAAGGTAAAGGGACCAAATGGGTAATGTTTATAATAAGTGCATGGTGAAACACTTCTTTACCGCCAGAGTCAACCAAGACAATGTCATATCCAGAACTGAACTCACATAACCTGTTAGTGCTCTTTTTTTTCTTTTTAATTTAATGTAAGTCTTAATTTTTGTTTATGTATGATGTAGGGCTGTTAAAGTATACTGTTTTGGATAACAAATGTCTTTTGAAACATTAAAAAAAGAAAATAAGCATAAAAGAACAACACGAGGTCACACATTCTAAAACTGAGGTTAGATGAAGAAGATGTAGCAGACTGCTAGTGAGTTAGCTGAAGCAAATAAGCCATCAAGCTTATTTTTTATTTTTCTTATTTAATGACATATGTGTTTCTTTTTTTTTTTTAGATTATTATCAAATATTAATATTAAGTCATTAACCATTGATTCAAATCAACACAAAGCTTTCTTTTTTGCCAGATATACAAGACAAAAAACTTTTTCGGTTTGTAATTTTTGCAGTGCGACTCCCTTCAGAAGTGAAAGTACCATGGCATAGGGTGTTAATTACTTTTTTGATTGATCTGTCTGCTTGCTGATGAAAATTTTAATGGTGTTTCTTCACAGTTCCATTCAGATTTTTCCATCAACAATATAATGCAACCTCTGACAAAAGAAACAAGCAGAAGGAGTCAGTAACAGCTGATGTTTTTTTTGTTTTTAACCTGTAGGTGATCTCCTCCATGATTCCCAATGATGATTTTGGAGGCTTTGAACCTCTTAGGCTGCAGGTAAAAAACACAGTGTCAGCATAAATAAGACATTACTTTGATGTCTGTCAGCACTTTTTCTAATTGTAATTCATCCCATCAGAAACCTGGTTTTTATGAGCCTAAGACAGATGGGTCTCAGTGAGTATCACTTTTTATATGAATATTTTTACCCTATGTTGTTGTTTTAAAGCCATACTTGATGCCGTTCTCTCTTCCTTCATGGTAGAGACACGCGGTACATGCGTGTGAAGACTCCTTACATGGCACGAGGCCCAGGACAGCTGACTGTGCCGGGAGGAGCCATGGTGTTTATATTTGCAGAGGAGGACAGGGACGGGATGGTGACTGTCATTTATGATGGCCAGGTGAGAAGGGAGGGAGAGAGAAGCTGCGTCTATAATGTGATTGGACAAAAGAAATCAAATGCAATGTGAGTTTTTCTATTTAAAAAAATAATAAGTCTGATTTTCTGTCCTTTGTTTTTCAGAGAGGGCTCCTGCCGGTGAACCTGCTCGAACCTGCAGATATCAAGTCATCCAAAGGCAAAAAGGACGATGTAATGTACTTTTTTATTCATGATCCCTTTTTTTTTTTTTTATAAAATACATTTTTGTTTCTTCTTGAGAAAAACACACACTGAGCTTTAGTTTGGATTTGTGCATTAGGGATTGCTCAAAAATTCTCTTATGCTGAGAGTTGCTCTATCTCTTCTTTACCCTCAAGGACCCACAGGAGATCCTGCTGTGTCAGGGAAAAAAAAGATAAAAAATGCTTTAAAAAAGATCACTGCTCCCCTCTGCTGTATGGGTTTCCTACTGGGAGGAAAATGCTTTAATTATTCACCATTAAAAAAAAAAATTTTGTTTTATTGACCTTCCTGTTCGGGTGTTCATTACAGAGTATCCCCAGTGGGATCCCCCTCCCTCCAGGACTCAAACCACCCACTCGCCCAAAGGCCCAGCCCAGCTCCACAGCTCCTCCTCGGGGTAAAAAATCCATCACACTCCTCTATGTCCTTTCCCTCTACTTTCTCCAAAGTCTTATTACTTTAAAAAAGAGAGGAAGACCTCTCCACCTTCCTCCCTCTGATCTACTTTAGTGAACACCTCTTCATCAGAGCAAATCATTTCAGGGTCAGCACCATATTTCTGATGTGTACTGTCTGTCTGGCACTGAGGCTTCCTCTTAACTGTGGGCTGTGTTTGACAGGGCTATTATTTTTGTAGCTTAGTGAAAAAATTATTAGAAAAAAAAAATTCTTGGTGCGTTATGCCTCAAGATGGGAACAGATCGATTCTGTATCGATTCCTTTATTGATTTGTGTTGAAAAGAAAGTCAGCTTATACAGGTTTTCTGAGTTACCAACACAAACTTTATTATAAGTCTCTGCACGCACTGAGCAAAATTACACTTTTTTTGTGCATTAAAAATTCTTGTGCAGAAAAATAAGCGTATCTGCAAACGTAACCACCTTCACCTCTCTGAACTCTGTCAGCATAAAGCATCAAACACATGGTACTATTGGTGTTTAACACTACTGTTGTGCAAGTTCACACTAAAATTGTGTTTGTTCAAAGTTCAGCTCATGGCCGACTGTTTAAAATGAACTAGTTCACATTTAGAATTTGCTTTTTTACAATTCTGGACTAATGCTGCGTTTGAGTTACCTCGGAAGTCAGATGTCTGATGAAGTCAGAGCTAGAAATTATGTCACACCCGAGTTACCAGAGTTTCAGTTACCAACTTGGAAAAAAAAGCAAAATCGGAGGCAGAAACCAGCTGGTCAAATCAACAAGAGTTATTTTAACGCTTCCATTGTCTGAATATAACAAGGGCAAGGCAAGCGCAAAAATAACTTTCGTAGATGTAGCCATCTTGTTTACGCCTCCGATTTTGCTTTTTACCGTGCTTTTTTTCCGCACTTGCCTTGTCCAAATTTAACAAGGACAAGGCAAGCGCTGAAATAACTTAGATGTTGCCATCTTATTTCCGCCTCCGATTTTCCTTTTTTTGACTTGGTAACTGAAACTCTGGTAACTCATGTGTGACATCATTCCCAGCTCTGACATCTGACTTCAAATGCAGCATAAGTTCATGATCAAAAAAATTAGCTAGTTCATGCTCATTTTGTTTCAGCTCCATCCAAATCATCAATCAGCAGTGTTTTATAGATTTCAATTCCTAATCCCCAATACCGATGTTTCTAAACTAAGTTAATATTTTACTCGGTGAAGTACAGAGCCATCATTAACAGTGCATTTAGCTTTGCCCAGACAGATAACAAAACATGCTCATTTAGGAGTAATCTAGTTGGATGCTTCTGGAATTGCACTTCTCAGCGGCCAGTTGTAATGAATCACATGAATCTCTGCTTCCTCCTCTGATTATGACTCAGATAACTCCAACATGTAAAGCTGCACTTCATCGCTCTTCTTGTGTGCAGGGGTCAAAGTAACCTTCGCCCACACATTCTCAGAAATCTAAAGTCAGACAATCTAAGCCCACTCAAAGTGATATTTTAAACATGTGGACAGTTTGTGCTTTGAGGTTTGTTTGCAGTAGCTGGTTAGTTAAAACAGGAGAGATGATTCCAGTAAACATGCACATATAAAAAGTGAACCCATCCCCTCTGCACTGCTGTTATGGCTGTTTGGGGTAAAATAAATCTGCAGCTTCACACTCGGAGAACACTCACTTGTCTGACTCTTCATTTGCACTGTATGTGTATGTGTGTACTCAGGCTGTATCTGTACTGTGTTTTCCCCAGCAGTACACTTTACTTCCACAGATACTCCACCTCCATCCTACACTTCAGTCGCCCACGCACCGCCGTCAGCCTCCGTGCCTCCCAGGTACACAGCCAATGCAGCCAGTGACCAGGTAAAATCCTCTTTAGAGCAGTCTTATTCACCTGTGCAGGCTGAAATCACATCAAAGTTACAAACACACATGTACACTTGCTCCTCTCACCTGATCTAAAAATAGAAGGATTGTGTGGACGTGTGAAGAAACTGCTTTGTAAGGTTGAACACATCCAGGGAATACGGATGTGTCCCGATTAAGTCACAGTGATGCTCAGACGAGGTAGATAGTCTGCCTCTGGATATCGATGTGCTTTTGTGCTTTTTCACGCCATATCTAACACAGTGTGACTCAGTTATTTCCAGTCAATTAAACCCAGCATACTGGCTTATTTTATAATTTAATACCATATCACCATAAAATCTGACCGCACAATACCTCTGCTGAACAGAAAGTCAGTTTTCACTATTTATTCCTCTGTGTTAAGAGTGTTACAATGGTGTAGTAGTGTAGTATTGATTTTTCTCCTATACCTTAAAACTGTGATGGAATTTTTCTTCTCTATAAACAAGGCAAGGAAAAGAAATACAGAGCATAAATTTTTCTCCCTTACCACTGTGCCCTGGAGTTTTCAAGAGTGTGCTTTTCTATGATTTCTGACAGGAATGAAACATTTTGGGTACTGCTGGCCCAAAAGGCTGTGTGTCCCATATGTTGAGGTTTGCCTCAAGCAGTTGGTCCAAGTCCACCACCAGCCTGTGGCTTCTTTTCTGCATGTTTCCTATCCTACTCTCTTTCCCTGTTTCCTGCTCCGTCTACTGTCATGTCCTCACTTGGAAAAGGTGAAAAAGTTAAAAAATAAATAAATCCAAAAGAAATTAAAATGGGCAACAAATTATCATCAAGAATGATGACCTTTTCCTGTGCCTGCTGCTCTTCCCAAATTAGAGCATCAAAACATATTTAAACCCTTTCAATGAAGGTGAGGTAGCCTTTTGTGTCTCAGTCTGAGGACATGATAGAATTAAATTACCAATTATGTGTTATTTTCAGTTGCTCATTTTCCAAAAAGTTTATCTTATAAATGTGCATTTTATGGCCCATGTTGCAGTCAGTCAGCAGGGGGAGCTCTCAATGATTTGGTTTCACAGTGACGATATACTTTAGGGATTCATTTTGATAATATGATTGTGACTAAATGTAAAAAAAAAAAAAGGTGGTAAAAAAGCGACGCCACATGATACAAGTGCAGAAAAGCATGAAGAAAAGAAAGGATTAGTTTTGAAAATTTATATCCTAAAAAACTATATTGTAAACAAAACAACTAAACTAAATATTTTTCAAACCTAAAAAGTTAACATCACCTTTTTTCCCCTTCTTGCAGCTTTTCCACAGGCGAAAATATGTACAACAGAACTACTTTTGACCTTGTCTTAGTTTTTAAGACTCCTGTTTTGTTGAGTCACGAAGCACCATATAGGTTAGAAAAGCTGAGGTGATACTAGGAGCCCATGACTGATGAGGGCTCCTGAAAATATTACAACATTTATAATACTGACGTGATAAGACTCAATGTGATATTTTTTGTGAAAGGGTAAAAGTTCCTTGGTGGCTTCCCAGAAAATAATTCTGTTTTTAACCAACTCTGCATATACAAAAGAAAGAGATTGTTGTGCAAAGTGATAAAGTTCACAAAACTCATACCAGTGCAGACACATTTAATCTTATATATTCATTTCATATTCATCTCAAGTAACTGACTGTACTAGATCAATAGTCATGAATAAAAGCTGTTTTTCCTTTCTCTATAACCCTTCCCTTTGTTTCCAGGGTGCAGATGCTGCACAGCGAGCAGATGCGGGATCTGTGGTGGTGAAAGTCCACTACACATATACAGTGGCTCTGTCTGTCCCTCTGGACACACCATACAGCGAGTTAAAGGAGAGGATTGCACAGAAATTGGGCCAGTCTGCATCCCAGCTGCGCCTCAGGTAACTGCAAGCCTGCAACCCACTTCTGTCGTCTAGAATTCCGACAAGTGATGGTGCATTTCTAAAAATATGCATTTCTTTATCCACTCCACCCTGTGGGCCCAATATCTGATGTGAGAAAGGCTGCAGCTTCACACGTCATGAACACAGCAGTAAACAGCAACAGGACTCACAATCTTTACAAGGCATCTGAGGATTAATAACAACGGGACCATTTCAATTTTTTTGAAGTCTGGACAAAAATAGGATCAGATAATGATAAACAACATGCACCAGATCCCTATTTGGCTACATGTTATCCTCTATGTTCTCTTTGTTCTTTGCTAATCAATGCCGGCCCCCACAATGCCCCCAATATCCTGTCCAATCCTCTACATTTACTCCTGCTCACCCCTCCCTCTCTCTCTCTCTCTGTTCCTCATCAGACATAAGCTGCACGGCTCCCGGGCGCTTATACCTTTAGGAGGGGAGTCAGAGCCAGGCCGGACTGTGCATGAGGTAGCTGAGGCTGGCAGGGCCACCCTGTGGTGTCAGGTGAGGTCAACACTACACATCACCAGAGCATGAAATCACACATTAGTTTTTGGGATGTGTTTGGGAGGGTTGGGAGAGAGGGTGCAGCTGCTGGACTATTTTTAAATTGACAGGTACGGTGGCTGACGGGGTAAACACACTGAGAAGACGCTTACATTAATGAAATTAATTAGCCACTTGCTGTTAAAAGATATGTAGGTTTACAAAATACTCTGGCTCTGATTTGATATTCATTCAAATATATGAAAAAAAAAATTAAATTGCTGTTTAACATATTATAAAATTTAATTTAGAAATATAATATGGTATGCAATTGGTATCTTAAAAAATCAAAGTCCAGGGTGTATTCCACCTCTCGCCAATGACAGCTGGGATCGGCTACAGCCCCCAACCCAGACCTATTTTTAGTCCCTTTACATAAATGTTCTAATCCAAACTGAACACATTTGATTATTGGATACAATATATTTCTGTGTTAAAAAAGTCTATCCCCTCTCTGTTGCTGTTTGCCCTACATTTGAACAAGCATAATAACATACAAATGTCCACACTGAAGATTGTTTTAATTTAAACTGTCCCTTAAAATGTACTTAAAATTTCCATCAGGATATGTTTTGTCATGTTTTTTCAGTTTTTTTAATTTGTGGTTAGTTAAAAATTTGTAGTTCTGATTGATGGTCTATGCTTAATTCTGACATGTTGGGTAGCTTTCTTGTGGAGAATCAAAGTAGCTACAAAAACAATCACGCAGTCTTTGCGAAGAAGGTAATATAGCTGAATGTCTCGCCAGTGTTTTTGTGCAATTCCTCTTTCATGTCTAGAGTTAATGACCGTACTGATCAAGTAATTGAATCTTATTCCCTCTGTGTTTTGATGCTTTAGAAAGAAGACCCCCTGGCCAATCGTCCTATCCTGTGCCAGATGGTGGCACTGTATGACTACTCTGCTCAGGGCCCAGAGGACCTGGAGTTCAGCGAGGGAGACACTATTGACATCCTGGGTGAAGGTGCGGTCTGCGAGATAACCTTGAAGGGATTATAAAGAGAGTTTCAGTCTATTTATTCTCACTCGGTTTAGTTTTAAGCACCACTGACTCTATGGCTCTCTTCTTCTGTCTCTGGTAGTTAATGAGGAGTGGCTGGAAGGACACTGTGCAGGAAACATCGGCATCTTCCCGAGCTGCTTCGCCTACAGGGAGAACATCAGCGAGACCCTGGAGAGCTTTTTATAATCTCAGACGCATTACTGATAATAAAACCTGTTAACCTGGGAAAGTGCAAGTTTACAACTGTCCCTTTACAACACATACAGCAAGCTCACAGTTTACTCATTTCCTTTAATGTATTTCAGTCTCATATGCGTCATGGATGCTGCTATAGTGACTCAGAGTTTATCTTTGGTACTTAAAAGTATGTTTGTGTTGAACCTGCTGTACTTTGTTTCCGGTTTTCTAGATGCTGTAACGTTCCTTTTTTACCCTTCAATACTTAAACACAGGTTTATTTTAACGTCATTCATCTTAATATTTTATTCTATGAGATGAAACTATTTTCTTCCTGAAATTATTTATAAGTTTTTAACTTTGAAGTTAACTTTGTTGTGATGTATTGCCACAAAGAACAATATCCTGAAATATCCGAAAACTGAAGCTGCCTACAAATGCCTAGTTTCCTAAAAATTGAATAAAAGAATACAAGTTAAGTAATTAGGTAGTTAAAGTGGTAGATAAGTATTTCCCTTATTACATCTGTTAACAATAATTAAGTTGCATACTGTGTACACAACAGTCGTTTGTAAAGGTGATGCATTTTTTTACTATTTTGGTATTTTGGTGGAAAATGTTCCATTCACAACAAGTTTATGATTCAAATAAATGATAAAATTGGCAAAACTATATGACAAATTGTCACATTTCATTACATTGCGTTACGAATCTTAAGTTACAATATGTTATGGTCAAGTTGAAAGACAATAAAATTTAAAAAAGATATGACATGATGGGAAAAGTATGACATATAATTAGAGTTGTTATATTAAGTTAGATCACGTTGTGTCATGTTTCATTACATTACAGAATGTTACGTTTTTTCACACTATGACATTTGACATTATTTTACATTGCCTCGTGTTGTGTTGCTTTGTATAGCTTTACCTTGTGTTGGTTTTGTTTGGTTACCTTGCTGTCCTATACATGATCAATGATAACATTTACACTTTTTGAAAAGACGATAGTTTTAAGTGGTTTTATAATACAAAAACAATAAGACTCAAAACGATATGATATATGACAGAATATGAAAAATTTTATACTGGTTTGTGAGAGCTCATCTGGTCTCAAATGTTACGTTTATTTAACTGTCTACTAAGCAGTTTTAATTATTACACTTGGTAGAATTTTAGTTTTTGCTATATCTTGTAATAAGAACTTGGCACCTGCCCACAGTGCCAGAACTACTTCCAAGTGGTTTGCTGGTCATGAAATTAAAAAAAGTTTTAAATATATCACTTTACTTCACATGATTTGAAGAATATTAGCAACTTAACCTTTTTGAATTAAATTACAAAAAAGAAAAAAACTCAATCTGTAATTCTTAATGATTGGGATGTACCTGTATGTCTTTGATATCTACATCTACCCTTTTCAACTGAGCCAAACATCAAATGATTCTTTGCATGGATGGATCCATATCGTACTTTATAGTTTATACTTTGAATTTTTAATCTCAGACTGACAAGCCGTGTCTGTCAGATAACACAAAATATCAGGAGGAGCAATAACAGAAAATTCTATTTAATCACTGTTGTGAATTTGATGAAAAAGCACTGCCCTTGATGTACCATATCTTTTAAGTATCCACATCTAGTCAGACAGTAGATTACTGTTTTCGCCGATAGATACCTGCCGTGATAATTACTTTATCCTCACATCCTCGACATGTTTCAAACATCAGGCATTCAGGCGCCTTTTACTGCCTTCTTGTTGTGCGTCTGAGTGGCAGGGTAGCAGTCCTTGTGTCTGTATATTAAGCAGAGTTGGGCGGGGAGACCTTGGCTCCCTCAGAATTGTGGGAAGTTCACCAGCTTGGGCATTAATTGCCGGGGAGGGAAATGTCAGGTGCTTTTAGCTGTCGTCACAAATGATAGATGAACAAAAAAAAAACAGTAAGGTGGAAGCACTGGAGGCATTGAAAGCTCTATTCAAATGGCTTATAAAACAGAGGGCCTCTAATTACCGCTCTGCTCTCTCAGCACACAGAATCAACACCCACCTGCCCCTGCTTGAGCCGCTCAGAGCAAGGATGAATACAGTGGGAGTTATTAACTTTACATACAGAGAAAACAGTCAGACAACAAGCAACTGCTCTCTGTGCAGAGGGGAAACAGCCTTCAGTGCTTTCTGTCTAGTTCGTCATAAAGATTTAGCAGGGTCAGCCTAAAATCCTTACTCTATCTTTCTTCATCTGTTTATTGGGTCATGTGAACTTTTGGATGAGCAGACCAACAGTTGGATCTGCTGCTTATATGTTCAAACACAACGAAGGTGTGGATTAATGTTCTCTCAAGATAAAACCTAAAACCTCACTCTCACCCCCTCCACTTTGTCTAAGTCCAAACTAAACTAAAAAGCCTCTGTGGGGGATCTGTTTAGAGAGGGGGAGAGTTATTAAGGTTATAAAAAGCTCAAGGTGGTGGATGAGTCTGTAGAACTTAAAGAAAGCTGAGAAAGAGCCAAGAGTATTAAGTGGGAAGTGAATACTCATTAAGCTCTCTGCCCTTGTTCTTCCTTATTCCATCATGTAATTTTAATGAATCAAGTAAAATATATATGATCATTTTTTTTGGCAGCTTTGTGGGCAAAAAGTTAAACTTCCAATCACATCTGTTTATACTGCAGTATAATATACTGTACTTTATAATTTACTTAATTTTAGAGACATTAAATTGAGTAAAAACTTAATTTATCAAATAACCAGAACAGAGTAAATACTTTCCAAATCAAAATACTTCTTTGTCTAAACAAAAAAAATCATGTTAAACAGATGTAACCAAAAAACAGTCCTGCTCTTTGACTTGCAGAAGTTTCCACCATGCTTTTATTTCACCTGGGAACATTGAAATTTTACTTTTCTCCCCCACAAATGTTGCATGCAAAATCTAGCGCACTATCAGACTGTCAAACGGGCAGTTATTGGCAAAGTTTCTGCACTGACACAGTGCCAAGATTTTTAATATTTGACAGTTAGACAAACTGTCAGAGTTAGTTCACTTAATCCCTCCTACACACCTGTTTTATAAAATAAAAGTTTGAGAGGATATTTTTCTATTTTTACCACAAATGTTGCAGTCTTCTCCAGTGAGCTTATCACTATGCCTACTGTTGCCTATACCCAAATTTTAATATCACCAGGTGCTCTATAACTCCATGTCGTGGACCAAAGAGTCAAGCACAAAACACGGGTTTAAAGAAAAAAAAATAAAAGATTAATTTTCAAAAAAATAAAAAGCTTTTAAAACCAAAATGACTGACAATAATAAAATTAAAGTTAACGGGCCCATAAGACAGACCTCCCTAAATTCTTTTTCTTGTTGTTCATTTTATTGGCAGCTAAAGGGGCATTACCGCCACCTACTGGATTGGAGTGTGGCACAGGAAATTAAGCAGGAAAAACAACATATATATATATACATATGTATACTCACTTTATTAAGTACACCTGTCCAACTGCTCGTTAACACTTAATTTCTAATCAGCCAATCACATGGCGGCAACTTAGTGCATTTAGGCATGTAGACATGGTCAAGACAATCTCCTGCAGTTCAAACCGAGCATCAGTATGGGGAAGAAAGGTGATTTGAGTGACTTTGAACGTGGCATGGTTGTTGGTGCCAGAAGGGCTGGTCTGAGTATTTCAGAAACTGCTGATCTACTGGGATTTTCACGCACAACCATCTCTAGGGTTTACAGAGAATGGTCCGAAAAAGAAAAAATATCCAGTGAGCGGCAGTTCTGTGGGCGGAAATGCCTTGTTGATGCCAGAGGTCAGAGGAGAATGGCCAGACTGGTTTGAGCTGATAGAAAGGCAACAGTGACTCAAATAACCACCCGTTACAACCAAGGTAGGCAGAAGAGCATCTCTGAACGCACAGTACGTCGAACTTTGAGGCAGATGGGCTACAGCAGCAGAAGACCACACCGGGTGCTACTCCTTTCAGCTAAGAACAGGAAACTGAGGCTACAATTTGCACAAGCTCATCGAAATTGGACAATAGAAGATTGGAAAAACGTTGCCTGGTCTGATGAGTCTCGATTTCTGCTGCGACATTCGGATGGTAGGGTCAGAATTTGGCGTCAACAACATGAAAGCATGGATCCATCCTGCCTTGTATCAACGGTTCAGGCTGGTGGTGGTGGTGTCATGGTGTGGGGAATATTTTCTTGGCACTCTTTAGGCCCCTTGGTACCAATCGAGCATCGTTGCAACGCCAAAGCCTACCTGAGTACTGTTGCTGACCATGTCCATCCCTTTATGACCACAATGTACCCAACTTCTGATGGCTACTTTCAGCAGGATAATGCGCCATTTCATAAAGCTGGAATCATCTCAGACTGGTTTCTTGAACATGACAATGAGTTCACTGTACTCAAATGGCCTCCACAGTCACCAGATCTCAATCCAATAGAGCATCTTTGGGATGTGGTGGAACGGGAGATTCGCATCATGGATGTGCAGCCGACAAATCTGCGGCAACTGTGTGATGCCATCATGTCAATATGAACCAAGCTCTCTGAGGAATGCTTCCAGCACCTTGTTGAATCTATGCCACGAATAATTGAGGCAGTTCTGAAGGCAAAAGGGGGTCCAACCCGTTACTAGCATGGTGTATCTAATAAAGTGGCCGGTGAGTGTATATACTCACTAAGCTCCAAAGTTAAACTCTGTACAATAAGCCAGTCCCCCTCAAATTCTTCTTTGATAACTTGAATACTTTTTCAGATGCTGACCCTAACAGACCTGCTTAAATGAGACACTGTGGCAAAATATATAGTGGTTGATTAGACCAAAGTTAACACACAGGGGGGGAAACTATAAACACAATAACTCAAACTAACACAATAAAACCCTGATCCCCCCCATGATGCAGACCTCTTGGTCTGCTCTGTGGGAGGGACTTCACCATAAAGCCCTGCTCCGCCCTCAGCCCCATCTTTTGTCTGCCCAGCCCAAGCAGGAAATGCCACCCAGCAGCCAGGTAAGAAAAGAGAAATGAATTAAAATCGCAAAATGACAAACAATGTAAACTAAATGTGCTCGCTCCATCCAGAAAACAAAGTGTTGCCAAAGTATTAACTAACCAACTTTAAACAAGACAAACTTTGTGTGTTGTATGTGATTTAAGTGACTGCAACTCAGAGTACCTGAACATGTGGTATGGTGTTTGGTGTTTAGTGTACATGCTGCTACCACCTCTGTGTGGCTGTGGGCCCGGCCTTCACACTCCAAAAAGCTGTTTCAGAATAAGTTTTGTTTGTTGTTGTTGCTGTTGTTTTTTTGCAGACTTCTAGCCGTGGCTAATTTGCTTATTTGGCTAATTTTTACCTCCAGGAGAAGGCACACAGAAACTGCAGGCCATACACGTTTATGTAAACCCAAATAAACTGTCCCCATCTTAATCTTTTTCTTACTTAAATTCTACAATCTTCAAAGAAATCCAAGAATTTCTTGATCGTTTAAGAAAGTTTACTCCTTTCCAACTAAGCAGCTATTTCAAGCTAAATTTGTTAAACAAAACTGTTTGATCAAGTAATTCAGATGATAAAGCAGTTGACTAACAACAGTTTAAATAATACCCATTAAAAAAAATGAATTTTGTGGTTTGCTAATCATAGCTATATTTAATTGCGAACAGTATGAGGACAACATTTTAAACAATACAGATAGAATAAGGTCAGTGTATGAAAGATTTATGCTGATTTTTTTATTTTGCCAGGTGAATATTTTAAAAAGTCAGGACAGGAGTGTGTCTTACATCACCTCTTCTTGTAGCAGCACTCAGTAAAAGGAGACCAAGTGTTGGAGTTATGAGAGTAAAATGTTGCACTATTGCTTGATATACGACCTCAGTTGCTCAACAGTTCAGAGTCACCATTGTTATATTTCTCATTTCAGGATGCATCAATAAATTCTAACAATAGGTGCAAAGTTTGGACAGCAGGCAGGCCAGTTTAGCACATTCAACCACAGGACCATGCTACTATAAAATGTCCTATTTATTTTATTAGCCTTATTTATTCTTAAATGTATTCTTCTTGGCTTCTTATATGACTTCTTTTATTGTGTTTCTTTGTTGAGGACTTCCATAACTACAAATGTTCCCACAGCTACTCTTACGTAAACTCCCTAAAGGTGTGGTAAGTAAGCAGAAGAGATCTATTTAATCTGTCAGAGTGTAACCACCCCCTATAATCTCAAAGGCCTTTAAGTTTCCTCCCTCTTCACTGACAGGACTAAGATTTGTGATGTTAAGCCAGCAAAACTAATAACACTCCCACTGCACTTTTTTTCTTTTCTTTTTTTTTTTTGTCCTCCAAACATACACAAGTTTCTTGTACTCAAATGAAAAGGATAAGTACTCAGTGAAGAAACACCTCCACTACACCCTTGTGCATCAAACATTATAACATGACCCCCAATGACCCAAACATCATTACGTCAAATTAGGCCCACTAGAGTCCACTAGTGGGCTAGAGCTCACCTCCGCTAGATTAGGCTGTATGCTTCACCTTCCCTTACACTCTTCCTTTCATGAGAAAAGACAGACGTCAGATGATTTCCCCCCTCTTTTTTTTACATCCAGCTATGAATATTTCTTGTCAATCTCACACATTCAGCTGTTTTAATCCCTCATCCGACATTTCCTGTATGCCGCAGCCAGACTTCATGTTTATAAGCTTGATTTCAGCCTGATCCAGCAGATTGAGCATGTCAGCCCTGTAATGCAATTATTTCGCTCAAATAGTGTGTCATAGTGAACAATAATCAAGACGACATCTTGGATGTCTCCCAACAGAAAGTCTATTTTATTTGATTTTCCTCATGCCTTTTATTTTATTTTTTATTTATTCACATCAGTGACATTGACCTTTGTCTCTGCGTGCTCTTCATGAGCAAAACACTTTTAGTCCTGCCAGTCATGAGATTGACTGCCGGGCTTCAAGCCCTTCACATTGCATCTACATTTAAGTTCACTTCTACTGGACCGACCCTGACTTTCCAACCTCGCTGTTTAGCCTCTGTTGCCAAATCTGCTCATCTTTTTTTCTACCTTCTTCTTTACATTGGCATGATTATATTTATTTTGGCGAGTTTTTGCCTTTTATTGATAGGACAGATTGGAGGTATGGGGAATTAAGCTATAAGTTTAAATACAAATTTTAATCAAAAATTGTATCCAAAGCTGTCAGTCTATATTCTTATGGTTCCCTGTGAGATATTTAAAAAAAAAACTATGTTACAGCCTGACAACATATTTTTAAGATCAAACCAGCTGACTTTGGTGAGCATGTCATGCCACAGTGAGGTTAGGATTCAGTGATTCCTGTTTACGTGAGTAGCAGACAGCACGAACTCTATGTCGGGCTGGTGAGATTAATCCGACTTTCTGAGTTGGAGATCCGACTTCCCGGAGGGTTCTGACTTGGAGTTCGGAAATTCTGACTTTTGTGTTCCGCTGGAATGCACCATAAGTCATATCACACAACCCCTGTGCACAACTTTGAAAAACATTTTACCATCTGTCTTTGTTTTTTTTTTTGTTCTGTTCAGCCAGTCATGTATAGGTAGAAAGCGGTTGGGTGGTTGCGGAAGGAGGTTAAGGGGTAAGAAGGAGTTAAGTGTCTGTTTACCTGGAAGCTGAAAATTTAAAGTCACATTTTTGAGACCCTTGTTGTTTGTGATGGCACCACCTTTTGCATTTGATTGCCAAGGACTATTTTTTAGCGTGTAATGTAACCAGTTTTTGTGTTTAACCAAAACCTCAACCCATAGTCTAACCCTTTTTCTCTTCATAACAATATTTAATAGCAATAGTGTATTTAATAATATTTACACTGTCTGCCTTATCAACCTGGATGGGACGAGGGTCAGCTACAGGAATCTGGACGATAGTATGTGAAGAAAAACACTAAATGATGTGATTTTAGAGTTAAACAGAGCAGACTCAACACTCAAGGATGGAGGCCCAGCTGTGCAGCCTCATCTCCTCAGCGGCTGTCTGCTGTGAAAAAGTTTCCTGGATCTGAGACAGACAGACAGACAGACAGAGCTTTTTACTGTCAGGAAGAGAGGAAGACATCTCTGAGCTTCTAGAAATAGTGGTTTAAAAATAGCCTCGGGCTCCAGTTTTGACAAGAAGTCTCAGGGAGCAGCATTAAAGGCTGACAGACACACACCTACTGTCATCAGTGTCCATGTGAACCCACCCATACCGCCCAAAAATAACAAGTTAAAGTTTAGAGACCATTTGTAGTTGTCTAAAACACATATTCACCCATCTTTAAAACAACAAACTAAACAAAAAATCCAAACTTAGTGATTTTTACTCCACCTTCAAGGCACTTAACCGGAGCTATTCCTGCTTTGATCCCACAATGTATGACATCAGCTAATGGCTTGCCAAAAATAATCATTTAAATAAGGGTGAGTGGTGCTGTCAGTATCTAAGCAACACACACACACGCACGCACACACACATACACACACGCACACACACTTGCGTCATTTCCTACACAGAGAGCGTCCAGCACAACGCTGCTGCTGCTGCTGACAGAGGCGCACAGAGGAGGCTCCGTCAGAGACAGCGGGCTGACTCCGGAGTTTGTTCTGTGGGCAGAGCAAACACAGAAAAGGTCAGGCGTTGATTAAAGAAGCTATTTATGATTTCAGTCATGCAAAGAGCCGTTTGAGGATTGAACCTGATCAGGAATTTCAGGTATCTGCTACTCTTTGAATCCCTGTGGCTCCTCTTAATGAAAGCAGCAGCAGCAGCAGCAGCTATGGATGTGAAATAAACAGACAGTTATAAAGACGCGATTTCATGATTTATTCAGAAAAAAGATCGCATGCTCGGACTTTGGAGATGGTTTCTTCGGGGTTGACGCGACAGCGCCGTAGCGCGCGTGGATCCACGGTCACCTGTTGAAGTTGTCCGGTGCGCGCTGCCTCACATTCTGCTTCTTAAACGGGAGGGTCGAACAGATGCTCGCTCTGCCCTCCGGTCTGTCTGAGGCTCTGAGTCCCCGTTATGTTGTAGGATGAGCGCTGATCTGGAGCGCGTTTCGCTCAACACATCAGTGACCTCGGCCGGCCCGGGCGGCCGTGCGCTCTCGGCGAACGTCCGGCGGCTGCACAACGCTCTGAACCTGCTGCTCAACGACCTGGAGAGAGAGCAGTTCATCCACTGCCTCAATGTGTACCACGCCAAGCGCAACGTCTTCGACCTGGTCCAAACTCTCAAAGTGATCCTTAACACGCCCGGGAAACGCCAGCTGCTACCCATGCTGCGCTTGGTCATCCCGAGGTCCGACCAGCTGCTGTTCGACCAGTACACCTCCGAGGGGCTCTACCTGAAGTCGGACCTGCTCTCCAGCAACGGCAGCGCGGAGGGCTTCGACGAAGGCGAGCCAACTGTGCAGAAATACGTGAGCTCGTCCCAGGACCAGCCGCTCAACCCGAACTGTCCGGACGGGTTCAGCGCCGCCTCGGAGCTCTCTGCGTTCATGGCCCCGCACTTCTTCGAGAGTCCCTTTGGAGAAGTGCGCCAGGTCACCCTCACGCGCTCTAGGAGCCATGAGGGTCTGGGCTTCAGCATCCGTGGGGGGTCTGAGCACGGCGTGGGGATTTACGTGTCCCTTGTGGAGCCGGGATCATCGGCGGAGAGAGAGGGTCTGAGGGTCGGGGACCAGATAGTGACTGTGAATGACCTACTGTTTGACAACGTCACGCACATAGACGCTGTGAAGGTAGGGTGATTAGTGTGCGTGAGTTTTACCCGTGACTTCATTACCACTCTGCAGGTTCAGAGGAGTCAGTGACAGTGAGTGTGAGCTTCTTGTGTGCAGGGCAGGCTGTGGTCCTGTGTCTGCTGACTGAGTGCAGATGTAAATGCTGCATGCTCCCGGCTGTGAGATGAGAGGTGCATTACTGCATGCACTGCTGCTCCACAAAACAACAGGGTTTAGCGACAGCCTTGCTTCCTCTGTCCCACAGGTCTTATTAGGAGCTGCCTCCAGATCAGCTCTACTTTCCTCTTATTAATTCTTCTTCAGCACTTCACTCTGGCTTAATGCTCTGTGCCCCTGGCCCAGAGTCCCAGAATGAACTTAAATGTTAAGCCCCAAAATGAGATCCTCTGTCAAGAAATCCATGGTGAAAGGTGAACTGTACTGGTTCTTTTTGTGTACCTTGATAACTCTGGCAGCAAACATTAACATTTTATTCATTTCCAGGAAACATTAAATTTGTTTGATCTTGGCAAGTGCAGCAAGGACCCAACTCTACTTTCTGTGAAACATTTTGGCACAAACTGTATGCAAGAGGGTTAAACATGCAGGTAATTAAGGTTTTCAGACAGAATCTGATGAACGTTTAGAGGAGGAAAACAGAGACAGATATTGCTGCAAATAGGATTCACAAGTAGTGTTGGGTATCATTTGATTTTGAGTGATTGTGGCTCCGATTTCGATTCCTCGTTTCGATTCCAGTTCTTGACGATTCTCTATTCCGATTCTTTTAAAAGGCAGGATACTAAGAAAAAAAAGGATGGTTTTAATGAGGGTGCTAACCGGAGTTCTTTGTAAACTTCGTATGCCCATAGGCTGTATCAAGTGTCAATCATAGAACATGAACCCCGTAATAACTTTTAAAAACTGAGCTGTACAGAAAAAAACAGGACTGTTTTTTGTAGGACAAACCAGTCCTACAATAACTACATGTCAACATCAAAAGCAGGGGGAGAAATTTTTATATTATTTCTAAATTTCTTAAGTTTGTCCACAACTCTGTAAAGATTGCTGGAGGAGGCAGGATTGATGACCTATACTGCAGTCCGTCACCAGAGGGTGCTGTTCTCAGGGTGGCTTTACCCAGCTCATTTTATATACAGTCTATGATTTATTAATTTACTTCCACAGCAAAGCATGCACTGGTAAGAGACACATCTTTCCCCATGGGTAATGGTGATAATGGGAAATGCAGTCTTCACATAACACTGAAGTTCAACACAGAACCTATGCAAACATAATAATAGAGCCATTTTATCCAAATCTATGTTAACATTTCAACGTTGGTGGTTTTCACAGCTCACAAATACTCTTTGTTGTTGCAGATTTTCCGTGTCTGTCCTGTGATCTCTGTCTTCAACCTAAAACAACAGAAAAAGATAAATTCAGCCTTATCATATTCAAGTCTTGATAAATCCCAGTGAGGCAAATGGAGAGACTAAACATACTGAAACCTCGGGGAACCACTGCGTTAAGTGCACTCTCACCTGCAATGCATTTTCAAATTGAATATCAGAAACTGAAAGAAACACACTCCTGGTAGAAAATATGTTTTATTGATTTAAGTAGGAGAAAACTCAGTGGACACACACTTCACAACACAAAGCACTTCACCTCTGTTTGTAGTTGTAGCACCCCTTGTGTGTGCGTCTTTAAATTGGCTTTGTTTCTGAATTTGCATCGCAGTTATCCCTGTAAAATCTTTTGGGCTTTTCTTAGTGTGTTTTTCTTTGATGGTTACTCTACTTAATATTCACATAGCAGCACTGTGCGGAAACATGTACAAGTTTGCATTTTACATAGCATGTTTTAAGCATATTTGGTTGAATTAGCACTCGAAAGCTGCTGCATGCCACTTCAGTGCTGTAAAGCAGGGGAACATATCTAACAAATTATGGAGATGAGGGCAATCAGCCTTCAGGCAAAGCTCTGGCAAAAAAAGCACGAGAGCCAACAGACTGTAATTGTCAGGAAAGAAAGTCTCAAAAGGAGAAAACTCTTTCAAAGAGCGCAATTCAGTGAAAGCAAAACTGATTATCAAAAAGCTAACAGGTTAGCCATGAAAGCCCCAAAACAGTGTGGGATGTAGACAGTTTGGTATGAAATCATGATTTGCCCCTTACAAACATCTATTGATGGAGATTTCGTACACAGAGTAACAGAGAAAAATTAACAAATTATCCACCCCTGAGATAAGAATAGCAGTTTTTATTGCCACAAGGAATAATAATATATACACATAATGCAAAACAGATCCAAGCCCTAGATCTATATCTAGCCTTAAAAAGCTCAGACTTTTTAAAGTTCACTCTAGGCTCGACATTGATATCATATTAATCACTGAAAATGTGAAATATGTGCTTTAAATTTACTTTAGTTTCCTTTGAGCATTTATTGACATAAATAGGAACTTTGACCCTTAGCTGCCATTGTTTTGTTGTAATAGTAGTGACATTATTTGCTGTATTAATTGTTATTTCTTTACTCAAACACGCTCAAAATGCACACATTCAGATTCAGTTCATGCAACACAGAGCTGCAATATTTACCTAGGCCACATCTGTCTTTTCATCACACTCTGCTGTCTCTTTCTTTTACGTCATCATACTCTGCCATCTGTGTCTCTGCCAGTCAAACACGCCAAACACGTATATGCTCGGTCAACTGAACCAGGGATGACAATCGATAGAAATGTACATTGTATTTAAAGGCTATCCTCGTACCCTGCCCCCTTCTTCCTCCTGTACCTGACTGCGCTGCATTTCTCCTCCTGCTGTATTTTGTGTCAGGCGGTGCACAGTGAGTGAGCAGTTGATTGACATAAAGAGAAGGAGAGTTGACCATGAACAAAGCAGAGCAGATACATCATGAGTCTATGTCACAAACAAGGCCACATTCAAAACATATGGGATTAAAGGCACAGGATCACAGGACTCATTGGTAACACAAGTAATGTTTATAGGTGGTTTCTAAACCACTTATTAATCATTTACATAGTATAACAAACATCAGTTTTAGCTTTGTAATAACCATCTGAGTAATGTTTATAAATGGTTCAAAAACCAAATATTAATAATTTGCAAAGTGCTAGATGTTTGCAAATCTAGACGTTTTACAACCAATATTTAAACCCTATATAAACCTTCAATAAATAGTCCATTAATAATTAATGAGAATTATTCATCATAATTTAATTGCTTGTTATGGTAAAGTAACTATTAACTTACATTAATAAACTATCTACATGCTGTTTTTAAATGATGATTAAACATTAATAAACTATCTATTTACCATTTATAAATTATGGTTATTGTAAAGCTTTACCGACCCATTTCTAACAGGATTGATTCAGGTACAAATGCTGGGAAAGGCACAGAGCATCATTTGCATTTTTTTCATGATGTAGATAAAGATGACTGACTAAAAATAATGGCAGGGTAATTAGAGTGGGTCACAGGTAAGTGGGAGTCAGGTAGAAAGTTGAAGGGCTTTAGTTGGCTGGCCCTGGAGTATGCACACACACAAAAAAAGGATCAAGGCATTTGTTATGAAGGTAAACAAATCTTTCAAAGCTTTGCTTGTACAACTGTGATCCTTATTACTACAGAGGGCACGGATCTTCATGGTTAGGATATGAGGTGATTATTTTAGTGTCCAAATGACAGACGAAAACATCACATTTTTGATTCGCTGAAGTGGATTGAAAGTAACCTGCAAAGTAACCTTGCAATGCTAATGTAGGTAGCTGTTCAAAGGGCATCCACTAAAAATGACAGGCTACGATTGTTGTTCAAATATCCTCGCAACACTGAATGAAGGCTTTCTTTTATGCTCAGCCAAGAACAGCTATCAGCTTTACATAGCCAGTACCATCATGAACAGTTTTAAGTCCTACAACATGAGGGCTGCTGGTCTACTACTTGAGTGATCGGTTAGTTTTCAAATATTTTTGCCTTGAAATTTTGTTTATGGTTTGAACTGAGTGTAGCCAATGTTGCTAACCTGAAATCGCTACTTGTGAAAGGCTTTTTGTCTGGTTGGAAACAGGCGTTATGATCAAGTTAGCTATGGAGATTTTAAACAGCAGGTTGCCAGTGTTAATCATGATGGTTTGATATAACATGGGTAACATTTAATGTTATTTAAGACTTTAGGCATGGGGGATTTGAATATTGCCTCTTATTTCCTGGATAAAGGCTTTTGTCCTCCTCCAAATCTGTGCTTGCAAGTAAATAACTTCTCTACTAATCAAAACCGATCAGCTGTGAGTCAATAACAGCTGTTTGTTTCTGACCACATGTGCATAGTAATCATTCTGGAAAAAACACACACACACACAATTAGTATTTGTATCCTTTTACTCATTACACAAACATCTGCACATGAAGAACAATCTTCATCTTATTTAATCCGTGTCCAGCAATTTAAGCTCTCACTACTGGCCATTAGTGCCAGGTAAAAATAGACGCATAATGACATCAGGAAACCGTCTGTAGTCTCCCTTTTGTCCCTGAATTTTTTGGCCGTCTACACTGAAAAGACTCAGTTTCTTCTGCTAGATGCATCTGAAAAATTACATGAGAGATGGAAAAAGTGTGTGGGAGGAATAAGAGTAGATGTGTGAAAGATGTCAAGGCAGGAAAATACATGTGTTACTCGGTTGTTGTGGCGGTGCTGGATAAAAAACCTTAAGAAAAGAAACGGAAAGCTCAAATATGGTTATTATAATTGACAAAATATTCCCTCACTTCACGTCAAAAGGTAACCCTCGGTTTAGACACCTTGCTATACACTGAAACTCTCCTCTGCTGCAGAGATAATGCCTCGTAATGTACTATTTTATCATCCCAGACATTAGTGCTTTACCTGCTGTTGTCTCTCACTGGAATTTTTTTATGACCTTGCAAGCTTTGCTCACTGAGTCAGAGTCTAATGCACTCCATCTACAGCAATTTTCCAATGAGAAACAAGACTTTTCTTATTTTTCCTCCTGGAGACTGAATGGCTTCGGCCTTGGGTAACATCTTATTGAGGAACAAATAGAGGAGCTTTTTTCACTTGCCTATACCAGACTTTATTGAATCAGTGCATCAACAAGCTGAACAGGGGCTTTTATTCTGTTCACCTGCTTCTGTTTATTTCGTTCACCCCATCAAACAAACAGCTAATCCTGGATTTCTCTTTTTTGAAGGGGGTCTGATGTTTGGTTTTCTGAGTGGAAAGAGCACTGCTTGGGTTCAGTTTTGGACACAATCTCTATTAGAAGGAGAAAATATAAATCAGGGAGGATCCAGACCAAATAGTGTGATTTGAAGGTCGAATAAAATGAGGTCTAGGAGGGTGAGGATGATGATGCCAAAACACATCTGAGGAAGGGATGATTTTTCATTTAGGTTAGTCCTAGATACAAAACAAAACAAAACAAAATAAGAACTTTATTGATCCGCAAAGCAGAAATTCATTTGTCTGGAGTGTCATGACTCATGTCATCTACTATTCACAGAATAATTAAAAAGTCAGATTGCCGTGGATACAGAAGATCTTCTGAATCTTTCTGTCCTGCAGCAAAGATAGAGGAGCTGTCCAACACCATTGGCCCTTTGGTCCATCAAGGTGTTATGAAGTGGATGATCCATGTTCTTTAGAATAACCTCCACCTTCCTCAGTGCACATCTCTCTAACACATCCTCCACTGAGTCCAACTTGATACCAACCACAGTGTAGTAGAGCCAGCTTTTTTAATGAGTGTTGAGATCCCTGTGTTTTATATATTGCTTCCCCAGCGGACTGCAGCATAGAACACAACACCACAGACTGATGAAACATCTGCAGCATCTTATGACAGATGTCTATTGATCGGAGTCTTCTCAGGCAAAAGAGGCGGCTCTGCCCCAATTTGTAGATGGAGTCTATATTCTTAGACCAGTCCAACTTCCCACTGAGCAATAGACGACTATTAGACAGCTAGTTTTTAACCTAAGTTTAACCTCTAGTTTTTTAACCTAATTTCAACCGTCTAGATTTTGTATATTTTTAGATTGAATTTAGACGTTGCACTTGATCCCATTGTTTGATAACTATCTATTTCACAAAGCAACTGTGAGTTGTATAACTGATCTCCAAGCACTTAACCAAAATGATCATGATAACCGTTGAGCAATATACAGTGTAGTATAGATATAGCCCAGATTTAGACTTTGTCTAAACTCAGTCTAAATGTAGACATCTAAAAAACATTCATTTTTAGTACTGTGGTAGCCTGATTTTAGACCAGTCGTCTAGGCTACATTTAGACGTCTATTAGACCTCTTTTAGACCAAAAAAGGCTCAGTGGGTTATTATCCAGGTGTACACCTAGATATTTATACAATGTCACCACCTCGATCCACGCCACATTTGTTCACTGGCTGAAGTGGGGGTTTTGATCTGCAGAAGTCTATGCTCAATTCGTAGGGCTTATGTACTTAATGGTCAACAATGACAAATAATTAGATAAGAGGAGTGTGAATATTTAAAATATAGAAAGTCTCCATGACAACAGTTAGAACATCTAATGCAGCAAAACTCTTATATTGCTCTTACATTTACAGCTTTGTTCTAACAAAAAGACTTCATGCTGTCTGTGTATCCATAATTACAGCTCCCCTGGGACTTCATGCTGTTTCATTATTAGTCTTCATGAATATTCAGCAGTGCGTGAACGCAGATTTTCTTCCAGCTCTTGTTAAAGGCTGGGTGCTCTCCTTGTCCCAGGTCCACCTCTCTGATCAGACTAAGAGCTGACTCATTCATTACCGTTTTTGATAAAGTTGCTAACATTTAATACCTGCTGCAGCTAGGCCTCGCCAGCTGTTTATCAGCAGGGTGTTAAAGGCGGCCGCATACACAGAGGGGCTCATTTGTGAACATAAATGTTTTTAATCTAGATTAACTCTGGCTATTCATTAAGACCAATGTTATTGAGAAAGACTTGTGGGAAATTAATGAGTCAACTTGCCTTGAACACAGAGGGAACAAGATAGGCCCTTAATAAGGATAACCTTGAAGAAAACCTTTTGGCTATGTATTTTAAAAATAGGGTGGATCACAGGCTTACTGTTTTAGAAGTTTTTAACAATGGAGCAGTAACTTCAGGTGTTATACATGAAGGTGTGGAAGTTCAAGTGCAGTTTCTTCAGTGTCCACTAGAGGCTGTTTCCAAAAGTGAGTTCATCCCATTGACTGTGTCAAGTATGGACAATGAGTATGTTTACATGCACAGCTTAATTCGACTAAGATCATAATTTGTTTTTTTTTTTCGCCAAATTGGACTTCTCCCCTTGTCCTCCTCCCCAAAACTAGGGGGCAATATGACAAAATGTCCATTTCTTTCAGGAGGAAAAGCATAACTCTCCTCATCGTTCCAAAAGCAGACATTATTTTGTGCTTCAGCCATGTTGCAGTCGCCTCTGAGTCAAAAGTTCTTTAAATGATAGTGCCATTTCTTCTCTGGTTTTCTTGCTCTGGGGTAATGGCGGCATTGCGCACGTGCACATGCATTGTCCAATCGTACTCCGACTACGCTGGTTACATGATAGAGAAAATCGAGTTCCAATTGCATTACCTGGGTGTCTTAATTGGAGTTCTCAAACTCCGATTATAGTCAGACATGCACTTCAGTTGTCTGGTCTTAATCAGATTGAGGCAAACATTTGGTATTTCTCGAGTGTCATGTAAACGTATCGAGTGTGAATCTTCCTCCCTTTGTTGTATGGATTTGAGGCCAAAATACCCCCCAGTTTCTTACCACATTTTGTCAGTTTATGTGGACCAGAGTTTCCGCAGTATCTTTTGGCGGGAGAATTGATGACGCTCAGCTCAAACAGCATACCCGTCTGATGTCCTACACAAACCACGGATTCCTGTGTGGATCCACCTGATTTCACTCTCATGAGGTCAGACAGAGATACTACAGCTAGTAGCAAGAAGAAAGGATAGGATCTGGCTTTATTCGTCAACCAGAGATGGTGTAACTCTTGACTGACTCAGTGCTGGTGTAGTCTCTGTTTTTCTGTTTGGGTAATGCTGCTGTAAGCTCCTCTTTACAAGCTGAGGAGAAATTCTGCTCAGCTGTTCTTCTTAATCCCAAATTTTACTCACCCACACATGTAAAAGTCACTGTTATGAAAGGTAGTTTCTTGTGTGGATATATGCACACATGGGAAGTATTTCACTTTAAGCAAAATAGCGCTGATCTAGCAGAAAACTCTGTCTTCCTCCTCCTCCTCCTCCTCCTCCTCCTCAGTTTATTCATTCAAGAGGAAGCAGAGCAGCCAGGAGCAAATAGACCTCCAAACCTGATGCTATTTTTACACCAGCAGGCACAAGGGCAGAGACCTTTATTGAGAACCCTCTTAATCCCTGAAAGCAAACACAGCGGCAAAGTGATGTAAGAGAGATGATGAGTCGTAGACTCATAAAAGAGGGACCTCAGCGTTATTGCCCTGGTGAGTTCAATGTGTCCCAACATGAAAACAAGATTGGAGAAGTAGAGGTATTTCATTTCCATTTCCACCACCTGCACTCAGCCATCATTATGCACAGACCCCGCTGCAGACAGGAGGATACTTCTGCTGCTCCTACAGCAAGGGGCTATTTTCTTTACATAAAAATCAATTCGATCCAGCATGATTTGTATTCCAGTGAAACGTTAAGCATGCAGCATCAGAGGAGGTATAATAGTATCCAAAGAAACTGTAGCACTTTTATGTTTCAAATCAATCAACTCACAAAAAGGCCTCGTCTCCTTGTAGTATGTTACCTTAAAAAAGGAACAGAGAGGTATGGAAGAGAAAAATCTGATAACATTAAACAGTTTCGGAAATTATATTCTTTTTAAAGTTCTGTAATATAGAGTTACACAGGTAAATGTGAACATGAACCTGATCCTCTTATTTAAGTGAAGTACCCACCACAGGACAACTGGGCAGTACGAAAGAGGATTAGGGCCACATGAAGAGAAAAAATATAATGATTACAGGAACAAAATCAAAGTCGAAATTTCAAGATAAAAGTTAACATGAATAAAGTTGAAATTTCAAGATTAAAGTTGAAATTACGAGACAAAAGTTGACACAAATAGTGACGGAATTTCATGAATAAAGTCGTAATGTTGAGATTAATGATAGTGAATCAACAGCATTGTCGTTCGTCACTCAACAACATGTCCTCTGTAGAATGGTTTCTAAAGCTGTACTTTTTTCTCTTCTTGTGGCCCTGATCCTCTTTCATAGGGCAGTCAAGATGTTTGTTGTCGTAAAGGTTTATTGTCTGATTTTCTTGTGATGTGAGGTATGCTCAGTCATTTTTATTTCCCAGACTTGCTGTAAGCATGTGACGGTCAAATCATAGATATCAAATAGTGTTGTTTAAGTATACTGGTATTGAGAATATATAGAAGTATGATATTGTGCTAAAATTAATCATATGATAAAACTGCGTGAGTATTTGGTTTATTGTAGTTGTGATTCTGGTTGTGACCAAGTGGCGTCTTGAGAAAAAAAGGTACTGAAGAGCCAAAAACTGGTGACTTGAGTGCCCGCTTGAGGCTAGCTGCAAAAACCCCAGGAACCACATTCACAGTAAGTAAAAAAAAGCAATTTTTCAGAGCAAAATTTGCATGTTAACATCCAAGTAAAAAAAAAAAAAAAGGTTTTGGTCTGAATATCTTGAGGCTCCCACAGACTCATTGTATGAAGGAGTGAAGCCTCCTCTCAAGGACCCACAATGCACCCCAAAGTGGACCCCTAAGGAACTGCGTTTTGTTTTTTGTTTGTTTTGTTTTTTGCGCTCTTGCACTGACTTTATTTTCTAAGAGCCAAAATCACAGCCTCGTCCACACATCAATCAGCTCACCCAATCTTTTCATGGGTTTTGTTGAAGAAGAAGTTTGCTTATAGTCAAAGTCAACAGAATCAGATATTTGCTTTCACACAGTGACCCCTCCGTGACAGTTTCAGACGTGCAGTGCTTGTGTTAAAATGTTGAAAGCGTGCAGTGAGGGCTGATCCCGGATCAGATTAGGGGCCTACTGTTGAACTCAGTGTGGTCATAGATCTGTCTGAGCCTTCATCACCAGTCTGTAAGCATCTGTGTCTGTTTCCTTCTGCCTGAGCTGACACCTTGATGTACCACACTTGTGTATCCTCGTCTTGTTCACCTCTAGACCTCTGACTCACTCATCCTCTCTTTCTCTCACTATTCCTTCTTTGTGCTTCTCTTCCTGTCTTCTTGCTCTCCCCGGTGAGAGTTGCGTTTCCTGTTTAGAAACTCTGACAGAATATTAAAGTCGGAGTTTGTCCGCAGAGGGCATAAATGAAATCTGCCTCACCACAAGAAACTGAAAATGGGCAGAGAGACATTACCGGGCATTTCACTGACGTTTGCTTTGCAGAGAGAACATCGATCTGTTTCTTTTTATTTTTGTGAGATGAGGATTCTGGGAGCTGAGACTGACTCTGCTGAGACTTCAACTAAAGCTGGTGTGTAAATAAGTGAAGTCAAACTGAATGGAGAAGTACAGGGGATGCTGCAGACAAAAACTGAGGCTAGAAATGACAGAAATTAGAAATGATTGTGTTGTTAAGGAAAGCGGTGGGGTTTATTGACACAGTTTTGTCTGAAATGTTTTCTTTGAGAACAAAAAGTCCTTTTTATTAACAAAGCACTTTTGAAAAAGCAGTCAATTTTTTTCCTGGGCAAAACTCATTCAGCAACAGAACAAAGAACTGACTTTTGGAATAAAAACCTCTACAACTCTTAGTTTTCTATAGTAGAGTTTGTCTGCCAGTGTCATTTATGTGTCAGGAATCACACTCACATAGACCCAAATGCAGACGCCAGAGACGAGTAACAGTTCACAAACTTTTGATTTGTCCAAGGTCGTTAACAGGAGGTCAATTAAAATCATGCAGAGGTACAAAAACTCAGGATCGGATTAACTAAAGGTCAAAGGTCAGGCACACGAGGATCAAGTGAAAGTAAATGCGCAAAGACATAATGGTAAACAGCTGTGACACATCAGGGAGATGGGCTTGTGCTGGGGGCTGGAAGTTAATCTCAAAGACATGAGAAGAATTAGACATTTTAAAATAAAGCAGAAAATGACAAGACCTGATACAAAAGGGACATAGTTACAGTTAACTAGTGGATGTGACATTGTGTAGTTTTTCTATTGAGATATTGTGTTGAATATTGTGATCTCTTGTTGCATTTTCAGACATCATTTCCCTGTAGGGAAGTAAAATTCCAGCCAAAAAGTAATAAAAGTTTATATTAAACCACAACATCTAATGAAAAAATAGCAATAAATGATAAATGCAAGCTTTGATATTTTTTTACTTTGTTGTAAACAGATAAATCACAATCCTGTAACAATTCTTTTTTTTTTTTTACATGAACAGAATATTTCTGCAAGGAACCTTGGTTTGTGTTTAGCCACACAATGGTGAAAGTCATATTTAAGATGCTGACCCAAACTTTCAGCCAAACCAGAAAGTGAAGCTTCAAATTTGTTAACCCATGCATAATTCTAAGTCGAGCCTGTCTGTTAACTTAATGGATGCATTTATGAACAACCAAGACTAAAAAAATTAGCAATATGGAACAAAAAGGTGTTTGGTACCAGACTATAAACATGTTAATTTCAGCTCGACAAAATGGACATTTTAACATGGGACTTTTTTATCTGTTTTAGTGCCAGCCTTAAAGGGATATTCCAGCGTAAAGTCAATTTAGGGTCAAACACACCGTAACACAGAATTAGACACCCCGTCGAGAGATGAATGTTGCAGACCGCATGCTTCTCTAGTTCTACCAACTTTAGTAACCATGCACTCAACCAAAAAGCCACTCGAAAGCCACAAATAATGCTCAAAACAGCACCTAACTTCATCAACAGCACATATAGGGTCCCAGCCATAGTACTAGCCACCAAACATGCGTCACCCCGCTGCAGTCGATGGACTCATCCAGAGGTCTCCGTACAGATAAGCGGCTGCTGGAAGAGAGTGGGTGAGTTGTGTTTCGTCTCTTTGCTAAAGAATCAGGCAAAGTTAAAAAGATGTTTGGTGGCTGGTACTATGGCTGGGACCCTGTATGTCCTGTTGATGAAGTTAGGTGCTGTTTTGAGCATTATTTGTGGCTATAGAGTGGTGTTTTGGTTGAGTGCATGGCTCTCTGTATTGCTATTGTGCAGTCATTTCTTAAGTTGGTATAACTAGAGCAGCAAGCGGTCGGCAACATTCATCTCTCGACAGGGTGTCTAACTCGGTGTTACGCTGTGTTTGACACTAACTTAATTTTACGCTGGACTATCCCTTTAAGTGGATACCTGCAGTTTGGGTTGTTTTTTTTTTCACTTCCATAATGGCTTCATTTTTCATCACTTGAAATCACTGCTTGGTTTACACCTGGTATATACACAAGTGTCCTATGTAATTCAGTTGCAAGTTAAACAGATCTGTGTGCAGCCGTCCAGTGATGCATAGTAACCTGCCTGCTATCAAACGCACTTTAATTGCATCAAATAAACATAACGTAATTGTTCAGTCTGTGGGGAGACTTTTATTCAATGCTCTGCTGACTGCATCTCACAACATCACATGCACTGCCTTGTGGGATCTGTTGTCATTGTTTTGAATGGAGGTTTGTCGGAGCAGGTATTAAATGGTTGAGTGGTTGTCATGTTGTGCTAATCCTGTTGTGGTTATCAAGTATGCAGTGGAATATTTCTGCAATTTTTTCTTCATTAATTGTGTCCCCACAGCTTTGAGGACTAGACTGGTGTCTTCTGGTTCCTGTCCTTGAAACACAGAGACAGGGACTTTTTGTAAGACAAACTGCGGGAAGGGTGAAAAGGGGAATAACAGCTTTTAATGTAATATCAGATATTGTACAATCAGTGTCATCAATTGATGAATTACAATGAATGTCCCCCTCTGCATGAGCATGGCTGCAGACTAAGTCATGGGCAACATGGTATAAAATTGAATCAGACGATACAATCAATATTCTTGCAATAATAATGAATCAGGGACTATGAGAACCATGTTGGTGTTGAGAGTATTTTAGGGCCTCATCTTGAGTTTTTAGGCTATTGTTTTACTGCAAAATCTTTAACTTATCTGGTTCACTCTGAGGTCTCTCATAGCATCACATCAGGACCAATCAGGACTTGACTTAAAATTATACACAACTTTACAGTAAAGTACACTTACAGGTTGAATCTGATGTTGTATTTTACATCCTCTCTCTTAGAAAACTGTTTGATCTAAATTGAACTGAGGCAACATTTTAAACCCAGTCTTAATCAAATTACAAATAATGCAAAATTAAAAGCATATGTGGTTTTCCTAACATGAATAAGACTTTAGGTTTGCCTTTGCAATATCAGCAGCAAATGTGTATCTCTCTCCCTCCCTTCCTCTCTCTCTCTCTGTGAGTGTGTCTGTGTAATCTGGCTCCAACACACGTTCACTGCATGAGCAAATACGGTGTTTTTCACTTAACACTGAGGTCTTTTAAATAGTAGAGTTGTCTGTTTGCAACCTCTTGCAGAGTCATCTTCATACTTAGATTTGTAATGCTGTGGATTCATTCAGCTATAGGCAGATGTGCTGTTTGTTTAACCCCTGTATCTTTGCCCCTTTTTGGGTGTCTGAACCTGATCCAGCCCTCGCTGCATCTATGTTATGTTCATATCATGTTTACAGTTGGCAAGAAATCAATGCCTCTTTGAAGAGTGACTTTTTTTATAAGGATGAGGGCTTAATGTCAATCAACTATGTATTATGGATGAGCCAGACTAAGAACTGTGTCTTTTAAACCATATTTGGCTGCGTAAGATTAAGCTTCTACTGCCCATGACACTAAACCTAATGTTTTACCTGTAAGATGCACATTAATAAAAATTTTTAACAAGTTTGTGTTGACATAAATTCCAATGAAAAAATTAAAAAATAAACCAACAAAGTCAAAATGTAAAAAAAAAAAACACATTAAAAAACATTAGCAATAATGATAACGATGACGTCCTTTCTCTGTAAGCTCAAGCTGTTCATTTTACTTAGTAATAAGTCAAACAATGCTTTGTGTTATATCTGGTAGTGTCTATTTAATTTTAGCAATGTCATTTCTCTAACATTTTTCATTAAGGACAATTTCTGAAAACAACAGAGCTTTGTTATTTATCACCAAATGAACTCATTTGTTAGATTGTGTTTTGTGTGCGACCCTGATCCTGAGAAGTTGGGAGGCTGTATTAAATATTGATTGAAACACAAATGCGATGGTTTTGAGACCGTTTTAAAAAAAACATCAAATGAACAGAAACAAATTAAAAAGAATATGCTCATTTTTTAATGAACAAACTTTCATTATTTTTATAACATCACAACAAACAACAAAACTGGCAGAAGACAATGCAAAGGGAAGATGATCAACGATAAAGAGTCAAAAAATCTGTCTGATCGAAACAAACAAACAAAACATAATCAAAGTAAATTGCAGCCAAACAGGAAATAAATGAAAACAAGATGTGGAGCAGAAAGAAAAAATCACTTTGTATATACACTGACATAAGTATTCTAGTGTTAAGCTGTCCACTGTTTATAGACTGCAACGCCAACATCAAACCACAAGGGGATGCAAGCCGTCATCTCCAAACCAAGATGAGTCAAACTTGTTAGATAAAAATTAGATAAACACACACTACAAAAATGTTGGAAGCTGGACAAACTTTCATTATTTTTATAACATCACAACAAACAACAAAACTGGCAGAAGACAATGCAAAGGGAAGATGATCATCGACCTGTGAGCCCATAAAAAGTTGGATGGTTCCTTTCTCCTACTCTTAAACCGTCGATATGGCGTCAATGATTTCCAGACAGAATATCATATTTTGAATAGTCAGATCATGAAACTGTTTTCCACTTCACCTCAGTCCATCTCAGACCCAGAGTAGTGGCTAATGTTTCTGGCTCATGTTTTGATGAAATCATGTCCTGTAGATGATGAAATCCACCAACTCTTCAAAATTTTTGTGGAAAAAACCTTATTTCAACATTTGTTGAACTATTTTCTTCCACAGTCTCTCACATACTGGTGAACCTCTTTCTATCTTTCCATCTGAGAGACTCAGCCTTTCAGAAATTTTGCAACTTGTCATTTTACTAACCTGTTTCAAGTTAATGCAATTTGTCGAAGATGATCTAGCGAGTGTTTATTTATTTATTTTTTTCGCATTGCACCATTTTTTTCAGGGTTTTATTGTCCCTGTCTGGATCTTTTCTTTAAAATGGGTAACACTTTACAATAACCAATAGACCATTCATAAATGGTAAGCAGATCGTTTATTAATGTTTAATCGTCATTTATAAATAGCATATAGACCATTGATAAATTGGACATTTTACGATTTAAAAAACCTAACCCTAACTTTACAATAACCATCTAAATAATGTTTATAGGTGGTTTATAAACCACTTGGTTTAAAAACCAAATATTAACCATTTACAAAGTGCTACTGACACACATTTTAATCTAGATGTTTTACAACCAACATTTAAACCCTACATAAACCTTTAATACATAGTCCATTAATAATTAATGAAAATTATTAATCATAATTTCATTGCTTTTTAATGATGAAGTAACCATTAACTTACATTAATAAAATATCTATTAGCCATTTATAATTGGTCTATATGCTGTTTTTAAATGATGATTAAACATGAATAAACTATCTATTTACCATTTTTAAATGTTTTGTTATGTGAAGTGTTACCTTTTAAATGTATCATATGTGGCATTTTATCATAAAACATTAAATTTCATTTTCATTTTCAACATTCAAACCTGGCTCTTACTCTACTTTATTATTTCCGAATATAAAAATATTTTATTTCTTATGACATTTTACACTGCGTCCATTTTTTTCTGGCGTTGGGGATGTAGAAAACGATATCTCTTGCACGCCTCTCTGGATGTGATATTTTGTTTCAAGGTTTAAGAATAAAGCCGATATAAATATTTCACTGAAGCATGCAAAAGCTCTAACTCTGGCCGCTGTTTGGTTTTATTTTTAAACAATGACTGTCTCACTCTACTTGTGTGTGGAGAAATAACATTATGTAATCACAACCAAATGACTCTGCTCACACATCAGGCCTCCAACGAGATCCAAAAACAGCAGCTCTGCCTCAGATCCCTCCGTGCCGGATGGAGGAGGAGGAGGAAGTGTTTCAGTGGGAGAATTCATCCTTTGTTGTCAGTTTGATAAGGCCAACACGACGTGACCGCACGTTAATAGAACAAACCTTTCTGACTGCTCGTCTCCCTCGGCTGCTTTTCCTAGATCAGAATTCCACTGCTGCATGCTGCTGCTCCTGCTGCAAGTGTCCTTGAACGCAGCTCTGTGTTTCTAGGTGCGTATTGTAGAGAACAGGCATTAGTGTGTGGGAGAGGCCGATGGGAATCAGCTCCCTGATGTGGAGGAACAGCCTGACTTTTACTGTAGCAACTGTGGATCAGAGAGCAGAACAGCTGTCACAGTATGTTTTTTTGTGTGTGATCTGGTGACAGGCGGTGTGTGGGAATTTGATACAGGAGAGTGATCCTGAATTATACTGTTGTATTATGTGGATGATTAATTACAGTATTAATATAAATGGATTCTTCTTTTTTTCTCGGGTAGGTGGGTGAGGAAGTGGGTTAGCATTGTTTTTTCAATTCTTACAATAAAATCTTTTAACTTGATACTGAATGCACCTTTTCACCTTATTGACCCAAACATAAATGATCCTGACTAAGATAGGACAACCCTCTAGATAGATAGATAGATAGATAGATACTTTATTAATCCCAGAGGGAAATTCAATGATAACAAATTTGTAGGAAAAGTCTTTCTGAGGACAAGTCTTACTTTTATATGGAGAAAAATTCTACTAAATATAATGGTGACATAAAAAACAAACAAACATTGATTAGAACAAAGATGCTTTTTTAACACATACCTGGATTTCTTGGCTGTTCAACAGTTGTGTTAGGTCTGTGCTGCATTTTCTATTTTCTAATAGTAAAAAAGGCATTATAACATTACCTTGCCTGGTTGTTTGTTAATTATTCCCACCTGTGTGCTGCTTTGCCTTGGTAACAGAGTGTGTTTATGTTACATCATCCTTGCACCACGGCATGTGATTGATGGTTGTTCTGTGTCACAAATCCAAGCTCCGCCCCCGGAGCCCCGCTCTGCTGGCCAGACTCCGAGAAGTAGAGAGAACGATTGCAGAACAAGTGTGTGCAGGAGCAGATTGCAATGCTCGTAAGAAAGCTAATTTTGATTTGAGCTTACATCTCACCCCCAAAGACATTGGTGTTTGAGGGCTGAATAGAGGTGAAGTGCTAATGAGCTACTGGAGCTCTGCAGAAGAAAAGCCCTTGAAAATGACACAGGTAACGTGATTTTGGCTTAAAACTTCGTAATCACAGTTGAAAGACCACTGAGAACACTTTAAACAGTAAAATCTGAGTGGGACTTAAAGGAACTCACACTAGTACACACACACTTGAGGGATGCACAAGTATAATACACACTGTAACACACATCTATGATGTTCACGAACACTCTCAGCAGTATAAAAGTGAGGGAAAGGAGAGCTCGGGGCTCCCAAGACTCTGGTCTAGACTGTGAGTGTCAACTGTATTGATTTCTATATCTGTACAATAAAGACGCCCAGGCTGCTCTTCAGATCTCATCCTGTCTCCTGAGCACCGATTTTGCTGCATACTATACGTTTTCCGCAACAACTCCAAGAGAAGAAAAGTTATGTCTGAACATCTGAAGTCTGCCGGACATATTTTTAAATGAAAGCAAAGAACATTGGATCTTAAAAAGAACAGATATTACTGAAGCAGACATTTAAAAACCGAGGCATTTAAATTTCATGCAAAATTAACTTTTGATGCTATGAAAAGCGTGTTAAGTCATTATCGACAGCTCTGATGGCCAACGAGACTTTTGGTGTGCTGTGGGCTCCAGCTTAGCGGAGGAGAGGAGGAAGCATATTGAGTGTCTGCTTCAAACCTTCACAAGAATCTCTTCTGCTGTTGACTGTACCCTCCTGGGGCATCTTTGATGCTTTATCTGTAAGTTAATGTGTGTTTTGATAAGCTGATCTCCATGGAACAGACTCTGCATCCAAATGCACCAGATATCAGTACCTGTCTGGGAGGGTATTTATCTTGACACCTAATTTTGCAGATAAATCTCGACACTGTATGTATTTTAATGTTTTAGGCGGACGTTTTACTGCTTGTAATGTCGTATAGACATACTCATTATGGAGGTCTGAAGGAGCTGATAAAGTTTAAAAGAAACTTCTAGTTTTGATCAGAATGAAAATTGAATATTTCCAGTAGGTCTGATCTTACATGAAGGCGGTGCGAGTCAGAGAAACTGGTCTAAAGTGGTCTGTTTTTGTTTTCTGAGTGACTGTGAGGTAAAAAGCATTATCGTGACCTGGTAAGACAAGAGTACTCAGGACGAGTTTTTACTATTTTTAGCCAACCTTTCTCTCTCGGTAGAGCGGATGATAAACTGGATACACAGGAAAGGATTTCAGAAAAAGCGATGGTTCGAGGCGGAAGTAACGATTCAGTCACAGTACAGGGCCCTCAGAGAGGCCCCTGACGACTGAGTGACCAGCATTGACGTCTGCACTGGACTCTTGTCCTGCGCATCACCTCTTCTCCTGCTTAAAATAAACCCATCCACCATCTTTATCATAGCAACAATCCTCTTCCCTCCCTCTCTCTGTCCACCCACCCATCCTGCCCCACGCAAGCCCTGATGAGAGCTCCTTTTCCTCCCACTCCATCCCAGCTTGAGCACCGTGGGGGTGCATATATAGCCCAAATCACACTTGGATTGTCACTCGTCTCTGCTGGCTACGCTGCTGATCTTTGCTTCTCTCCAGCTCTAGATGGTTCTGAGCCTGCAGAAATGTTGGGCCCAAAATAGAAAGCAGCCACTTCTGCTTCAGCCTCTAATTCACTGTTGTGTCAGGACACTGAATAAAGTGAATGGACCAGCCTGCGGAGACTTTCTTTGTTATGCACCATTTTCTGGCAGTTGTTAGTGAAGCTCCAGTTGCAGACAACTATTGCTCCTCATCGTCTATCTGGGTCGCTCTTTTAGCGGAGTTTTTTAAGCAGCGGGATTCTTAAATATCTGATCAGGGCTGTAATTGGGCAGAGGAGACATTTTAATGGTATTTTTCTTTATCGTGTGCCATTCAGGGTTACTTATGGGTATTTAACTGTCTGACTTTGATAAAAACAAAGCTTAGAAATGAGCTGAGGTAAACACTTTGTGTTTCCAGTGAACAGATAATGGGCTATAATAATGATTGATAATAGGGGAGAACATAATTAGCACTATTATGGTCCTCTGTTAATAGCTGCATTCGTCACTGCATCGTAAAGTTGTATAAGTAGTACTTTAGCAGGTAAGTAAATGTTACAGGAGAGCCACAACCTCTAAGTCAGTGAATATTTTGAGCAATAATCCATGACATGATCACAACAGTAAATCTCCATTTTGAAACCCTCTGCTGCTTCTCTTACCTACTCAGAGTGAAATAAGCTGATTGAGAGGAACGTTAAATTAGACTTTAGTGTGATCTAAACTGAAATCATCAGCGTTAATCACAACAAACTCTTGTTTTATGTGAACCTCTATTTCTTTCACCACTTTCAATGTACACAACTATTACTGCTGTTATCAGCGGGCAGTCTGGTTGCTGTAAGATCAGCAATGAAACATCTGTTTCTACTTTAGATAAACAGACCCTAACGTGTTTGAAAGGTCTGTCACTTTAAGGGTAATGCTCCTAAATGAAAGTTTTGACAGTAATCATTTTGTGGCGCCATGGGTGGGAAACTTTTGTAACATTATGAGGTATTATTAAGGTGTTTCAGCTCGTAGGTCAGAGAAACTGCAGTATCCTGACTAACTGTGGTAATTGTACTTTGTTGTGCTTCCTATTTGGTATTTTCTTTCAAAAATCATAGGTACAACATGGAAAAAGAAACATTTGACAAGCAAATTGATTATTTTGAAGATGGCTAAGGTTGGTGTTTATGTTTTTCAGAATCTTGGTATTATAATTTACAATCTAGTTTATTCTTTTAAGGTAAGGTACTAGGATACAAGTAAGACTTTTGTAGCTTATGATAAGAATAGGAGTGCAACCTGTTTATCACGCCTTTCAGCTTAATGTGGTTGTCATAGTAACATGCTGAATCCAGGGTCACTAAATTAACAACTAATAATGCTCACCCTAATGTCAACACATCTTAAGTTTTCATCTATGAGATAATTTGCTTGTGCAAATGTTTCTTTTTCCTGTTGTATCTATGATTTTTGAACCTTAATGAGGCCTCACACCAAGCGCGAGTAAAATCATCTACTCGCTTCATTCCCAAACGCGTGAATATATATTATTTACTCGCTTCGTTTGGGCATCAACAGTAATTTCAACCAGCGGGATCAAGTGAGAGACAGAGGTTTTTTACAGTTCACCAGGTTATCCGACCTCCTCACTCACTTGCCTCCTGGCGAGCTCCTTTTTATGACGGTTTCGATAATTGACAGAAAAGGTATCATATAATTTAGGGCACCCACACACTGACACGATCAGCTTGTCCTCCATTTTAGATACCAGTGAACAACTGTCCGCTTTCATACGTCACCTGGCAACCTTTGTGCTGATTAGTTATTGTGACGCAAATATTTGCTCAGTTTAGACATTTTTACCTCCCGCCCAATTTGCGTCATTCGCGCCGCCAGAGTAGTAGGACCATCTAACTGAATCCTTGCATTGACTTAACATGTAATTCATTCACACAAATGATTTTACTCGTGCTTGCAACATATGAGCCTCTCTCTTTCCTTATTGTCTCTATCTTTGGTCTCTGTGTATACTCATTACACAGGAAGCTGTGAAATGACCACATTCAGTCAGAATATTGAGGTTTGTTTGACCATAAAATTGGAAATTGAGTTCATCTGTAACTTGAGTTAACAATGCTATTGGAAATGTTGTTGCACATTGCATGAGTTTAAAATGTATTTAAGAATAAAAGCTTTAATCTGCTTTGTAAATAGCAATTCACTAGCTAACACAGTCAGAAAAATAAATCATGGCATAGTTTATTTTTATGCATTTATATCTGTTTGATTTTATTTAAATTATTACATTTTTTAGAGTTTATTTATTCAAATTTCTTAAAATCTGCATTTACAGGTAATTCTGAAAACAATTAGATTTAATCAGGGAAAATAAACAAAGTTCAAATATGACCAGCTATGGATCAACCAAGACTCAATCAGTTAAAATTTATGAGACAGAAATAAATTGGATTCATCAGTGATGCATACATACATTTTCATTATTTCTTCTAAACACATTGGGTTTATTGGTAGTGTTATGTAAATCTAATTATTTATTGTTCAGTTTACATTTGACCTACAAATATGCAGCACATAAAGTTTGTTTGCCTCTTTAAGTAATTCAGATGGATGTAAATTTTATATGCAACAAGGCTTACATATTTACTTATGAGTGCAGGTTCACCTGGCTTTTAAAGGGGATGAGAGATGAAACATTAAAAAGTTAGATTAGATTTACACTAAAAACACTCCCAGACTTCGGTGCTTGAACACTGTAAAAGGCCTAAAATGATTATTTTCTCTGTTGCTATAGCTTTTACATCTGAAAACATCACAGTGCCGAACACATTAATATTCCTGACAGCCTTCTGTTGTGCTACTCAGACAGACCTGTGAGATGTCAGAGGGGTATATGTGACTCCTGCAGATTCTTCTATAATTCACACCCTGCCCTGAGACGATAAAGCCAACAGTTAAACTATCTATAATTACTTCCTCTTAGAGACTGATCACCTGTCACAGCAGCTTTCCATCATCCCTCCTCATACCTCTGCGAGCAGAACCAACTGAGCTGTCTCGCAAAATGGAGAACTTTTCATGTCCCATCAAAGAGCCGTTGTGGCGCAGTAATGGTGACATATTGAGGAGAGCTGAGGGATGAGGATCATCAATCTCATATATACTCAGAGGAAAGGGCCAGACCCAGTTTCAAAACAAAACAAAATGTTATAAAACATCCCATTTTGAACTGCAAATATTACACATGGATGAGGGAAGACTTAACTGTGCTGCATGTTTACTGTTCAAATAGATGCTGTAATTATAATTGATTTGCTATGATGGTACAAACGGGGTTTGTAAATGGATGAAGGCACCGGGTTGAAATGTTGGGGCAAGCATTGAACGATAGGGTACTACTACCACCAGCAACAAAAATTGAGCAAGACAATCTGTCTACTTCTCACTATATTAATTCCTTCAGTAAGCAAGTAATTTTTTCCCGATGAGTTTAAGGTCCTTATCTCAAGTTTTAAGCTTCTTCAAAAACATCATGGCATTCATACATGTCGAAATAACCTTAAGTGTAAATAATAATAATAATAATAATAATAATAATAATAATAATACATTTTATTTATAGGCGCCTTTTAGGACACCTTACAGAACAAAAAATAGCACATCAGTAAAATAGTTAAGTCAATAAAATACACATCAACATAACAAAAGTTTTAAATAAAAAAGTTGTAACTTTGGACTCTGCAGAAGAACATCAAACGTCAGTCTAAGTAGGCCTGTCTAAAACAATGTGTCTTCAGATGGGATTTGAAGATGGACAGTGAGTCAGCATGTGAGGTCTTTTTACTCAGAGTGAGGAAATAGGAAATTTGATTGCACACAATCGAATACTGTATTTACCTGCTTTTTCAAAAAAGCTATAAACTAATTATGAACTGTGAATTTGCAAACTATGAATTTTTCACATTTACGATAAATCAACTCCACTCCACATAAACTGGTGGTACTGTTCCTTTCCATGGAGTTCATCAAATACTGTGTGTGTGGATAGAATTTAGAGTAGTCAGGATGAGAGTGTACATAGCAGATCTGGACAGAGAGTAGACGATAATGATGAAAGGAAAAAAACAGAGTAAACTCCACAGGGATGGCCTATTGTTCCAAATCTGATGTTGTTTTAATTGTACAGAACATGTAGCTTGTGCGTGATCATTGTGGACTTACCAGTACGCCTTTCTCCATGACAGAAATAATTGAAAGTTGGCCTGTATTCACCCAAAAGGGCTGCAATTCCAGTTATAATTAGGAGTCTGACTGCAAGTTGAATAGTTAAGTCATAACAAATCTAACAATTCAACCTCTCAGACCGGATCCTGCACTCAAGGATGGGTTGTGTTTCAATGGGGCTTTTGGAAATGCTTCTTTTGTGTGTCTGATTAGGTTCTGTCAATCTGGGTCCTTCCCTTCACCAGTTTTGCTCCCCAGTCTTAGGGCCAGGGCCAGTTAGAGACCTCAACTCTACCTGAACTTGTTGAAGTGCTAGTTGTAAAAAAGGGTCTAAAAGTCTAGTGTCATCCTCTTTCCCCTTAAACTATTATAGAGCCCTGGATAAACTTTGTAAAAAGGAAGGTGTCTATTCTTTTGTCCTTTTGACTCTGTGTGTAAATGGTGTTTGACTGCAGTGTTTTTAGCCTTGAGGTGCTAAGCATGCCAACAGTCTACTTAGTGCACTGGAACCATCTGCTGGGACTGCATTGTTTCCCCCCGTGGATGGCAAAAGCTGAGGACTGAGAGCGGGGATTGCAGTAAGAGGCCTGGCAGAGTTAGTGCCAGCAGCTCTTCAGCTGAGTCAAGTAACTTTTGAGGTCAGACACAGCGAGGTTCATTCACTTACCAGTCCTCCTGCCACGTTTAATTTAGAGTAAGTCATTTCCAAAAAGCTGGATAAATAATTGTCCTTTAAAAGCTGCTGCTTGTAACATCAGAACTTCTCATGTACAAAGTTAGACATAGAGCAGACCTAGATCTTTACAGGCCACAGAGGTCATTATGAAATCATGAACATATAATGAAGCCAGCAGGAAATCTCTTCATTCAGTTTTGCCGCAGGATTTAAACTCCTTGGATTCCAGCCACGACCTGATGGTTTAGAGGAGTAAATAAAGCTTTGCAGTATTTATGACAAAAGGACATAAAAGTGAGTATGAATCTCTCAGCATCAAGCAGTGCCGGGAACAATCTAATTTTGCAGTGTGTCTTAATTTAAGAAAATATGACCCAATTTAAAATTTATTTTTGCACCCCATTACTTCTTCCCTGGAAGCTGACCAGCAAAACCACACTTTTATTAAGTACTGTCAAATGTTATGAGAGCAATGCTGCAACCTCCAGAGCTGGAGAATGAAGCTTATATAGGAGCAACAAAAACTGCAGTTCCTTAGTGCCCAATGTTTTAAAATAAGGTGAGGCCAGACACAAGAGTCATGCCAACTCGAGGAAGCAGATTTCATCCGACCCTTAGTCTGAGACTGGATATTTAATTTAATGTGGTTTCAGCTGTATTAATTAAGGCAGGTTGAGTGTCCAAACGCATGCCAAACGTGCTCATCAGATAAGATATACATCAGAATATATCGATATAGATCTAAATGTATGTGCTGACTCAGATAGTTGCACTAAATGATGGTTGTTGTTGATTATTTATTGCACTGAAAAGTACCTGACACTGTGGAAAGCTGCCGGTGAGGGATCAGTGACATGTGCGCACTACGTCGACGGTCTGCTAAAATACCACTAGACCAGCTGCACTCCGCCTGTGCTGATAGCGAGCTTTCAGTGCACTTCCCAGGCCGCCGGCAAACACAAAAATGTCACTGCGCCAGCTGATTCTGTCAACACTTCCTCCTACTGCGCCACCACGCCCAGCTTGGTGGACCTTGGTGCACCTCAGTCTACGAAAATACCAAACTGGCTGTGTTTCAGGCTCCGCCAGACAAAAATACCACTGTGCTGGTTCGTCACCCTCCGTCGCGCCACTGGCGGACATGAAAATAGAGCCCTTGGACTCAAGTTGCACATAAGTCGCACACTTTTGTGATTTCAGAATTGACTTTGACTGGACTCTCAAGGACTTGAGCTTCTAAACTCATGGACAATCTTTTACACTATGCATTTTTGTCTCAGTAACATCACTAACTCAGAGTGTTCCCTCGTGTGTGGGCGGCCACAACGCAGCCACAGCACTTTAATGGCACAAAGCTTCTCACATGAGGATCACAAGAAGAAAGCCTGATTAAACATAACCACAGACAGTTTTAGTCATAACTCATCTATATGAGACAGATTTCCAAATCACTGCTCGCTCTGTTCCCCTTTGTATATTGCATACAGCGTTTTATCTGCGGGCAATATGAGAGTGAAAGACAGAGAAGTATTGTAGGTCCCTCTTTTTAATGTTGGGTAATGGTTGAGTTCAGCATCCCATATCAAATACAAACTTCTCATGTTGTTTTGCGGAGGTGGTTGCTGTTACTCTTAGTTTTGGATTATTACATCAGGTGATCTTCCTCACATGGATCAGCTGTTTTGATAACAAAGCATTCAAAATGTGGGTTGCATTATTTGGGGTTGTGTTGATAAGTTTTTCCAAAGATCAGACACAGTTAGGCAGAAATAAACAGTGCAATGAATTAAGTTTTTTAAAATTGTATCTCATCCTATCTTATCTCATCTCATCTCATCTCACAGGCCCTTTCAGTAGTGTCATCCAAATCAAGTCACATCCAAGGTTAAAAAAAAAAAAAAAACAGAAAAAATACACCATCATAAATAACACAGCAGTGAAGGCCTTAAAAGGCTGTCAACAAACCATTGATGTCATTCGTACTGGCTAACAGTTATTTACTCAGTTCACGATGTAAACATGAGACATCATACTATAAACATTTTTCCATTATTAGGTCACTGTAGCCAAGGAGGGATGCTGTATTTACACATAGTGTACTGGACATTTCACATACCTAGGTATTTAAAAAAATCAAAGTTTATGGATTACTACATTTTTAGCTAATATATAATTGGAAAACTCTCATGTGAGATTTAGTCTGTTTAGAATTTGTCAAAATTTATGTTAAGCAGGTGAAAATGATGAATATCTAAAATGAAAACGAATCCCCTCAGTTAATTAGTCTACATTTCTTTTGATATTGCTTGACTGCATACTTTAGACAATTTAAAATGAAAGCTGTTTTCAGGGAGAGTGTTGATATATGCCGGTGTTATTGAAAGGGTTGGCAGGGGGAATTATTCCCTGACAAAGCTCTCTGAAACTTCAGCCTTGAGCTCAGCCAACAAAGTAAAAGCCAATTTATCATGTGTGCAAGGGGACAGTGTTATGTGGCAGGTTATTGTGGCTGGAGCGGGGTTAATGAAGAGTGCACAGCCTCACATTTGATGGGCAAAAAAGTGATGGAGCCATTCAAAGAGTACTGTAAAAAAGCTGTGCTGAGCTATCTGTTGCTCTGTATTAGCTGCTGATACCAATATTTAAACCCTATATAAACCTTTAATAAATAGTTCATTAATAATTAAGTTGAAAATTATCAATCATAATTTCATTGCTTGTCAATGGTAAAGTAACTATTAACTTACATTAATGAACTATCTATTTGCCATTTATAATTGGTCTATATGCTGTTTTTAAATGCTGATTAAACATTAATAAACTTTCTATTTACCATTTATAAATTATGATTATTGTCAAGTGTTACCAATTCATGGATTCACTTTAAAGAAAAAATGATGTGTTGACTCAACGTAAAAAAAAAAATCAATGAATAAATGAATGTAACAACTTGCATGGATATTTTCAAGTTTTTTTTAACAAACCGAGTAATGGGTAAATACCATAAGACTTCTCTAGTTCGGCCAGTCTAATCACTTGAGTTCAGGCAAGATGATTTGCCTTGTCCTATATAAGCTTATTAAAAATGAGCAGACTTAATTGTGTTAAGATCAATCCTATTAGACATTCTAATGTATTTCTTTTCCTTTCATCCTGCTCAGATAAATAAGTTCTTGTTCTAAAAAAAATTGATGTAACAATTTGCATGGATATTTCTAAGTCAGAATAAATCACACATTTAAATTCCAGTTTTATGATCAGTTTATTTGAACACCAATCAGCATCTCACTTTCAGTAACAGTTCAGTCACGTTATTAACTTGATTCAGTTACTTAACCTTTATAATAGAAGAGTCGGGGTGCTAAACTGGCTCACCTGCAGTCCTGACTCATTCCTCAGTGATAACATGTGAGCATCATGACACAAAAAATATGAGAAAGTAGACGTCCCTTGAACTGTTGAGCAAAAACAGGACATTTTATCTCCCAAACTCCAGAAACTGATCTCCTCATAATAGTTAAAATGAGATATGATGCAACAGGATTGAAGACATGTTCCTTTTCTAGTTTTTGGAAATGTGTTGATAACATCAGATTTACAATAAGCTTTTTTATTTTCATACAACAACATAATTGTTCAGTTTCTACATCTGATAAGTTGCATTTAAAGAATTTGAAAACCATGATATAATCTCATTTTTTTATTTTAAGCAGCGCCCTGACTTTATTTGGCATTGGGGTTGTATTTCATTTTCATGTTTCTTTCCTCATCTGATTTGTAGATACACAACCAGGTCTCCTTTTGAAAGTGGAATGAGCTGATTTCGCTAAATGGCTACAGTACATGCTTTGCTCACGCTCTAGTGTTAAAACAACAGCCTCTTTGTCTTGTTATGTTGGTGTTTGTGAGGGGCTACACAGAGTATTTCATCTGTCGACCCTGAGCACGCAGTCCTGGGTGTGTGTCTGCTACTTTTGGCGGTGATGGAGAAGCTCAGTTGGTGCTGATTTACGACCTTGTCAGAGCTAGAATGACACGTTCATTGCTGAGACACATACTGATCATCCATCAATGCTGCAGAGACGGCCATCCATAAAGCTTACATCACTCAATTGTTGGGATGGATGTTTGAACATAAAAACACTCCGCATCAGCGATTAGTTAAATTAGGACGGGGTTGTGTCATTCAACATTGATTCCAAGAGGATTCTGTGTCAACAAGCAGTATTCTGCACTTGAAGGTCAAAGGTCGCGGTCAGTAACTGAACAGCAGCACTGGAGCCGATCAGTGTTTGGGTCAAGGACACTTCAGCAGGTCTTGCAGGACAAGACTGATGAGATTAGACGAGTAAAACCAAGGACATAACTCAAAACTCTTGGATCTGTTTTACCGTTATATTTAGGTTAAAATAATCTCTTTATATAGATTCTTCATAGAAAGTGTAGTGTACAAACTGTAACAAGTTCCATTTGTAAAATGTTTATTGTAATTTTTAAACACATATTTTCCACATTTAGCTCATTAGTTTGCAAATGCAAGTAATGAAAAATAAATCAGTGATCTTAGTTGGATTGTTATCAATGCTAAAAATTCCAATTAATGACTGAGGTTGCTGCTTAGGAATAACCTAATTCAGCTTTTACTACCAAAGTTTGTCCTCTGTTGTGTTTTTCAGGCTGATTCTGTGAATGCAGGACAAGTATTTGACAGCCTCATACCTGTCATTTTGATTTGTCAAAATCTCTCTTGTTAGGGTTGACATGTGCTGAAATTGTCCTCATCTTCTTGTCTATAATTTCTAAATTATGCGTGTCTTCAAGGAGGTTTGTGCAGAATCTTCAGGTTTACTTTCCATTGATGGTTGAACTGAGTCAGGTTTTCTGCAGATGTGCAGCTACTGTGGTCTGAAACCTTGTCTGTGGTTTCAGGATCACTGATCATCCTAACAGAGAGAGAAAGTGATTAGAGAGACTTCATAAATCACTTAAAATACAAAATGACATTTGGACACTCCAGACGCTTTTGAGTCTGGCCTGGACTCTGATTATTTTCTTGGTTTCTGGGACATTGAAACCCCACTGGAAGATAGTTGCAGAGAATAAAAAAGAAACTCTAAAAGCGGGGCAAAGCATCACCCTTGTGTCCATGGGGATCATCATGCAGCAGAACCACCAGAACCCTGACTGTAGCAGGTCTAGCTATGTTTTATGTTGAAGGATCCCTCAGCGAGTTACTGTGCTCTGATATGATAACTCAGTGTCAAGTCCTGTGCCACTAAGAAAAAACTCTGGAAACAGGTCCAGACAGAAACAAAAGTCCTGGGAAAAGACAAGGACAGAGAGAAGACAAATAAAAGCAGTTTTTCACTTCTCACAAACTGCCAAATGTGTTCATGCAGCTGCAGCAATTTCTGCCTTTGTTGTCAGATAAACATCACGCTGACTAAAAATAGTGGTGAATATGTGTCCTCCACATCCTTTGTTTGTGAACCGCTGTGTTTGGATATGTGTGGGAGACAAAGTAAATGTGTGATGTGTCAATATTTGATCAGACAGGTTAAAAAACAAAATATAAAAAGCTTCTCCAGTACAAGATGTAACATATACTATACTTATCCCCATCCCAGGAAATCAAGAACCGGAGTTTTTGTCTTTTTTATGAAGACATGTTGTAGCACAGTAGCACACTGTAGGTTTAGAGTGCAGGCAGGCCGGTCTAATACCTGCACTCTTTTCAAAGCCCCGCTGTTGTAACAAGTGCAGGATGTGGTTTAACTTCATCTTGCTGAGATAAGCAGGGATGTCCCTGAAAAACACTTGGCTCAGATGGCAGCATATGTTGCTCTGAAACCTGTTTGTACCTTCAGCATTAATGATACTTTCACAGATGTGACACTTACCCATGCCATGGGCACTAATACACCCCCATACCATCACAGACGCTGGCTTTTGAACTTTAGACTGACAACAATCTGGATGGTTATTTTCCTCTTAAGCCTGGAGGACGCAACATCAAAATAAATCCATCCATAAAATCAACAGAAACTGACAGCTCCTCACAGGACTTTTAAGTAGGACTGCATGATACTTTTTTTCCCCACAAATGATTTAGGGTCCTAACCCTTTAATGCCTTTTGTATCATATTTGATACATACTTTTATGATACTTTTATCAAATCAATATGATCAACAAATTACTAAAAAAACAAAACAAAACATGAATTCAGTCCGATAAATGATAAAAATGTCCTTGTGGTTTATCAGTTTCCAAAAATATCTAATGCATCAAACAAGATAAATAAATATTTTTGTTAAATTTGAAGGACAATTTGATTTTCGGGGTTTTCAGCAGTAAGTGAAATAAACATTTCTGCTCCAAAAAATTTGAGTTTTCTGGCCATAATTTGTGGTTTCAGGCATCAAAGGGCTTATGTACACTGGACAAAAAACTGATCTTTGTTATCTGATAGCTAAAGTGCTGTTTACATATTGGATGAACATTAAATTGGATGGATTTAAGTTGAAGTTTGGCACAAATGTGGCATATGGCAATGTTGTGGGAGCAAAATGTGTCTAGACCTTAAACCAACAAAACGCTGGTCTAAAGTCTGAAGTGAGGGGTGCATAACTTTAGTGAGATAGTGAGGGGGCATAGGGTAGAGGGCTTGGAGACGTCAGTATTTTTACTTCCTCATACATCATGATACTGCTTTCAGTTTGGTGAAAATCAGGGGATGCCAGAAGATGAGAACACCCTCACTGCTGCCTCCTCACATACCTATACCTATAACATTACTTAGTCATGTCAAACATAACTCTTGGCACCACAGTTTGAATAGAAACTGATCTATCAATGATATATGCAGCAACAAAATATTACCATGTGATCGGACAGTAAAAATAACAAAATAATGATTTACAGCTCCCTGTCTTTGAAGTGAAGTGCACAGATTGTTAGTTGACTTTAGTTCTGTTCACATGTCCTGAGTTTTGAAAAATTAAAAACAGCCAAGCTGCTATGCCCTGTGTGTAAATCTACAAGTATGTAGATTTGACAAGTTCCTGATCATTTCTGCTGTAAAGAGGAACTTTTTTAGTGGATATAACACATCGATCCATGCATTGATTTAACTTTCACAGTGACAGGTGTGTGTTTTCTGTGTTTTGGGGGGCGCAATGGGAAAAAAGTCAAGTATAAGTCAAAGTCTGTATGGAAAGGCTGATATATATAAAATATTAGGGGGTTCATGTTTTCTGTGTTTGACACCTGATACAGCCTAAAGGCGTATGAATATTGCGTAGCTCACACGGGGGATACGCTGTTTGAGCCAAGCGTCATCACAGCGACTCTTGGCGACTCTCCCGCCAAATGCGTACAACGCTACTTCGCAAGTGGTGGAGTGCGCACAACGCTACTGTGCAATGTTGGTATCAGGAAATGGAGAAAAATCGCGGAAATACCAAGAGCTTTCTGGCTTTAAATCTGTATACTGGCAGAAGGCAGAACCAAGTTATCTATAGTATATACAGTCTATGGTCTCAGGCCATTGAAGGGGCTTTTCCCCCTCTTATTTAAGTCTTTAACTTGAAGTAAACAGAGTGGAGGAGTCCTCCCCATGTGTGTCCTGATCCTGACCCTCTGCCTCTCCATCCTTTTGTGTCCCGCTGTCTTGTCTTTGTCTCTGCTGGTGTCTCTGAGTCAGTTATAGTCAGCATTGTGGCCTGAAAGCCTTTTTGCAAATCCTGTTCCTAACTCATAAAACAATTAAATGATGTGACAGCAGATGCAAGCAGCAGGGCGCTTCAGAGGTTTAAATAGAGCTGAAAGGAGGATGAAATCACTGGAGGAGAAATGATGAAAGGCTGTAGTGATTCAACGCAATATTTCAGCACTAACAGATAGGAGGGCAGTGTTACTCACAGTCACTGTTTGGTGAATGACCTCAGGGTCAAAGAAGAAGAAAATAAAAGTCAGATCTGGAGAAAAAACAGCTGGTGGCAGTATATTGTGGGTACAGATACATGTTGAGTTTTTGTGGTCGTCTGGAACAGCCAGTTATAAATTTCTAATATTGGATGATGTTATGGTTGTGTTTGCTGCTTGTTTTGAGGCAATGTGTGCAGTCGATAGCACTGTGCCCCCACACTGAAAACAGTCTTTTGATGTTGTTTATTAGTCCATGAGTCCAACGCATCAGTGAATGCAACATCTCAAGAGGACCAGGAATGACATTTCATGAAGATTGGACAGACGATGGCATTGACCAAATGATGTTTTGATTGGGTTTCAGGTGTTTCAGGTGAAGAAACAGCTATTTCTTCAAGCATTGATGACATTTCTTCCTTACTGTTGATTTTTGTGAAATAAATACACTGTTCAATCAACATTATCACATGTGGTTATATCCAGAAGTTTCATGTTTCCCCTATTCCCCTATTCTTGCATTTTTTGTTGTTGTTCTCTTTTAAGGATATTTTCTTCTTTTTTGAAAAAACTACAAACCTAACTCTCACATCCAAGCCGCAGTCACTGTGACTCTGTGAGATTCTCTGATGGATGTAAACTGACAGAGCAATGGCTGGCTCATGACCACTAGGCATTAATTTTAGTTTGTTTTGTCACACTTCTAAGTTTCCCTGAGTAACCTAGTGATAATCGCCATAATGCAACCATCTCTGGTTGATTCCCCCAGGAGAAAAGGGTAGAGACACAGAATTACAAAAAGTGAGCATCAAGAGCTTATAAAACCTCAGTTAAGGCAATGAGGAGAGATTGTTCATTTACTGTTGGTGGTCCAATTAGAATTAAATAGAAGTGGTTTTTAATAATACTGGAGCTGCTGGCCTTGTTGGATACTATCTCAATTCTTTATTATAATAATATTTATTGATTTCTAAAAAATGAAATTAAACATCAACGTGTGACTCACAAATACATTCAAATCCAAGTTACAGGTAATAACATACATGACAAACATAGACACAAGACAGACTGCTTGACTCAGAATGATTCAGATATTGACTTTGAGTGGAAACCCTTTTAAAAGTGTTGTCTAGATGCCCATATTGGAAAAGAAAGTCACTAAATTTGTGCAGCGCAGTCGCATGCCCAGACAATTTGGTACATTGGTAGATCGAGGCACACTGAGATGTGCCAAGATGGGCATTAACGCACAGTAGGGGCAGGTGTCAACAGAAATAGCTTGGCATTTTGGCAGGCACGTCTTTGTCAATTTTACTGATTTTTTTATTCCAGAACTTTGTTGACACAGATGGAGATAAATGACATGATGTGATGATTTGCTTAATGACGCAGCTCGCCTGGGAATTAAGTACAACTTCTGTGGAGAGCAAAATTCTCATTGAGGTTTAATCCTGAGAGATTTATAATGTTGTTAGGAAATGAGCTGAAAAAAAAATCACTTGCCCAATAAGTTTCACAAAACCTTCAAAAACAGGGTCTTCCTACCGAAGCCCACTGGAGAATTCTGTACTGTAGCAGCAGCAGGTGGTTTACCAGCCCCCGGTGTCATGGGTTGTCAAGGGTTAGGCCTCATGCAAGGCAGTGACATTTAGCTTGTGTTGCTAATGCACCAAAATATCAAAAATGGAGTTGTGTATGAGTCATATTTTTTGATTCCAAAATAAATCCCAAGATTTTGAGGGCAATGTCCAAGTTAAGTCATGTTGCATTTTATCTATGACTTCAATGCAACTGGGGCCCAAGCCTCAAACTCTAGTCCCCATCTTTGCTGCACAATCACCTCTAAGTTTTAGTATTGACTAGAAGACCCCGTCCAAGCTTCTGAGTTGGCCCAGACTAGGTCTAGACTTTCCTTCTTTAAGTTAATTTTTGGGCTTTGAGCCATACATTGATAGGATGGTGAACAGTGTGGGAAATTGTGCTCTGGTGTTGGCATTTCTACAATATAGTATGAGGCAAGACCCTAACAAGGTTTGAAAGAGATCTGTTAAATCTTAAAACAAGTCTAAAATGGTCAGAGAGCCACTGGGTAAAAGCAAGGAGTGATATGATATGGGTAATTTAACCAGTAAGACGCTGGATTGCTGTTTTCTGGACTGATCAGAGGTGAAAGTGACTTTCAGGTGATACCAGACAAAAGGTGGTACAGTTGTTCAGTCAAGAAACAATCAATGCATGAATCATTTTGAATCAGGGCCAGCTTTGGGAGTGATTGTTCAGTTTTGGGAAGGATCTGAATTGAATAAAACAAGACTGGGTCTTGCAGTGCGTATGATATCTAAAGATAGTGTATAGAGGGAAAAATTTGCTCAAAATACGCAACAAAGTCTAGAGTTGTTACCAGAGCGCAGTGACGACAATATTTTCCTAATTCATGCTGCCACAAACACTGTCCCAAAAATAAACCACAATTTAAATAAATTTTTAAACACAGACTTTCTTGTTGGATTTCCTTGATGCCTTCTGAAGAACACTAATCTGTTTGACATACTGGCATAGACGCTTTTTGATGTTGAACCAAAAAGCCTTTCAATGTTGTGCCCCTCATTTCTGTGATTAAGAATGGATCTCTCTGTGTGTTTTGAATTATTTGAATTGCTTTTATGCCAGTTATTGTTCACTAGGTCACTGTTGATCTTTATTGTAAAAAACACAAAACAACATATTTCCCACATGAAATATTCTAGAGAATTCAAATGGCATACACTTGTGATGCTTTGGTTGAAATGCCAACATACAAGATACACACAGAGATCCACTCTGAACTGCAGAAGGCCGGGTTATAAGTCAACTCCAGGTAACTGGTGCCAGAGGGTATATATATATAAGCTCCGCACACCTGTTCCCAATCTAGAGCAATCGCTCACACACACACACACACACACACACACACACACACACACACACACACACACACACACACACACACACACACACACACACACACACACACCTGAGCCTGCTCTGTGATTCCCTCACCAAATAAGTGAGTGTCCCAAAATGAGTATTCATCACACCTTTCCTTTAAGCATTAACCAGCCCAAACTGTGTTGGGTGCTTACAAAACCAATTACAATAGAATAAAAAAGTAGTGTTTTCTTTGTCAATCTCATGCTCATGCATATGACAAGCTTAAAAATGCAAAAACTCATTCTAAAACTTAAAACAACTGAGATTTAACTAAGGGTTTTCAAAAATTACATGTAACTAAACTAACAAACCAGGATTAAATAGTTACTACAACTAAACCCGTGTAAAAAATAATAAAATGACCCAAAAACGGACATAGTAGGATCGAGGGTTAGTTGTTAATAAAAACTTTCTGGTGTGGGATCAAGACTTCTGTAGCACCTTCATCATCTCCTGTTCCTCTCCTGCTGCAGGTGCTGAAGGGATGCAAGAAGCTGGCCATGTCTGTGTGTTCAATGGGTCGGATCCCTGGAGGCTACATCACCAATCATGTCTACAGCTGGGTGGACCCTCAGGGCCACAGTGTCTCACCACCGCCAGACAATCATGAGGTCAACCAGAGGCAGGGACTGGGCATGGAGGAGAGGACGGTAAGACCAACGCGACTGCATGTTATTGAGTATTTGTGTTAAGGGTACAATTAATTATGAATGATATTTTGTCAGACAAGACAGTCTCAGACATCGGCAGACCTAAGATGTGAGCACTTTCCCCTTCGGAAACCATCATTTTTTTATTTTATTTATTTTTTTGTTGATTTTCCTTCACTCTCTTTTTTTTTTCTTCTTGTTTATTAACCAGGCATCCGTGAGGTTTGTTGCTCATGTCAGATGTAAGGTCAGGATTGAAAAAACGGCCATCTGAGGACAGTCATCATGACCTTTTGTGTTCTGACATTTCAACAGGCAGACTCATCCTATAACAAAGCCCCCTCACCCCTCAGGCCAGTGACAATCTGCACCCCAAGAGAAGGTTTACTCAAACTGAGTCAACCATGGTGGAAAATAAACACATTTGATGGGGAGTTTGGTAATATAAACTTCTAAAATACAACAATATAAAAAAAACAGACTGCAGCTCTGTCCATGGGGGAGATGTGTTTATTTGTCAGTGGAAATTTGAAGAAGATCATCCATACCAGTTTTGGTGGATTCAGTTTGAGATATATTCATGAATATTAAACCCCCAGAAAACCAATGAGTTGTATAGTATTCTTTAAGTTAATCTTTATACAACATCCCTATTTCACACCAAAAATTTAAGTTTAAATGTGCATATGTAATGATGTTTGGAGGAAAGTTTACAGATCCAATGGAAGCCTGTAGGCCTAGCTAACATTTCGTAAAAACAAATGAAAAAACAAATAAACACCTCAGACAATACATTTTGGCTTTGTATAATTATTAAGTAATAATAAGTCTTGATATGATACAATAGATTACGATAAGATAGAGTGAAACATGAGAAGACTCAATACAGTACTGAAGGATGAGATACTTTGCAACAAAAAAGTTTACAATACAATACAGTACAAAACGAAAACAGGGAATGATAGATACTATACAATGAGATACAATATGATTTGATATGATATGATACAATACCATACGCTATAATACAAAAAGATACCTAATGACACAATACAATAAGATAGGTTGCAATTCAATACAATATGGAATGTTGTGGTACAACAGTGTTCATGCAGAACAATATGATACAATACAATATAAAACAATGCATTAAATGACAATACAATACAACACAATACCATATGATATAAGTCAGTACAACACATAAAGATTCCACTTTGTTTGGCACATTTCAGTTTAATAAATAATCAACCACTATTCAGTGGATCTATATATATTTCGATCTGTATCTTATCTGATGATAAAGCACGCGTCTTTGGCATGCATAATGAACTCAACCTGATGGAATTAACACCTGAAACTGCATAAAATTTTCATGCTCCATCGATGCGGCAGACCTAACTTGCACCGTGCCTGTCCACACCGCCGGTGGGGCACAAATTAAGAGCAAAAAGTGTTCAATCTGCAAATACGATCTAAGTCTATACAAATAATATTCAATTTCTTTTTTCAGACCTTCAAAGATTAATTTAATCTAGTTGACCTGATCATCCCAACAAAGATTAATTTCACAGGTCCACTTGGCAGACCAGTTGCGCTCCAAGGAGCTGAAAAAAGAGATAACCCCTTATTCCAAGATTGTCTTCTAGAGAAAGATATCTCCTCTGCTGCTTCAGGATACGTTCAAATCCTCCACAGCAGTTGACCGACTAAAACTGCTGAATGAGCAGCTCTCTGCAGTTACATTAAGGCCCCAGCTCTGCATAGCTCTGCAGATTTGAACGTGTACAAATTAGGGGTAATCACATGAGGCTGCTGGATGACCTGGAGGTAAGTTTACGGTGAAGATGAGAGTTTGTGGAAAGAGTCCTAAGAAGCTGTTAAAAGCACAGAGGTAAAATGACTCTACAGTTCACCTGCACATAAATGTGAAGTGAACAAAGTAAAACACAATCATAACATTCTGAATATCCTATCTCATCTGCAGGTGAACCTGAATATGGATGACGGTCGTTCTCTCGGCCTGATGATCAGGGGAGGTGCTGAGTATGGACTGGGGATCTACATCACGGGAGTGGACCCTGGATCTGCTGCAGACGCTGGAGCACTGAAGGTAAAGGCTGGAATGATGACAGAGTTACATAATGGCTCAGTTTAATACAAACTGATTTTCAGGTCCACTTGAGTTATTACTGGTTTTGTCCGTGTATGTTGACAGAACATATTTGGTAAGGAATTATGTCTTGTGAACAGTTAGTTGTGCAAATTTAGAAGAATAAGCAAGACCCTGAAATAAAAGGGACGTCTCACTGTGGCAGGACGCTTTTTGCTGTAAACTGCAGGTGACGTAATTTGTCGCAAACCCAATGCAGGCAATTTTCATAAACCATATATCGACTTTCTTTCTGTTGCGTTTAAATGTGGCACATTCCATTGTAATTTCTTCTGTATTATTACTGTAGATGATGGATGTATTACAATGACGACCACCATGAATCAGCAGTTATCTGTAAATAATACAGATTTACTTTATCTGCAGGATGCATGCGTAGAAAAATATATTGAACTACACTGAAGGAGATCAGTAGATGGGCAGTTTTGCTCACAGCCTGCTTGCTTTTTGAGCTTTTAAATAATCTATGTGTGTGTCAAACATAGAAACAGACAGCAGAGTACAGAAGACACGCACTCTAAAACGAGAGCAGCATTAGAGGATCTCAGAATAGTTGTTTTTTAGTAGACTATATCAGTACATTTATTCCAGTATGGTGGATTCTCTCTACTTTCCCAATCCAATGAAAATCGTGTTTTTCTTGTTGTCCATATGTTCATATGGCATTTTTCTGATGCTAGAGGACATATCATGAGAAAACTAAGTGTAAAATTGCATTTCTGAGTATTTCTGCATCCAAAACACTGTGAATGTCTGGCAGAGCCAGTCAGCAGATTCAGACACAGCAGAATTTTCTACGTCACATGTCCATGCTCTGACCCTGGAGCCATATTCTGTAGTCCAGACCCCGAGAAGTAGAGAGGATGATCGAGGAACAAGTGTGTGTGGTAGCAGATTGCAATGCATGCAGGAAAGCTTATTATGATATTAGCTTTCATCTTGCCAACAGAGACATTAGTTTCTGAGAGCTTAATAGCTCTTACATTATCTGCCACTTCTACAACACTGGCAACGTTAGGCTGCAAGCTAGCGTGAAGAGAAGTTTGTAGAGCAGCGCTGTCTCCGCCCTCGACTCAGAGGCGAATTGCTCTGCAGAAGAATAGCACTTGAAAATGGCACAAGTTAAGTGATTTTGGCTAAAAAATTTTGCCGACACAATTTAAAGACCACTGAAAACAATTATAGAAAAAAAAAAACAATCTGAGTGGGACTTTAAGACTCTTATAGTGTGGTTTGTACTCATGGGCAAAAATTAACATCATGTCCATCACATTAAATCAGTCCGCTGTGTTATCAAGCTGTGCATGCTGAGTGTAGACTTTTTTTAACTTTTAAGGTTTTTTTGGGAAATGATCTGTGTTTAGGTGTCGTGTGGTTCATGGCAAGCCAACCTATGTCATGTCACAAACACAATGTCGAAGCAATTTCAGTATCTTTTTCAGAGTATAGATTCTGTTATATTCAAATTTCAGGATGAGAAATACAGAAGAAAAAATGATCAGGAGGCAAATGTTACATTTTCCACCCCTCAGAGGAGGGTGATCCACCAATTTGGAAACCAATGCAGGCATGGGGACTATCAAAACTAAATCCAACATGCTTTCTAAAGAGTAAGCAGTAAAGAGTAAGAGTAAGTGCCACAAATCAAAGTTTATTTGATTTGTGGCGGTACACCCTGAAACACTGAACTCTGGTGTGGTCCTCAAAGTCCTGTCCATGTATTAAAGTAGCTGTTGATGCAGAGCTCTCTTGGCTCTGTACCCACCGTCATCGTCAACATCTGCTGCCTGATTCTGATGGACCTGTTAGCATTCCTGCCACCTGCTCCCTATTAGACTCTTAAACCTATTAGCATCGCTAACATCTGCTACCTGCCTAACTGCCTCAGTCAGTCAGCTGACTTCACTGCAGTGACAAGCCTGCAAAGAGGCTTTATTAGCCATCTAAATCTGTGCTGTGTGCTTTCAGGTCAGCTTTCTGCCTCAACAAGCAGACCACTCTCACTGCGCTATTTTTCATTCTGCCTGAGGCAGGATGAACAGAAGCCAGTGTTTCCTACCTGTAAACAATGTGGCTGAATCCTCAATCTGGTTTTTATGATAATATCACACTTTGTCCTACTTGTGGATAAAAATAAAACAGCCATTTTTATTTATTTATTTTGGTATCATTTCTAAGTAGTCCAGACCAATTGGGACTCTTTAGAAAAATCAATGTACACCAGGGGGGAGAGAGATAAAAAAGCAGGAGCTTGAAAGACATCCTCGAAATTCAAATGTTCTCCTTTTAAAGAAATAGCAAGACACATTTTGGTTTCTTTGACAGGGAGCTTTAGAGCTTCCTTTTTTAACACAGAGAATTGGTCAGTCATGCTGCAGAACCGGAGGGTTTGACACACACTGACAGAAGATGTTAAAGCAGGGACAGGTAAGAGAGCAGAGTATGACAAAGAAAGGGAAACGACAAAGAAAGGGAGACGTTGTGGATGTTTTTCTCTTTGCCTCGCCAAGTCTCACAGATGTGCTTCCTTTCCTTGCTTGTGGAGAAAAGCTGCAGTCCATCTTCACAGTGTGTGTGTGAGTATGTGTGCATGCGTGTACGTGCTTGATGTGTGTGTGTGTGTGTGTGTGTGAGAGAGAGCAGCAAGTGGAGCTCTCTCTCTCTCTCTCTCTCTCTCTCTCTCTCTCTCTCTCTCTCTCTCTCTCTCTCTCTCTCTCTCTCTCTCTCTCTCTTTCTCTTTCGCCCTGGATAACATGGAGGGCTGGCTACACACTCCAGCACATAATCGTTACAATATGAAGCCATTGTCCAGTTTAGTATCATTTTTCCCCCCTAATAGTTTATTCATAGCCCAAAACTACTTTAACATCTTTGTCTTATGAGCTTATACTACAAATGTAAAACTATACACTTCGTCTTATCAGTTGTGTCTCTTTTGCCTTCAGTCAAGACTCAAGTAAAACCATCTGCTGCCATCTTTATTTATTTTGATGATAAGAGAGCTTATTTGGTCTCATGCAACCATTTTCGTATAAATTCTCCCTCTAAATACGAAAACACAGAAAGTCTCCCATTGGATTGGTTTGTAATACCCCTAATGTGGAATGAAATCAGGTCTTGCTGGTATTTGTAAAGAGGTGAAATACACAAAGCCAAGGTGGCAGTGAGTGGTTGTGTAATTTTGTCCATCCACATCTGATAAACCATCTCCTGTTTATGTCCAGTTTACCACACAGCAGTACTCTAAAACTTTGACAATCACACACACTTTATTACAAATACATGGACATGCTTTAATATTTGATCCAACAGTGGTAATATTGGGTAACTGATTCGACTTAATCTGTATTAGAGGTCTGCTGACGTCCTTTTTTATAAGAATTGATCCACATTTGGAGCTTTTCAGTTGAGTGGAAAGCAGCTGGAGTGGGAGTTAGCACCCCTTACTCCAAGGTCATGGTTTTCTGCCGGAAACTGGTGGATCACCCACCTCTGAGGGGGCAGTGAGTCTTTGAATGAAGGACTCTTAGTATCTTTTACTACTGGAGTGCACAGTCTTCAACCAGCTCTCAGAATACTCACTGAACAATAATCTACTTGATCTGGATCAGTCTGGCTTTAGATGAGGACATTCTACTGAAACCGCACTTTTTCCTGTAATAGAATTGTTGGTATTGGTATAAAGTAATAATCTAATTTTCTGAGGTACTAAATCTTGGGTTTTCATTTGCTTTAAGTTCAAATCATCATGAATCTTTGCATACCTTTAGTATGAACACCAAACACCTACGAGGACTTTCTTTCAGAGGAGGTCTTTCAACTCATGAATTTTTATGAAAGGTACAATATAGGTTTTTTGGGTGTAAAGTTTTTCACTTCGTTCCACAAGGTGCTTGGTAAAGATTGCTTGTTAGATTTATGGTTTAGGTCTTTCTAGCTGAGAGCAACAGAGAAGACTCTTACATGGTTTGAAACTGTAATTCTTAATATCCCTGAACTCAGCATTTCTGAGGAAGTAGTAGATCCATCATCTTCTCTATATGAAAAAGGCCAGCTGAAAGTCATATTACTCATTTATATTTGTTCAACGCAGTGACACTCGCCGCTGCCCATTCATTACTTAAAGAGAGAATGAAAACACTTCGCTATATCCATTAGAAAGTTATATAAATCTGCTCCAAATCCATTTAATTAGGGGCTGCAGTACCGTGGATACAGGCTCTGGATTAGATATTTCAGTCCATGCATCTTTATCTTTTAAATGAGATTTTTCTATTTGCTAGTTTGCTTTCAATTATTTAGCAATATGCTGTAATATTGTATTTGGTAACACTTCATTTGACGCCTATCTCTATAACCCATTGTAAATATATTTATAATGCATTATTATCACGTTATAGCACTGAATAACTACAGTTATAAACACTCATAAATGATCATAATGCTTTATAGCAATAATTATAACACATTATAAAGCATTTTATTACTCACAAGGTCAGGTATTTTAATGTGTTATAACTGTTAACAACAGTTGCATTGCATTATCTATGTGGGCATTGTCAGTGAGTTGTTAACGGCTATAACACATTATAATACATGACCTTGTTAGTCATGATAAAATGATTTATAATGTGTTATGATTATTGCTATAAAGCATTATGATCATTCATCAGTGATTATAACAATAGTTATACAGTGCTATAACGTGATTATAAAGCATTATACATATATTTATAATGCGTTATAGAGATAGGCGTCATATAAAGTGTTACCTTATATTTTTATATTGTCTGAAATCTGCCTCTGAAGAAAGACTTCCATTTGTCATTACTTACCTTTATCTAATCAGGATTCGCCCCCTTTTTTCCTGCAGGTGAAAAGACAGTCATGTCTGTTGTGTCTGATGGCCTGAGTCTTTCTCAGGCAGCAGGGCAGAGCGTCTCACTCCAAAACCATCTGAGGAGGAAGATTGAAAGAATTTGGAGTGAGATCAGACAGAAAAGAGTCAATATTGAGCCTGTCTGCAGCAGCAGTTAACAGCCTGTCAGTGTGTCTGAATTTGACTGAGGCTCATTTATGATGATAGCTGGTGTTTACTTGTCAATTTTGACCGAGATCCAAAATTACAGGCAGCTTACAATCAGAAGAATCATGGATTGTGAATCCTTATGAATGTACTGCAAGTGCTGAATACTGAGACTCTTGAACAGGCTCTTGCACTTTGATATGATGTGTGTCTATATGTGGGTTTTAGAGATAAACAGTTCAAAGAAGCTACCTGCTCTTAGATTGACAGCCATATTGGCCGTCTCACTACATCCATGTGGCTCTGAGGTTTCTCTGTTGCTCACAGACATCACACTCACTTAATCCTCTTAGCTTCATTGATGTTCTGTCACCTTTCTGTTTGGGCCTGATCTGTCTTGTAATGCTATTTTTTATCAAGATATGTCAGTCTAGTATGATAGTGTAAATGTTGAGTTAAAATGACATTCTATTAAAGGTGGGGTAGGCAGGATCTGAGGAAGTGCTAGTTTTTGGGAGAAATCTTGAATGTAAACACTACCCCTCTGAACCAGTTTTCTCCTCAGCTCCTCTTCTCTCCTCCCTCTCTGCTCCAGCAAGCCCCGCCCACAAACAGATGCTCCTGTTCGCTCGAATTGCTCCAATTAAATTCAGATACAATGCAGATAAATACTTCAGATGATTACAAATGTGGCCTAGTCAATGTGAAAGTAAACAGCATTGGTGCTACTGTAGATGCCAACAGACTACCAGCAAACACAATGTTTGCAGGACTTCTACAACCAGGATAAACTGACATAGTCCAGGACCCGAGGGAAACAGTTTAGAGGCGCTACAACATGCAGCAGGTCCCGTTTGACAAGAAGCACTTTTGTTACAGACACTTGGCTTACTTTGTTAAGGCGGTTTACCTGTCCAGCCGAAAGGTTACAGGGTCCGTAAGATCCCGAAGCCTCCCCTGTCAGTTATGCTTCATTGATGTTGACCCGGCTTTTTAGCGCTTGTCTAGTCTACCTCCATTTTAAGCGCCCATTGTTCCGCCAGGGTCTCCAGTATTTACATTGTTGTCTTGCTTGTGTTGGCAGTCGTGGCCAAAGGAGGATTCAGACAATTCTCTGTACTTTCTGGTTGGTTTCTACTGTCCGATATTTTAGCACGCTAACTTTGTTTGGGCTCGTGCACGTGATTTGAGATCGTAGAGTGTGTCACACAACATGAGGGAGCAGCGTCTGCCCGAAAACCAATCAAGTTGGGGAGGAGAAGAACGGCTTTGATTATAGTCAGAAAGAGCGGGCTGCTCAAAAAAATTTAATATGTTGACTACACAGACAAAAACAAAACACAGCAATATCGTTATAGTCCCAAATGTCATCAATAACTAATAGCTATTGACTGATATTAAAAGCTTTTTTTGTATATACACCACAAAAAAAGATGCTTCTTTAACAGAATCCTTCCTACCCCGCCTTATAGTAATGATTTGCAGTGGCACCATAAATGTAGGGTGTCTGATCAGGGCCCTATAACATTTTATTCTCCATCTATTTAACTAAGGAGATGTAAGTATAAACCTGTTAATGCTTTATGTCAGCAAAAGTATCTGTAATTTAGCTTGATGTTTTTGTTTTAGCCCATCCTGAGCTTGTGGCTCTAAAATGCTGCTCACGATACACCTCCTGTGTAGGTGATGGAGAGGACAGTCATGTTTGCACAATCAGAAGAGGTCTCTTGTCTAAAGTGTTTAAACAAAAACAAAAGCTGAGGTTTTTCCTGCATCATATTCGGAGATGCTCTAAAGTGCTACCAAAAAAAATACCTGCTTAAAATTAGACAAAGCAGGTGAGTTTTGTTCCATTTGGGGGATATTTGAGATCAGAGCATGTAATATTCCTTTAATATCTCATGTTGGATGGTCCCTGTATTATTAACAACCACTCTCTTCTTTCTGTAACAACCTGCAGGCTGAAAAAAAACAGCTCCTGCTGCTGGAAATAGCAGTTTTGCCCTCTGTTTGTGAAGAGGATGGAAGCAGTGCACCTCCAGCTCTCTGCTCACACACACTTTTACCTGACACTTTATCATGACTGATCGATGAAACTCAAATTGTAAATCATTACAATCGCGGACATAAAGAGAGTGGAAGAGCTGCAGATCTTGGAAGAGATATTGACATGATCATGGCTGTCAAATGTGAGCAGTCAAGAGTGAAACTTCATGTATCTTTTTAAATGGTTCCAGTTATTATAGTTGACTTTAGTTGTGTTTTTTCCAGAAGGTTATCTTGTCCCCAGTGGCTAAAGGGACAACATGTTAGGCCCTTTTATGCTGCATTTTTTTTGCAGAATATTTAAATGAGGTTCCTCTTATCCTCAGTGGGCTCATACTGCTGCTGCTTTACATAATCATGGGAGTGTAGGGATGTGAGGAGAAGAGAAGTCAATAACTAATTTCTGCCTTCACTCTGCCTGCTGAGATATAGTGGAAGCCATTTTTTCTGCTGCTCTCAGCACTCCATTGTGTTTTCCTGCAACCACCTGCAACCTTCTTCATGTCAGTCTTAACAAACAGGCCCAATTAGACGTGTAATAGTAGCATAAATTCTGTTGACCACCAGCTGTCTTTTATTAAAACAGTGGTTCCCAAAGTGTGACAGCACGTGCATATAGGGGGGTAGGGGTCTTGTAGATATTTAATCAAAATCAATCATACCAAAGCCATAATGTTTACTGATTCTAGTCTTCATAAATTCTCTTCTCAGCTCTTATAGATTTTCTGGGTGAAATATTGTCATGTTTGTTACATTAACTCATCTAGAGACAGGGACCTTCACATTTGAACCGCCACAGGTCAGCCGATGGCACCCACAGCCTCTGATTGCTTAACAGACCTTAACAAAGATGGCAGCGTCTCTCCAGCAGTACCGTAGACTTTATATAGAATGGAAAGCGTCTGCCTCCTCGATGGTTGAAGCCACTCCAAGATCAGCACCCTCTGGCGACGGGCTGCAGTATCGGTCATAAATCCCGCCTTCGCCAGCCATCCCTATGGATCTGTGTAGAATATAAATTTTTCTCCCCCCTGGTTGCGATGTTGACATGTAGTTACTGTAAGACTGGTTTGTGCTCAAGTCCTCTTTTTTTCTGTGCAGCTCCATATTTAAAAGTTAGTAGGGGGTTCATGTTTTCTATGATTGACACTTGATACAGCCTATGGGCGTATGAAGATTGCGTAGCTCACCAGGGGGAAATGCTGTTGACAATGGTGGCTGCGGTGTTTAAGAAATATCCCAATCTGGAGGGCATTTTTTTAAGTTTCCATTTTAGAGCGGCTAAAACACCATCTGCGTTATCACAAGAAAACAATCTTTGTTATGTCAAGATATCAAAAAATAATAATTAATTATCACAAGATAACAGTGCATTAAAAAAAAGAAATCCATGGCTGTTCTTGTCTTCCGTAGTATGCACCTTACTTTGTGGTAGTCAAGTCAAGTCAAAGTTTATCTCTAAAGCATTTAAAAACAACCTCAGTTGACCAAAGTGTAGTACAGGAGTGCAATATAATCATGCATACACTTACTAAAAAAAAAATTTTTGGAATAAAAACAAACACAATTTTAAGAAATAAAAAATATAATACAATTAAATAAAAAAAAAAGAAAAGAAAAGAAAGTCCAGAAAAGGTAGGGATTGAAAGATAAAATGATAAAATGAATTGTGCTTTTATTTCACATTAATTAAAATGTATAAATGTTTATAAGTTCCTTATAAGGTCTTATTGACTATAATTAATGCTTATTAGAGGACCTTAATATATGGTGTTACCATGGTAGCTTAACTAGTTGTCTTTTTTTAGTCAGTAATTCAGAAGCAAATGATCTTAAGATAAATTATGTCATTTGTAGTGAACCAGTCTGGTTACCAAGAGTCACAATCCAGAGGGTTTAATAACATATATGGTGTGTTGCAGGTGGGTGACCAGATCCTGGAGGTTAACGGTCAGAGCTTTGTCACCATCTCCCATGATGAGGCGGTCCACATCCTGAAAACGGGACACCACCTGCTGATGAAGGTGAGGGATGTGGGTCGTCTTCCTCATGCACGCACCGTGGTGGATGAGACAAAGTGGGTCTGTAGTCAGGCCATCGCAGAGACCGGTGCCATGGTGAACCAGGCTTCTGTCACTAGCCCAAGCATCAACACTGGAGTCCAGACCAGTGTTAGTGCCTGCAGTTCAAGGTAAGAACACAACAGACCTATTTGTAGCAGTGCACCATCAATATAACTATGTTTGAAAGCTGTGATGTGGTTTTTATTTTGCCTGTGTCGAAAATGTTTTTTTTAATTTTCATGAACTTAAATTAAACGAAGACTATTTAGGAGAAGAGGAAAAAAAGGCAAAAATGAGGCTAAAACCAAAAAGCATTTTAATCTTTATAGGAATCTTTCAAAACACCCAAAGACACCATACAAGACAATACAAGATAAAAAAACAGTGAAAAAAATAAGTTTAAAGTCTTCTAGTCCCAACCGAAAATAGATGCCAAATTAACACAGTATAGCACAAATGTCAAAGATATAATAATAAGAAGAAAGATACGCCAAAAGCCGCTCGACTAAAAAAAAACAACAACAACAAAAAAACACTCCTTTTTGCATGATGGCAGAGCTTGTAAGTGTGGTCATCTACTATCATCACCATTAGTGAATTTGCTGTTCTTCTATGCCTGTCAATGAGAGGGAACTTTTCCTTTTTCACCACAGTTTCTCTTTTTGTGGTTCAGCCATTCACCGCTCTTGAGGCTCTTGAAGATGTTTCACCTCTCTTCCAAAAGGCTTCAATTCTGAAGAAGCCTTGTGAAAGAGAGGCGAACGTCCTCAAGAACCTCATACAAGTCTACAAGTCTCTACATGTCCGAGTAGTTTCTTTTGACAAAAAAGTCTCATCCTGCCAATTTCTAACAGTCAAATGTATCAGTCATTGTAAATATTTCTGAAGGAAATAGTAAAAACAGAGCTGTTTCCTTCAGGCATTGAAAACTACTAAATAAAAATCTCTGATTTGCTGCTTATGGACTTCTTTGCTTTCAAGTTTCATCAAAAGGCATCAATATCATTTTCAGTCTACTTCATAAACATCAATTATGGAGGCCCTTGTGGCAAAGCAATCTTGCTTACCTTCTCCGAATAGTGTCTTCTGACAAAATTTTCATCATTTGGACTTTGGCCAATCAAACACATCATTTATTGTGATTATTTGTATGGAATATGTAAAAACTGGACCGTTTCCTAAACTGTTCTGCTGACACCTACCCTCTCATTATAGTTTCAGGTATTTAGAGATTTGCATTTATATGCCATAAAAGGCAACTATGAATTTCAGTTTGTTTCATAAACCTCAAAAAACTCCTCTTTGGTGCTCTAAGAAAGAAGCTTGACAAATGCAGGGATTGCACCAATAGCATACTCGAAGCATAGGTGTTTAGGTGTAAGAAGTGTTTATTCAACATGTTCTATAAAATATACTGCAATCAAATTGACGAGAAGAAAAGCTTTCAACAGGAATAAGGAACAATTTAACAGGACTGGCAGCACCTGGCAGAATTTAGCTGGACAACCATCATTTTGTGTTTGTTTACTCTAAAGTCACATTTGACTGGTGGGAGAATTTTGTGAGGTTTCCACTTTTGAGGACTCTGGTTGTTGTCGCTTGTTGATCTCCACACACAATGGGATCAAAAGCTGTCATTATTTGTTGTCATGTGTGAGTGCCTCATGTTTTCAACATGGCTGTAGCTTGTCAAAATATTCATAGTGTGGGCTGTAGTGTGAGTTCATGTGAAAGCTGGATCATAACGCTAGAAAAGCTGCCATATAGTTGTACTGGAAACAAACTCTCCTCTGGTGGACGCCCCATTACTGAAGGTGGGTCTATTAGGGGGTCTGTGGCATGAAGGATTGTGTCTTCCTCCATCTGTCTCTTGCTTTGTTAGAACCAGTTTTGATCCCAAATTTGAGGAGGTATGAATTTTTCCACCTGCTGCTGCTGCTGTGAAAATCATAAACAGTATTTCTCAGCCCCACTCTTCATTATATTTCTGTTTCCTCTGTGCTGCCTCAGGGTGGATCAGGCTTTAATGTGGAGTGTTTTTTATGATTTATACACATCAGAGTTAAGGATGTTTAATTGCTTTGACTTTTGTTTGTTCACATCTTCCTTTAATAAGCCTTTCCCTTTTTTTTTTCTTTGTTTCAGACCGTCTTCAGCCAGAGCTACACCGGTCCTAGGAAAGGTAAGAAAGAATGTCATACAAACCTGCAAAAACATTGAGATTCAGTTTAACTTTCACAGCTAAAACTTCTGATTTGGTTTAAATGATGGCTGACCCTCACAAAATTAGCTACCTGAGCATTTTTCAAACAGTTTAAATGTCTGTGAGGACTTCCCATTTGAATTCAGTTGCAGAGGAACCTGTGGACAGAATCTTTAGTTTTTTTTCTGGAATAAAGACACATTTCCCGTAAGCCTCATCCCCCACTGTTGTAAAGACCTGACTCTCGCCAAAGCATGCATTTGTTTTGGAAGCAACTGAATGAAGAACAGATACTTATTTAAACACTTCTGTCGCCGCTGAAAACAACTCTGCGGGATGCAAAGTGACGAGGTATCACATTTCATTTGTTGCTAAGTAGAGCTGCTGAAGGAAAAGTAACAACAACAAAACTTGGATTTATTCTGCACAGTAGTAAGGTTTTTAGTAACCAGGTTTGTGCCAACTAGGGGTGTCCAGATACAACTTTTTAAAATCCGATACCGATATTGTAGTAGTAGGCAGGCCTGGCACACCCTAGCTTTCCTGTAATCACTAAGACTGTCTTTCCAGAATAAGTTAGCAGCAGTTGATTCAAGTTTTACAGGTTTGTTTCAGCTCACAGGTTACAGTATTATACCACTGAGCTAATATCTGATGTCTGATAGCCAAGTGAGGTGCATCAGGTGAAATTAACTCAAGTTTTTGCGCTACACCGCTGACAATATTGCAGGCAGAAGTAACATTTGCCTTTGGGTGGATAAGCAACAGTGATGAAAAGTTGAAGAAACTCACAAAGCAGAGATAAGAGTTCAGCATCTGGGACACAGATGTGCTCTCTGACTGTCAAAGACTTACAGTACCGCTCTATGTACAGATACCTCCCTTTCCTACGGCCTCATTTATCAACCGTGCGTAGAAAAGGATCTAAATTCTCGTGTAGGAATGAAATTTAGAATGTGTGTAAGTACAAAAAAAAATCTGTATTTATCAAACAGGCATACACCGCTCTTACACACACTAGTAAGTAATCGTTGATGATAAATCCCACCTGTTTTTTCCTACCGTGCTCATGCATGGTAAGGGTCATTTGCATTCAGAAATGCCTCCAATTGACCATATATGGTATCAACAATCCCTTTAAAATGCGTGAATGAATTTTTTCCCCCTCGCTGAAATCATGGAGGCGCACACTCACAGAGCTGTTCTGCAGAATTAATGAGTCGTGCATTCCTCTAGGCCACCGGGCAACAACATTTCACAGATACATATGTGCATCGCAGATTATTTGTGCATTGATTGATTGAAATCCTTTCTTGTTGACGCAACTGAATTCATTGTGTGATGTTCCTTTTTTGCGATGTGGTTGCAATCTGTGGCTCCAATTATGTTTGGGAATCCGGCGATGGCGTGAAATCCTCGTTTTGTTTCAGCTTGTTGGTGATGTGTGTATGAGAACTGAATGTAAATTGAGGCCAGAGAAATTATTGCATCCAACTCTGCTGGCATGATTCTGCTTAGCGTTGGCTGCGAAATGCCGCATATGTCTCCAATCTCACATTGAAATTTTCAAGTGGCCAAAAATCCCAGGGTGGACAGGAGCTGGATTTGCACTGGGGTGGCTTTGGTGCGCTTTGTCTCTTGCTCCAACAGGTTGTAAATCACACCATAAATCCATTACACTGCACTACGCACCACTTTTGCACCCGTTATCAACTGTGTACGCAGTGATAGTAGATCACTCGCAACACACCTACTAATATCACATGCAATTTTTTAGTTTGTGTACGCAATTTAGCGCTCGCTATTTTGGATCTTAGTAGATCAGGTCCTAAGTCTTCAACATGGAGCAACAAAAATCAGGGATAAAAGTGGATAGACATGATGTCTTAGCATTGACATCCTCTCTATGATTACTAAACACTCTGATGTAACTGATATGGTAATTTTCCACATCCTTTTCATACCCTATTACTCACTTCCCCATCCCCTCCTGTTGTCTGTTTTGTTAAATGATACTCATTGACACACTGTAAAGAGCTGAGCTCCATGCTAATATGTTCCCAAAGACAACAATGTGCATCAAAGGCTCTGCTATGATCAGGCAGCAACTCTTCAGAAACAGCTCTATGGCCCAAGGCAATCCAGGCCTAATGAGTTCTATAATTTAACAACGGATGGGTGGCTATGTTGATTTAATGCATGTCCAACAAGCGTTTGAGCAGCCGCTGGGTAACCATTAATGAATTAGGAGGACTGTATAAAAGATGCTGCTGTGGGAGCTGGGTGGACAGGATGTGTGGTATTGAGGGCTTGTTTGGTAGCTTGTTAGCGGAGGCAGTGTGCTGTGTATTAATTAAGAGCACAGCCTGAATGACGTGATTGGTTAGAACATGACTGCTGACAGGACAACATTTGGAAGACGTCTGAGATTTCCTCCTTTCTGTCTTGCTATCTCTATTATTTAAAAACCAACACCATCTATGAAAACATCCACATCATTCATTTAACCCAAATATAAAATCATCTGTAAGTTGTTGACTGAAAACAAAGAAAAAAATCAAGGTGAACAACCACAGTCTGGGTTGATGTGAGAGTGTCCCATGGGGAAAATGAGCAGTTTTATGAGCTTATATCGACCCACCTGCCCTTTGTACATTGTGTGTTCCCCATCAACCGCAAACTTCCATTAAAGCCCTCAGGTCTCCTGTTAAAGGCTCTCATGGGAAACATGCAGAATGTTTCATCAGGAGGTCAAACTCATCCCTTTTACTGCACATTTTATACTTAGATTATTCAGATTTTTTAACCTTAGACCTATCTTTACTGACTTTGGCTAAATATATTTTGGCCGAAAGGTACAAAAGTGTTAAAATTGCTCCAGTTAATTTATCCTATAGCAGTTCTTGTCTGTAATAGCTGCAATGCAATCCCAGAAGGCACATGTCTTAGTTGAAATATGCCCTCTAAAAGTTTTTGTTTCTGTCACAGAGGCTCAGATATTTGTTTTTCTGTGTTTAGTAGCAGCATTGCAAAAAAAGAGAGATAGACCTAAAGAGGGGTATGTTTTTTTTTCTGAAACACCTTAAACACGTCTCTTTTTAGCCACTTTGCTACTTTGACAAAAAAGTTATTTCACAAGCTTTACATCTTCAGCTCTGTCTCTTCTCTTATTCCAGATGGTCTCTTTCTGCAGACATTCTTTCTTCATGTTTTTGGATTCAATGGGAGCCCACCCAAACAAAACTTCAGAGTGAAAAACATTGTTTAGTCATGGGAGGGATACATTTCAAGCCGAGGGACAGCAAGTAGCTTTTTCCTTTGTCTTATTTTTCTCCTGTTAAAAGTTTAAGAGCTCAGGTAAAATATTTGTCATTTGTTTAAGACTTTATTTTCTGATAGGTAAGTTTATTTGGAGAACTTTTGTTCATTGTTTTGGCCTTTGCTCATCTCTGAGAATCATTAAATCTGCTGTTTTACTGTAATTTAAACTGTTTTGCTGGAAGAGTGCGGGAACACGTTGTATCATGTCCAGGTATCCCCTCTGTAGGGACATAGCAATTGTATTTTATTGTACAATATCATATCTTTTTGTTCAGAAACAATTTGCGAATCACTTTATAAACTCTCTCACTGACTCTGCCTTCAGGCTGGTTGAACGCAGATGAATCCCTTTATAATGTTTTGTGTCCTCGTTGCTGCCAGAAGCCTGTGCTACTTGAATATAGCCTCAGTTAGGGTATCTTGATATAGCTATTAAGATTGCAAACATAAAGATCAAAATGAATGAATTATATCTGGAAACATTTGAACCTAAAGTAGCAGAACTGCCTCTGGTTATTCCCCCCTTGTGTTTAATGATTTCACATCAGTTGTAACGTATTCATCAACCTGTAAAAAGACACTGAATCAGACAGCGTGATTTCAACAGATGCTATTATAAGTAATGACAAAAGGGCTCTGGTGAAAATCATCTGTCTCCCGCTTTAAGAAATCACATTACATTTGCTAGACTTCATTATATTAAATTTTGTTCTCATTACAAGTTTTTCACTTGAACTCGAACCATTTGGTTTCTCTTTTATTATGTCAGAACACAAAGTATTAATCCTTTAACCCGACAGTAGGCTCAAGGTCAAATTCACCGTTTAATATTGATTTTCCAACAAATTGCAGAGATAGCTCCTTTGTCATCCCTGTATTGTCTTCATCTTATTCTGCCAGTATTCATTTCTGCATCTGAATGCAGAGAACAGCTTTTTCATTAATGCCGTTTTGTATAATGTGATGTGTTTGACTTGGGTTTTTATCATCTGAAGCCTTTTCATTTCCATTCTTTCATCTTATGAACAATTTGTTTGTGGTGCTTTTACACGGGCACATCGTTGTGGGAGGGGAATCTTCCCTAGCAGCTTGCGGGGTCCCACTTTCCTGATTCAATACAAGGGTTTTCACACAACCACAGGACCTTGCTAAAACTAACTCAGTCTCCAAACAGATGAAGAAGCTGTTTTCAGAGGCGAGCTGCACATGGAGATAACAATGATGGAGACTTAAAGGCAAATAAGTCTTGACTGTGAACCGCCCTGCAGCTTTGACGTGCTGCCTTTTCCCCGAGTGTGATAAGGCAGACACTGCCGCATGTGCATAATGTGAGGGATGACGGTTTGAACACATCTGAAGACTTTCAATCTGTATGCTTCTCTGCTGGGACAGTGAGATAACTCTTATTATGCGTCTATGTTTTCCTCTACAGCCTGCTGGGTACAGAGGTGTGGGCCCTCCAGGTAAGAGAGATTGAGATTGTTAGATCAATCAAATATACATACAGTACGATTTTAGACAAGAAACTCCCTATTTTTTGGAGATCGAAAAGGAGTAGGTTTAAGCTATTTAGCTTATGTGTACCTACTCTCATTCCTTCCTATTCGTTTACCATGTTTAGATAGAGTTTATTCTCATCAAACCATCATTTCAGGTGCTCAGGTGTCCCTGGAGCAGCAGGCCTACATGTTGCTGACAGAGCCGGAGAGGCAGACCATGGTTTACTACCTGCAGGAGTACCAGGAAGGACACATCAGTGTAGAACCTCTGGCCATGGCTCTGTTTGAGCTCTTCAACACTCATGCAAAGGTAGCGGCTTCAGGGGAAGTTTTTTTTTTTTTTTTAACCAGAACCTTTTAAATAATGTATTTAAAAAAAACTAAGTAATATTCATTGGATGAACTTTAATGTTAGGTCAAGAAACAGAGACTCAGATGTGTGGAGCAAACACAAAAGCGAATTTGTACATAAAGCTCCTCATCCATTTTTTAATATGGCTCTTTTTGTGAAAAGGTCAGGGTTGAGGATTAAAGATGAAATACTTAAAAAACTGAACTTATTAACAGTCAGGTTAGGTATAATTATCAGATGATACTGTATAAAACCAAGGACAAAAGAACAGCTCTCCTGAGCGAAGCCAGAACTTTCAGTGCATCTGGGATGATGCTGTTTTTTTACACTTTTAAAAAAGTCCATTGGTCCATCCATTCATTTCTTTTGAGCAGAGGATACAGCATCCAGAATTTCCCAGGAAAATGATACATTTTGATCCATCAGACCACAGGACAATTTTACCCGGATGAAATACAATAATTTGAAATTGTTGAACAATTTCCTCTCGCAGTTTCTTACAAAGTAGTGAACCTCTTTTGTTTGATGGACTCAACCTCTCTGAGTACCCATTTAATACCAAGTTTGTTACTAACCTGTGGTAATTGATCTTAATTTGTTAGCAAAGTTTTTCAAGGTGTATTTTAGCATTACACAACTTTTTTTTTTGTCTTCCACAACATTTTTAAAACATGTCACTGGCATTAAATTTCAAATGATCATATATTTTCTTGCACACAATGAAACCTTTTCAGTTTCAGCTTTTGATATGTTATATTTGCGCTATTTTAAATCAAATATAAGCTTTTGATGACAAGAAAACAATGAAAACCAGACTTTGGTTTTACTTCATATTACTCCAACTATTTTGAAACTGGGATTGTATTTTAAACACATGGTTGTCAAACAACAAAAAACACATCAAATAACTTTCTCTCAGTTCTTTTCATGCTGATTTATGCCTAAATATTCATTTTCTCTGATGTTCAGTGTTTCATTTGACCTGTTTCCTCTTCTCTCTGTGTCCAGCTGTCCATGTTGTCTGAGGTGAGGAGTCTCGTGGCCCCACAGGATCTGGAGCTGTATGACAGGTTGGTGCTGCACCGGGAGAAGGAGGCCCACCAGGCTTGGCATGGAGGGATTGGAGTCATACATCCAGAAGCCCTCTGCACCCATGCTGCCCCTGTGGTCCATGATCCAGGACACGGTGACCCCTCTGTGGTAGATGTTTTTTCTACTACTCTTTTAAATGTGATGGTCAATGTTAGAGTGTGTGGTAATTTTCCTGAACATGTCCCGCTCTGCCACTTCAGTGTGGCCTTGTTCAGATATTTGTAATGATAGAGCAAGATCAGCACTGACAGGGACTCACTCGAGAATTTTTAAAGGTTGTTTAAGGTTTTTTTTTTTTTTTTTTTTTGAAAAACAGGAATCAATCCTGTTCCTACATCTTGTGACATGGCTGCTCACCAAATCACCTGATGACAAATGTTGGTATAAAATGTACCAATTAAACTCTGCAAGCTAGCTGCACAAAGAGCTGCCTTTTAATTTACTCAGTGCTAAACGAAAAAGCCTGAACCCATAAACTGTATATAGAATGGAAAGCGTCTGCCTCCTTGATGGTTGAAGCCATCAGGCTGCAGTGTAGGTCATAATCCCGCCTCCGCCAGCCATCCTTATGGGGCTGTGGACAACATTTAGAAATTTATTACACAGAATATAACTTTTTCTCCCCCTTGCTTTTGATGTTGACATGTAGATACTGTAAGACTGGTTTGTGCTCAAGTGATTTTTTGTGTGCAGCTCTATTTTTAAAAGTTATTAGGGGGTTCATGTTTTCTATGATTGACACTTGATACAGCCTATGGGCATACGAAGACTGCGTAGCTCACCCGGGAATACGCTGTTTGAGCCGAGCGTCATCACAGCGACTCTTGGCAACCCTCCCGCCGAATGCACACAATGCTACTACACAAGTGGTGGAGTGTGTACAATGCTACTGCGCAATGTCCGTTTCTAGAAGTGGAGAAAAAACGTGGAATTACTGAGAGCTTTTTCGGCTTCAAATCCGTACACTGGCAGAAGGCAGAATTAAGTTGTCCATAGTATATACAGTCTGTCCCTGAATCTTGTCAGTGGACTGACATAATTGGATAACAGGTGAAAATGTTATGTCTGGAGGACTTCTCAGTGTCCTAACCCTAGCTGACTGATGACTTTGGGGCATCGACTGCATACAATCAGTGACTAAGTACACTGCATGACTGTATACTTGATGTAAAAAAAAAACTGAATGTCTGAAAGTTTCCTTCTGTTAAATTCCAGTAAAAATGAAATTCTTGTTATCGGGTCCCAGCAGGTGGCTAAAAAAAATCCTGCCTTCTGCTGGGTCCCCTAGGGGATCACATTAAGTCTGTTGCAAGGAACATCGGCATCTGGTTTGACAGTAATTTGAATTTTGAACAACACTCCACTAAACTTGTACAGTCATGTTTTTGTCATCTTAGAGATACTTGACAAATACAAGACCTTTCATGTTATAAAGACAGAGAGGATTTTACTTGCTTCTAGTTCTTCATGTCTGGATTACTTGATGACAGTCTTTTTACACGTTTTAATCAAACTTCCTTGGGCAGTCCACAGTTGGTGCAGAAATCAGCTGCTAGGCTTTTATGAAGAGCTGACAAATTGAACACATTACACCTATTTTAGTATTTTCACACTGGCTGCCAGGACATTTTAGGATTGATTTTAAGATTTTAGTAATTACTTCTGAAGCTCTTAATGGTCTCGGACCTTTAAATCCTTCACACTCTTTACGATCCTCAGGCGAAGGCTTTCTCACCATTCAGACACTTGGCTGGAAAAAAAGTGGACAGAGTGTTTTTATTCTGGGCTTCTAAGCTCTGGAAAAACCTGCCCAAGGAAATAAAGTCGACTGATTAAATGGCTCATTTAAGTTTCTTAGAACTTACTTTCTAACTTCACTTAACCTGAAATGTATTTGAGAGTGACCTGATTTTATCTCTCAAATACGTTACTGTATATGTTAATATCTGTTAATATGTCAAATATGTTAATATGTTGGTCTTATGATAGTTGGTCCCTTTAAAAAAAATGCATTTTTCTATTTCCTGCCTTTTTGAAGCACTTTGGAGTGAAGAAAGTACTCTTGAAATAAAGATTTATTATTATTATTATTATTATTATTATTATGATATGATACAATTAAATGAAATTTGATATTATACAATACGATATGGTATGATAGAGTCATATCCAATATGATTCAAAACAATATAATACTATCTGAATATATTATTGAGTAAAAGTCCACCGTTCTAAACATTTTGTCCAGCCGTCACTGACATTCACACTAACATGGATGATCCGAGACTTTCCACTTTGGTAGTCTGCGCATGTACACGAAACACAGCAACGTGACTTAACTACATATTTTAGATCTCTGCACACTGACATTATCCAACAGAATCTGATAATGGTTAATGTCTGGTGTACTTCACATTGATAACAGGCTGAAGTGAAGTAAGCGTGTCGGTGTCTTGCCAATCTGCCGCACACAGAGATTAGTCTCTTGATACAGGAGGACAAGGGGAAAATACGAGCTATCTCCAGGCACCCAGTCACATGATAGAAAAATCTTATTTTCAATGCATAAGCAAAAACATGACCATAACACACGCACTTTTCGAGTAGGAGTGCCTCTATGTGTGTAACCAAGGGAGGAATGTGCAATGTAATCTCTAATGGCCACCTTTTTGTCTTCTTAATGCTTCCTGTAAGTATAAGATGAGTACTGCGCCACTTGGGGCTCTAGAGCAGGTTTAAGTCGGTCAAAGCTGGGTGTCAGGTTTTGTTGGATTTACGCAACATGGGCATTTGTGATAGGTGGAAATTGATGACTTGTGCTGTACCCAAAAAGACTTTGCTCAAGGTGGATTCATAGAGACTACTATATTTTGAGATACTGATACTTGATACTTAAAAACTCAAATGCATGAGGTGTTAAAAAAGTCCTTCATACGCAGCCAGGGTGACTCCCAGTTCTGACTCTTATGAATAATATCTCTAATAATTTTAGAGGATCCACATAGATCACTGCAAGAGTGTGTGTGGAAGAGTCCCTCCATCAGTCCAAGCCCCCTGGCATCAGTCTTTGACACAGAGCAGCTTGTCTTTATGTCAGGTCAGAGACTCTGTGAGAAACTATATTTCACTGAAGTCCACATCTATCCAAAGAGACCCCATTCTGCCACGTCACAGTCTGTCTCTGTTTCACTCCCCTCTGCAGTCTAGCCTTTTAGAGGACCCAGCAAAGTTACTTAATCCTAAAAAACTTTTTGACTTTATCCGGAGCGCTGTGTGGATTATTTCCCTCTGCAGGATTCTGGCTCTGTGCCTGACTTGAGGTGTTTTTGGTGCATCTGTCTCATTGTAGTCAGTTGTTTGTTGTTGCCATCAAAGCTCGCCGGTGACAGTGTTTGCAGCAGCGCACCATGTGTCTGTGTAATTGCCTAAGCTGACACAGTCATTACTGTGGTGGTGAAATTACAACTCCTCAATAAAAAAAGCTAATTGTGTTTCATTTACCGGCAGTTAGTAACTCTGCAGGAAACACTGAGATTTATTGTTGCAAATCCATGTTATGACACATCGTTGTCTCTTTAGATGGATTTTCTACGCAGGTTGGCTGCAAGATAGTCATTTAGAAGAACCAATAGCTGTAATTAACAAGGCATTAAATGTAGGAGCTTGCCAAGAGAGGAGGGTGGATGTGTTTAGAGATCAGCGTTAAAGGTTTTTGCATGCTCATTTTGATAGAGCATACATAAAAAACCTGGAGAAAAATTATTGTCTATTGTTGCAAATATGAAAGTATTTGGCTACTAAAATTTGGACAGTAATTTGTTAAAATCTTTATTGCTTTTATCAGAGTTACAAGGCGGCCCATGCCCCCGAACAAATTTTCATTTTCACAATCTGATGATCAGATTAAATACTGGTGAACAATCACGAATGTTACATGATATCTTATTAAATCAATGGTTACAAACAAACACAGAATCATCTCAATGTGAAGGTACAGTTGTTCTCAGCTGTCCTTAGCCTAATCTTTGAATTAGGGCAAATAAAGGGTTAGTCAGCAGCTTTGAAGTTCGATTTTTGCCAATCTATTAAAGACCCACTCCGATGAAAATCATGTTTGTGAATTTCCCAGTTTGGGATCAATAAAATCTATCTATCTATCTATCTATCTATCTATCTATCTATCTATCTATCTATCTATCTATCTATCTATCTATCATGAGAAAACTAAAAGCAAAATTGCATTTAGGAGGATTTCTCCTTTCAAATCGCTATGAGCTTCTCACAGACCCAAACAGCAGGTTCAAACACAGTGACATTTTCTACATCACAAATCCAAGCTCCGCCCCCTGAGCCCCACTGTGCAGGCCAGACTCTGAGAAGTAGAGAGGACGATCGTGGAACAAGTGTGTGTGTTAGCAGATTGCAGTGGCTACCTGCCACTGCTGCTGCACCGGCAATGTTAGGTTTCAAGCTAGCATGAGGAGGAGTGTGCAAGGCAGCGCTGTCTACGCTCACGAATCAGAGGCCAATTGCTAATGAGCGACTGGAGCTCTGCAGAAGAAAAGCCCTTGAAAATGTGATCATGATTTTGGCTAAAAACTACATAATTACAATTAAAAGACCACTGAGAACACTTCAAATAGTAAAAAAAATATGATCGGAGTGGGACTTGAAGAGCAAAGAGCCAACTTAGTGTGAGATAACTAATTCACATTAAACACATCACACAGGATGTAAAGCAAGAGATTTCCACCTGCATGTGAAACACCTTCATTTTAGGGCATCTGCAGAAATTCTGGATAATGCTTTGGCTGATTTTGTTTTTCATTGTGCAGTCAGCCACCTTGGGAATGGTCTTTTCCACATGTAAGAACTGTAACTGAGTAAATATACTGTGAATGAATGAAAGGGAGGTAATCCCCCTCTAGTTGTATAATGTTCTGAATGTCCGTCAGGTCTCTTGGGGCTCCCTGAAGTCCACTCTGAACATTATGCAGAGATAATATAATAGAGCCTGGAGCCCGAAACGGTAGAATAAAAAGCTGTTTTTCAAAGACTTTGTTCTTACTGTACAAACTTTTCTGCCCTCATTATGCTGTCCTGTGGGACAAATCTCATCCATCTGGTATCTGTTATAAGTAGGCTGGAGTGAACTATACTCAATTTTCATTACAGATTAAGCCCTGCGGTACTGAAACGCCTTATACTGTCCCTTTCAGACTAACGCGTCTGCTGGTGGCTGGACCGAAAAAGGCGAGGAGGAGAACACTAATGCCTTACAAAACATTGCACTGGTAAGTGTTAGTCTTTGTTTGGATATATGAGGAAGAAAAGTGTATTTTTATTTTAATTCCTAGCATCTCGACCAAACTATTGAAGATTTTTAACTACTTGTAAAAAAGAAACTTAGTAACATCTGTTTTACTGCTGTAGTAATCTGACAGCTAGAAAGGGAAAATGATGTAATTATTGGAGAAGCATATCTCCTTTCACACTGAAGTCATCAAAGCAAGACATTTGAAGGAAAAGTAATGGTAGATAAAAAGTTTAAAATTTATGGGCTGTCAAGGCTTGATTTTTTAAGGGTTTGTGCTTGTCGTGATCACAAGGAGGACGGCCCAAGCCACTTTTGACACTGGTCTTTTGTCACACATATTAAGAGTTACCTTCTTCTCCCTGACAGGAGGACAGACAGGCGTCATGTGAGTCTCCGCCACCCTTCAGAGCTGCTCCCCACCAGGCTCAGAGCAGACAGTCTAGAGACAGAGATCTCAGAGGGAAGCCTTCTGCCCGGCTGGTGCAGCCCGGCTCCAACCTGATTTTCAGCGGCTCCAGTCGGCTCCTCCAAGAGTGTCTCCACAAGTCGCTTAAATCCCTCCCCATCGCTAACCAGCTCTCCCCAAGCTCTCCACACCATGCCTGCGCTGGATCCTGCCACCACACCTCTCTGCCCAACCAGCTCCACCACACCTATCAGAGCTCCCTCCAGATTTCTGACTCTGAACACCTCAACCACTCCCACTTCTCCCACCACTTCCACCACCACGCTGCTCCTCACAGCCGGCCCAGCTCAGGACACCACACCTGTCCGGGTTTTCTGCACCTCCGAGACTCTGCTAAACCAGAGGGTTCTGTCAGGCTAGCTTCCAGATCCAGCTCCTATGAGAAGGCCACTGTCTTGTCAAAGTCCGCGTCCTCCTCCAAAGCAACCTCTCCCATGGTGTCCCCTCATCCGTCCCCCCATCCTTCACCATGCCCCTCCCCCTGCCCATCGGTCATCACATCTGCCGCTCCTCCCTGCAGTCCAGATCGGCCCTGCTCACCCACCTTGACCCAGAAAATCATCGTAACAGACATGAACCGGCTGTCTGCAGACTCCAGACCACAGCAGAGAGGTACACAATGCTTTGTATGTATACGTTTGTGTACATGACTGTGTTTGTGTATGTGTGTGTCTATGTATATTGTTTCCGTGTGTAGAAATGCATCTCATGTTAGATTCATATACAGTTCAAAATGACATTACGAAAGGTTAAAGGGGTATTCCGGCATAAATTTAAGTTATTGTCAAACACACTGTGACTCTGGGTTAGACACCTCCTCGCAAAGAGACCAAACACAGCTCACCCACTCTCTTCCAGCTGCCGCTTGTTTGTAGGGAGACCTCAGGCAAGTCCATTACGAACTGCTGCGGGGTGACGCAGCTCAAGGAAGAACATTTATGATCATTTCTTTATCATTTCCTTGAAGTAATAATCACCATATTAATCATTTTGCACTGCAGATGCGGTAGTTACCATGTAACAGTAGTAGTACCATGCATTACCATGAGGAAATGATTGATTAATTTTACTGCAATTTTAATTTTATGCCAGAATATCCCTTTAAGCTTACTGACTGTTCAAATTTTACAAAGTTGACTCATTGATATGTTATAGTTAGCCATTTTGTAAACGAAATCAGCTCATTAGCTTATCACAATGCATCCACCATTAAAAAGGTGATGGTCCTCATGGGAAATACAGTCTTTATCCCAGAAAGAACTACCAATCTTCATCCAAAATGTAATCAGAATAAACACGATATGACAATTTATCCTGTTTTATTTGAAATAAAAAAAAATTAAGTGAAAAAATAAATCAAACAGCTCATTGAGAAGAAAATACAGTACAGAACAAAATTAGATATTTATGTAGAATTGATTAGATACTACATATAATGGACTGATTCAAGGCAAGAGCTTCTAGATGGTGTGCTATTAGATGAGATGTGAAAAAAGTCAGAGATGAAGCCCTGGCCCCTCTGAGCAGCTCTGCACCCCAAGGCGATGATTTGCTCGGGCAGTCACTACCACAGTCTGACCTTTGTGCAGAACATGTGTAAAAGGTCAGTGCCCAGTACTCACACAGCGTCAGTGTCAACACAAATAAAACTCACAGTTCTCTGCGCTGGAAGAATCACCTTTGGTTGTGCTCTTTGTGCAAAAATATCAGTTTGTTGGTCTTTTTTTTTGTTTTGTTTTGATGTCTTACTTTCATGACAGAGTTCACGTACCAAGAGATTCAACTTTGACTTTATTGGCACATGCATTGAGATGATTTGAGTTTAAATACAGAAGAGAGCAAATCTATTTTCTGTCACATCCCAAGGAAATGAGATGCAATCAAGAATATCCTAATTGGCTGGGTATGGGTTAAGCATGAAAAGAGTTACCATCTTTATTTTCCAGTTTAGTCACACTCCGTACAGATCTTTTAAATATTGGTGGGTTAATTTTTGCAGCAATAAAATACATTTTTTGGTAACAAATACGTACAACAATAGTTCTGAGTGAAAAGACTGTTTCCTCAATGCTTTTATCCAAAGCAACGTACATTCAAGAGCAAGAAGATACAAGCAAAGACAAGAAGAGCAAGATTAGTAAGTGCCACAAAGTGGACATGCAGTGTTAAAAGCATCCCCATCAATTATATTGTCTTCACAACAACAATTATCAAAGGTACCAAGTGCTTGGTCTGCGACTTAAATGCAACTGGAGTCCAAGTCTACAACTTGAGTCCCTTTCTCTGACTGGATTATATTGTAAAAACACAGTAAAACTCCACTGCCAATATTAAATGATTTACTGCTAACAGTAGCGTTAGTGTTAAAATCAAATACAGAAGATAGACTGTGAAATAAAGGGAAACAGTTGTTCTTTGCATTCAAAGTAGGGCTGGGCGATTAACCGAAAATCTACCGATACCGAAATTTACGACAATAACCAACATCATTTTGCCCATGTCGGAATATTCTGTGTCAAAAAATTAAAATAAATAAAAGTTGGTTTTGGATGTCTGTAGGTAGGCTATGATCTCATGTCTTTAAGATGCTGTCCTACGTCAGAGATGTGACTCCACCCCATTCAGTCTGTAACAAAGAGGGAAAAACAGGTGAGGAGATGGAGGACAGTTCAAAAGTTGGAGCGACTGAAGTAGACAAAGTTAATGTGGAAGGGGGTGAGCAGCTTGTGGAGTAGTTATCGTCTATTTACCGTTATCGAGGTGAACTGCTCAATATGATATTGATATGAGGCCATATCGCCCAGTCCTAATTCAAAGCATCCATTTGCACATCTGCACACCATCATTTATACTTGTTAAGGTTGGAGCTAGGGTTAGGGTTAGGTGTGGGGTTGGAGCTAGGGTTAGGGTTAGGGTTAGGGTTGGAGTTAGGGTTAGTGTTGGAGCTAGGGTTAGGGTTGGGCTTGGAGCTAGGATTTTTCTGAGTGCAATGAACCAACTCCCGAGTCTCTAGGACGTTCCTAAAAAAATTTGATTTTTTCCCATAGGAATGCATGGGTTAGGGTTAGGGTTAGGGTTAGGGTTAGGGTTGGAGTTAGGGTTAGTGTTGGAGCTAGGGTTAGGGTTGGGCTTGGAGCTAGGATTTTTCTGAGTGCAATGAACCAACTCCCGAGTCTCTAGGACGTTCCTAAAAAAATTTGATTTTTTCCCATAGGAATGCATGGGTTAGGGTTAGGGTTAGGGTTAGGGTTGGAGTTAGGGTTAGTGTTGGAGCTAGGGTTAGGGTTGGGCTTGGAGCTAGGATTTTTCTGAGTGCAATGAACCAACTCCCGAGTCTCTAGGACGTTCCTAAAAAAATGTGATTTTTTCCCATAGGAATGCATGGGTTAGGGTTAGGGTTAGGGTTAGGGTTGGAGCTAGGGTTAGGGTTAGGGTTAGGGTTGGAGTTAGGGTTAGTGTTGGAGCTAGGGATAGGGTTGGGCTTGGAGCTAGGATTTTTCTGAGTGCAATGAACCAACTCCCGAGTCTCTAGGACGTTCCTAAAAAAATTGATTTTTTCCCATAGGAATGCATGGGTTAGGGTTAGGGTTAGGGTTGGAGCTAGGGTTAGGGTTAGGGTTAGGGTTGGAGTTAGGGTTAGTGTTGGTGCTAGGGTTAGGGTTGGGCTTGGAGCTAGGATTTTTCTGAGTGCAATGAACCAACTCCCTGAGTCTCTAGGACGTTCCTAAAAAATTTGATTTTTTCCCATAGGAATGCATGGGTTAGGGTTAGGGTTAGGGTTAGGGTTGGAGTTAGGGTTAGGGTTAGGGTTAGGGTTAAGGTTGGAGCTAGGGTTAGGGTTAGGATTAGGGTGGAGCTAGGGTTAGGGTTAGGGTTAGAGCTAGGGTTAGGGTTGGGGCTAGGGTTAGGGTTAGGGTTAGGTTTAAGGTTGGAGCTAGGGTTAGGGTTAGGGTTAGGGTTGGAGCTAGGGTTAGGGTTAGGGTTAGGGTTGGAGTTAGGGTTAGGGTTAGGGTTAAGGTTGGAGCTAGGGTTACGGTTAGGATTAGGGTGGAGCTAGGTTTAGGGTTAGGGTTAAGGTTGGAGCTAGGGTTAGGGTTAGGGTTAGGGTTAGGATTAGGGTGGAGCTAGGGTTAGGGTTAGAGCTAGGGTTAGGGTTGGGGCTAGGGTTAGGGTTAGGGTTAAGGTTGGAGCTAGGGTTTGGGATAGGGTTAGGGTTGGAGCTAGGGTTAGGGTTAGGGTTAGGGTTGGAGCTAGGGTTAGGGTTAGGGTTAGGGTTGGCGTTAGGGTTAGTGTTGGAGCTAGGGTTAGGGTTGGGCTTGGAGCTAGGATTTTTCTGAGTGCAATGAACCAACTCCCGAGTCTCTAGGACGTTACTAAAAAAAATGATTTTTTCCCATAGGAATGCATGGGTTAGGGTTAGGGTTAGGGTTGGAGCTAGGGTTAGGGTTAGGGTTAGGGTTGGAGTTAGGGTTAGTGTTGGAGCTAGGGTTAGGGTTGGGCTTGGAGCTAGGATTTTTCTGAGTGCAATGAACCAACTCCCGAGTCTCTAGGACGTTCCTAAAAAAATTTGATTTTTTCCCATAGGAATGCATGGGTTAGGGTTAGGGTTAGGGTTAGGGTTGGAGTTAGGGTTAGTGTTGGAGCTAGGGTTAGGGTTGGGCTTGGAGCTAGGATTTTTCTGAGTGCAATGAACCAACTCCCGAGTCTCTAGGACGTTCCTAAAAAAATTTGATTTTTTCCCATAGGAATGCATGGGTTAGGGTTAGGGTTAGGGTTGGAGCTAGGGTTAGGGTTAGGGTTAGGGTTGGAGTTAGGGTTAGTGTTGGAGCTAGGGTTAGGGTTGGGCTTGGAGCTAGGATTTTTCTGAGTGCAATGAACCAACTCCCGAGTCTCTAGGACGTTCCTGAAAAAAATAGATTTTTTCCCATAGGAATGCATGGGTTAGGGTTAGGGTTAGGGTTGGAGCTAGGGTTAGGGTTAGGGTTAGGGTTGGAGTTAGGGTTAGGGTTAGGGTTAAGGTTGGAGCTAGGGTTACGGTTAGGATTAGGGTGGAGCTAGGGTTAGGGTTAGGGTTAAGGTTGGAGCTAGGGTTAGGGTTAGGGTTAGGATTAGGGTGGAGCTAGGGTTAGGGTTGGGGCTAGGGTTAGGGTTAGGGTTAAGGTTGGAGCTAGGGTTTGGGTTAGGGTTAGGGTTGGAGCTAGGGTTAGGGTTAGGGTTAGGGTTGGAGTTAGGGTTAGTGTTGGAGCTAGGGTTAGGGTTGGGCTTGGAGCTAGGATTTTTCTGAGTGCAATGAACCAACTCCCGAGTCTCTAGGACGTTCCTAAAAAAAATGATTTTTTCCCATAGGAATGCATGGGTTAGGGTTAGGGTTAGGGTTGGAGCTAGGGTTAGGGTTAGGGTTAGGGTTGGAGTTAGGGTTAGTGTTGGAGCTAGGGTTAGGGTTGGGCTTGGAGCTAGGATTTTTCTGAGTGCAATGAACCAACTCCCGAGTCTCTAGGACGTTCCTAAAAAAATTTGATTTTTACCCATAGGAATGCATGGGTTAGGGTTAGGGTTAGGGTTAGGGTTAGGTTTAGGGTTGGAGTTAGGGTTAGGGTTAGGGTTAAGGTTGGAGCTAGGGTTAGGGTTAGGGTTAGGATTAGGGTGGAGCTAGGGTTAGGGTTAGGGTTAGAGCTAGGGTTAGGGTTGGGGCTAGGGTTAGGGTTAGGGTTAGGTTTAAGGTTGGAGCTAGGGTTAGGGTTAGGGTTAGGGTTGGAGCTAGGGTTAGGGTTAGGGTTAAGGTTGGAGCTAGGGTTACGGTTAGGGTTAGGGTTAGTATTAGGGTGGAGCTAGGATTAGGGTTAGGGTTAAGGTTGGAGCTAGGGTTAGGGTTAGGGTTAGGATTAGGGTGGAGCTAGGGTTAGGGTTAGGGTTAGAGCTAGGGTTAGGGTTGGGGCTAGGGTAAGGGTTAGGGTTAAGGTTGGAGCAAGGGTTTGGGTTAGGGTTAGGGTTGGAGCTAGAGTTAGGGTTAGGGTTAGGGTTGGCGTTAGGGTTAGTGTTGGAGCTAGGGTTAGGGTTGGGCTTGGAGCTAGGATTTTTCTGAGTGCAATGAACCAACTCCCGAGTCTCTAGGACCTTCCTAAAAAAATTTGATTTTTTCCCATAGGAATGCATGGGTTAGGGTTAGGGTTAGGGTTGGAGCTAGGGTTAGGGTTAGGGTTAGGGTTGGAGTTAGGGTTAGTGTTGGAGCTAGGGTTAGGGTTGGGCTTGGAGCTAGGATTTTTCTGAGTGCAATGAACCAACTCCTGATTCTCTAGGACGTTCCTAAAAAAATTTGATTTTTTCCCATAGGAATGCATGGGTTAGGGTTAGGGTTAGGGTTGGAGCTAGGGTTAGGGTTAGGGTTGGAGTTAGGGTTAGTGTTGGAGCTAGGGTTAGGGTTGGGCTTGGAGCTAGGATTTTTCTGAGTGCAATGAACCAACTCCCGAGTCTCTAGGACGTTCCTAAAAAAATTAGATTTTTTCCCATAGGAATGCATGGGTTAGGGTTAGGGTTAGGGTTAGGGTTGGAGTTAGGGTTAGTGTTGGAGCTAGGGTTAGGGTTGGGCTTGGAGCTAGGATTTTTCTGAGTGCAATGAACCAACTCCCGAGTCTCTAGGACGTTCCTAAAAAAATTTGATTTTTTCCCATAGGAATGCATGGGTTAGGGTTAGGGTTAGGGTTAGGGTTGGAGTTAGGGTTAGTGTTGGAGCTAGGGTTAGGGTTGGGCTTGGAGCTAGGATTTTTCTGAGTGCAATGAACCAACTCCCGAGTCTCTAGGACGTTCCTAAAAAAATTTGATTTTTTCCCATAGGAATGCATGGGTTAGGGTTAGGGTTAGGGTTAGGGTTGGAGCTAGGGTTAGGGTTAGGGTTAGGGTTAAGGTTTGAGCTAGGGTTAGGGTTAGGGTTAGGATTAGGGTGGAGCTAGGGTTAGGGTAAGGGTTAGAGCTAGGGTTAGGGTTGGGGCTAGGGTTAGGGTTAGGGTTAGGTTTAAGGTTGGAGCTAGGGTTAGGGTTAGGGTTAGGGTTGGAGCTAGGGTTAGGGTTAGGGTTAGGGTTGGAGTTAGGGTTAGGGTTAGGGTTAAGGTTGGAGCTAGGGTTACGGTTAGGATTAGGGTGGAGCTAGGGTTAGGGTTAGGGTTAAGGTTGGAGCTAGGGTTAGGGTTAGGGTTAGGATTAGGGTGGAGCTAGGGTTAGGGTTAGAGCTAGGGTTAGGGTTGGGGCTAGGGTAAGGGTTAGGGTTAAGGTTGGAGCTAGGGTTTGGGTTAGGGTTAGGGTTGGAGCTAGGGTTAGGGTTAGGGTTAGGGTTGGAGTTAGGGTTAGTGTTGGAGCTAGGGTTAGGGTTGGGCTTGGAGCTAGGATTTTTCTGAGTGCAATGAACCAACTCCCCAGTCTCTAGGACGTTCCTAAAAAAATTGATTTTTTCCCATAGGAATGCATGGGTTAGGGTTAGGGTTAGGGTTGGAGCTAGGGTTAGGGTTAGGGTTAGGGTTGGAGTTAGGGTTAGTGTTGGAGCTAGGGTTAGGGTTGGGCTTGGAGCTAGGATTTTTCTGAGTGCAATGAACCAACTCCCGAGTCTCTAGGACGTTCCTAAAAAAATTTGATTTTTACCCATAGGAATGCATGGGTTAGGGTTAGGGTTAGGGTTGGAGCTAGGGTTAGGGTTAGGGTTAGGGTTGGAGTTAGGGTTAGTGTTGGAGCTAGGGTTAGGGTTGGGCTTGGAGCTAGGATTTTTCTGAGTGCAATGAACCAACTCCCGAGTCTCTAGGACGTTCCTGAAAAAAATAGATTTTTTCCCATAGGAATGCATGGGTTAGGGTTAGGGTTAGGGTTGGAGCTAGGGTTAGGGTTAGGGTTAGGGTTGGAGTTAGGGTTAGGGTTAGGGTTAAGGTTGGAGCTAGGGTTACGGTTAGGATTAGGGTGGAGCTAGGGTTAGGGTTAGGGTTAAGGTTGGAGCTAGGGTTAGGGTTAGGGTTAGGATTAGGGTGGAGCTAGGGTTAGGGTTAGAGCTAGGGTTAGGGTTGGGGCTAGGGTTAGGGTTAGGGTTAAGGTTGGAGCTAGGGTTTGGGTTAGGGTTAGGGTTGGAGCTAGGGTTAGGGTTAGGGTTAGGGTTGGAGTTAGGGTTAGTGTTGGAGCTAGGGTTAGGGTTGGGCTTGGAGCTAGGATTTTTCTGAGTGCAATGAACCAACTCCCGAGTCTCTAGGACGTTCCTAAAAAAAATGATTTTTTCCCATAGGAATGCATGGGTTAGGGTTAGGGTTAGGGTTGGAGCTAGGGTTAGGGTTAGGGTTAGGGTTGGTGTTAGGGTTAGTGTTGGAGCTAGGGTTAGGGTTGGGCTTGGAGCTAGGATTTTTCTGAGTGCAATGAACCAACTCCCGAGTCTCTAGGACGTTCCTAAAAAAATTTGATTTTTACCCATAGGAATGCATGGGTTAGGGTTAGGGTTAGGGTTAGGGTTAGGTTTAGGGTTGGAGTTAGGGTTAGGGTTAGGGTTAAGGTTGGAGCTAGGGTTAGGGTTAGGGTTAGGATTAGGGTGGAGCTAGGGTTAGGGTTAGGGTTAGAGCTAGGGTTAGGGTCTGGGCTAGGGTTAGGGTTAGGGTTAGGTTTAAGGTTGGAGCTAGGGTTAGGGTTAGGGTTAGGGTTGGAGCTAGGGTTAGGGTTAGGGTTAAGGTTGGAGCTAGGGTTACGGTTAGGGTTAGGGTTAGTATTAGGGTGGAGCTAGGATTAGGGTTAGGGTTAAGGTTGGAGCTAGGGTTAGGGTTAGGGTTAGGATTAGGGTGGAGCTAGGGTTAGGGTTAGGGTTAGAGCTAGGGTTAGGGTTGGGGCTAGGGTAAGGGTTAGGGTTAAGGTTGGAGCAAGGGTTTGGGTTAGGGTTAGGGTTGGAGCTAGAGTTAGGGTTAGGGTTAGGGTTGGAGTTAGGGTTAGTGTTGGAGCTAGGGTTAGGGTTGGGCTTGGAGCTAGGATTTTTCTGAGTGCAATGAACCAACTCCCGAGTCTCTAGGACATTCCTAAAAAAAATTGATTTTTTCCCATAGGAATGCATGGGTTAGGGTTATGGTTAGGGTTAGGGTTGGAGCTAGGGTTAGGGTTAGGGTTAGGGTTGGAGTTAGGGTTAGTGTTGGAGCTAGGGTTAGGGTTGGGCTTGGAGCTAGGATTTTTCTGAGTGCAATGAACCAACTCCCGAGTCTCTAGGACGTTCCTAAAAAATTTTGATTTTTTCCCATAGGAATGCATGGGTTAGGGTTAGGGTTAGGGTTGGAGCTAGGGTTAGGGTTAGGGTTAGGGTTAGGGTTGGAGTTAGGGTAAGTGTTGGAGCTAGGGTTAGGGTTGGGCTTGGAGCTAGGATTTTTCTGAGTGCACTGAACCAACTCCCGAGTCTCTAGGACATTCCTAAAAAAATTTGATTTTTTCCCATAGGAATGCATGGGTTAGGGTTAGGGTTAGGGTTGGAGCTAGGGTTAGGGTTAGGGTTAGGGTTGGAGTTAGGGTTAGTGTTGGAGCTAGGGTTAGGGTTGGGCTTGGAGCTAGGATTTTTCTGAGTGCAATGAACCAACTCCCGAGTCTCTAGGACATTCCTAAAAAAATTTGATTTTTTCCCATAGGAATGCATGGGTTAGGGTTATGGTTAGGGTTAGGGTTGGAGGTAGGGTTAGGGTTAGGGTTAGGGTTGGAGTTAGGGTTAGTGTTGGAGCTAGGGTTAGGGTTGGGCTTGGAGCTAGGATTTTTCTGAGTGCAATGAACCAACTCCCGAGTCTCTAGGACGTTCCTAAAAAAATTTGATTTTTTCCCATAGGAATGCATGGGTTAGGGTTAGGGTTAGGGTTGGAGCTAGGGTTAGGGTTAGGGTTAGGGTCGGAGTTAGGGTTAGTGTTGGAGCTAGGGTTAGGGTTGGGCTTGGAGCTAGGATTTTTCTGAGTGCAATGAACCAACTCCTGAGTCTCTAGGACATTCCTAAAAAAATTTGATTTTTTCCCATAGGAATGCATGGGTTAGGGTTAGGGTTAGGGTTGGAGCTAGGGTTAGGGTTAGGGTTAGGGTTGGAGTTAGGGTTAGGGTTGGGCTTGGAGCTAGGATTTTTCTGAGTGCACTGAACCAACTCCCGAGTCTCTAGGACATTCCTAAAAAAATTTGATTTTTTCCCATAGGAATGCATGGGTTAGGGTTATGGTTAGGGTTAGGGTTGGAGCTAGGGTTAGGGTTAGGGTTAGGGTTGGAGTCAGGGTTAGTGTTGGAGCTAGGGTTAGGGTTGGGCTTGGAGCTAGGATTTTTCTGAGTGCAATGAACCAACTCCCGAGTCTCTAGGACGTTCCTAAAAAAATTTGATTTTTTCCCATAGGAATGCATGGGTTAGGGTTAGGGTTAGGGTTGGAGCTAGGGTTAGGGTTAGGGTTAGGGTTGGAGTTAGGGTTAGTGTTGGAGCTAGGGTTAGGGTTGGGCTTGGAGCTAGGATTTTTCTGAGTGCAATGAACCAACTCCCGATCCTCTAGGACGTTCCTAAAAAATTTTGATTTTTTCCCATAGGAATGCATGGGTTAGGGTTAGGGTTAGGGTTGGAGCTAGGGTTAGGGTTAGGGTTAGGGTTAGGGTTGGAGTTAGGGTAAGTGTTGGAGCTAGGGTTAGGGTTGGGCTTGGAGCTAGGATTTTTCTGAGTGCACTAAACCAACTCCCGAGTCTCTAGGACATTCCTAAAAAAAATTGATTTTTTCCCATAGGAATGCATGGGTTAGGGTTAGGGTTAGGGTTGGAGCTAGGGTTAGGGTTAGGGTTAGGGTTGGAGTTAGGGTTAGTGTTGGAGCTAGGGTTAGGGTTGGGCTTGGAGCTAGGATTTTTCTGAGTGCACTGAACCAACTCCCGAGTCTCTAGGACATTCCTAAAAAAATTTGATTTTTTCCCATAGGAATGCATGGGTTAGGGTTATGGTTAGGGTTAGGGTTGGAGCTAGGGTTAGGGTTAGGGTTAGGGTTGGAGTTAGGGTTAGTGTTGGAGCTAGAGTTAGGGTTGGGCTTGGAGCTAGGATTTTTCTGAGTGCAATGAACCAACTCCCGAGTCTCTAGGACGTTCCTAAAAAAATTTGATTTTTTTCCCATAGGAATGCATGGGTTAGGGTTAGGGTTAGGGTTGGAGCTAGGGTTAGGGTTAGGGTTAGGGTTGGAGTTAGGGTTAGTGTTGGAGCTAGGGTTAGGGTTGGGCTTGGAGCTAGGATTTTTCTGAGTGCAATGAACCAACTCCTGAGTCTCTAGCACATTCCTAAAAAAATTTGATTTTTTCCCATAGGAATGCATGGGTTAGGGTTAGGGTTAGGGTTGGAGCTAGGGTTAGGGTTAGGGTTAGGGTTGGAGTTAGGGTTAGTGTTGGAGCTAGGGTTAGGGTTGGGCTTGGAGCTAGGATTTTTCTGAGTGCAATGAACCAACCCCCGAGTCTCTAGGACGTTCCTAAAAAAAATTGATTTTTTCCCATAGGAATGCATGGGTTAGGGTTAGGGTTAGGGTTAGGGTTGGAGCTAGGGTTAGGGTAAGGGTTAGGGTTGGAGTTAGGGTTAGTGTTGGAGCTAGGGTTAGGGTTGGGCTTGGAGCTAGGATTTTTCTGAGTGCAATGAACCAACTCCCGAGTCTCTAGGACGTTCCTAAAAAAATTTGATTTTTTCCCATAGGAATGCATGGGTTAGGGTTAGGGTTAGGGTTGGAGCTAGGGTTAGGGTTAGGGTTAGGGTTGGAGTTAGGGTTAGTGTTGGAGCTAGGGTTAGGGTTGGGCTTGGAGCTAGGATTTTTCTGAGTGCAATGAACCAACTCCCGAGTCTCTAGGACGTTCGTAAAAAAAATTGATTTTTTCCCATAGGAATGCATGGGTTAGGGTTAGGGTTAGGGTTGGAGCTAGGGTTAGGGTTAGGGTTAGGGTTGGAGTTAGGGTTAGTGTTGGAGCTAGGGTTAGGGTTGGGCTTGGAGCTAGGATTTTTCTGAGTGCACTGAACCAACTCCCGAGTCTCTAGGACATTCCTAAAAAAATTTGATTTTTTCCCATAGGAATGCATGGGTTAGGGTTAGGGTTAGGGTTGGAGCTAGGGTTAGGGTTAGGGTTAGGGTTGGAGTTAGGGTTAGTGTTGGAGCTAGGGTTAGGGTTGGGCTTGGAGCTAGGACTTTTCTGAGTGCAATGAACCAACTCCCGAGTCTCTAGGATGTTCCCTAAAAAAATTTGATTTTTTCCCATAGGAATGCATGGGTTAGGGTTAGGGTTGGAGCTAGGGTTAGGGTTAGGGTTAGGGTTGGAGTTAGGGTTAGTGTTGGAGCTAGGGTTAGGGTTGGGCTTGGAGCTAGGATTTTTCTGAGTGCACTGAACCAACTCCCGAGTCTCTAGGACATTCCTAAAAAAATTTGATTTTTTCCCATAGGAATGCATGGGTTAGGGTTAGGGTTAGGGTTGGAGCTAGGGATAGGGTTGGGGTTAGGGTTGGAGTTAGGGTTAGTATTGGAGCTAGGGTTAGGGTTGGGCTTGGAGCTAGGATTTTTCTGAGTGCAATGAACCAACTCCCGAGTCTCTAGGACGTTCCTAAAAAAATTTGATTTTTTCCCATAGGAATGCATGGGTTAGGGTTATGGTTAGGGTTAGGGTTGGAGCTAGGGTTAGGGTTAGGGTTAGGGTTGGAGTTAGGGTTAGTGTTGGAGCTAGGGTTAGGGTTGGGCTTGAAGCTAGGATTTTTCTGAGTGCAATGAACCAACCCCCGAGTCTCTAGGACGTTCCTAAAAAAATTTGATTTTTTCCCATAGGAATGCATGGGTTAGGTTTATGGTTAGGGTTAGGGTTGGAGCTAGGGTTAGGGTTAGGGTTAGGGTTGGAGTTAGGGTTAGTGTTGGAGCTAGGGTTAGGGTTGGGCTTGGAGCTAGGATTTTTCTGAGTGCAATGAACCAACTCCCGAGTCTCTAGGACGTTCCTAAAAAAATTTGATTTTTTCCCATAGGAATGCATGGGTTAGGGTTAGGGTTAGGGTTGGAGCTAGGGTTAGGGTTAGGGTTAGGGTTGGAGTTAGGGTTAGTGTTGGAGCTAGGGTTAGGGTTGGGCTTGGAGCTAGGATTTTTCTGAGTGCAATGAACCAACTCCCGAGTCTCTAGGACGTTCGTAAAAAAATTTGATTTTTTCCCATAGGAATGCATGGGTTAGGGTTAGGGTTAGGGTTGGAGCTAGGGTTAGGGTTAGGGTTAGGGTTGGAGTTAGGGTTAGTTTTGGAGCTAAGGTTAGGGTTGGGCTTAGAGCTAGGATTTTTCTGAGTGCACTGAACCAACTCCCGAGTCTCTAGGACGTTCCTAAAAAAAATTTGATTTTTTTCCCATAGGAATGCATGGGTTAGGGTTAGGGTTAGGGTTGGAGCTAGGGTTAGGGTTAGGGTTAGGGTTGGAGTTAGGGTTAGTGTTGGAGCTAGGGTTAGGGTTGGGCTTGGAGCTAGGACTTTTCTGAGTGCAATGAACCAACTCCCGAGTCTCTAGGATGTTCCCTTAAAAAATTTGATTTTTTCCCATAGGAATGCATGGGTTAGGGTTAGGGTTAGGGTTGGAGCTAGGGTTAGGGTTAGGGTTAGGGTTGGAGTTAGGGTTAGTGTTGGAGCTAGGGTTAGGGTTGGGCTTGGAGCTAGGATTTTTCTGAGTGCACTGAACCAACTCCCGAGTCTCTAGGACATTCCTAAAAAATTTGATTTTTTTCCCATAGGAATGCATGGGTTAAAGTTATGGTTAGGGTTAGGGTTGGAGCTAGGGTTAGGGTTAGGGTTAGGGTTGGAGTTAGGGTTAGTGTTGGAGCTAGGGTTAGGGTTGGGCTTGGAGCTAGGATTTTTCTGAGTGCACTGAACCAACTCCCGAGTCTCTAGGACATTCCTAAAAAAATTTGATTTTTTTCCCATAGGAATGCATGGGTTAGGGTTATGGTTAGGGTTAGGGTTGGAGCTAGGGTTAGGGTTAGGGTTAGGGTTGGAGTTAGGGTTAGTGTTGGAGCTAGGGTTAGGGTTGGGCTTGGAGCTAGGATTTTTCTGAGTGCAATGAACCAACTCCCGAGTCTCTAGGACGTTCCTAAAAAATTTTGATTTTTTCCCATAGGAATGCATGGGTTAGGGTTAGGGTTAGGGTTGGAGCTAGGGTTAGGGTTAGGGTTAGGGTTAGGGTTGGAGTTAGGGTAAGTGTTGGAGCTAGGGTTAGGGTTGGGCTTGGAGCTAGGATTTTTCTGAGTGCACTGAACCAACTCCCGAGTCTCTAGGACATTCCTAAAAAAATTTGATTTTTTCCCATAGGAATGCATGGGTTAGGGTTAGGGTTAGGGTTGGAGCTAGGGTTAGGGTTAGGGTTAGGGTTGGAGTTAGGGTTAGTGTTGGAGCTAGGGTTAGGGTTGGGCTTGGAGCTAGGATTTTTCTGAGTGCACTGAACCAACTCCCGAGTCTCTAGGACATTCCTAAAAAAATTTGATTTTTTCCCATAGGAATGCATGGGTTAGGGTTATGGTTAGGGTTAGGGTTGGAGCTAGGGTTAGGGTTAGGGTTAGGGTTAGGGTTGGAGTTAGGGTTAGTGTTGGAGCTAGGGTTAGGGTTGGGCTTGGAGCTAGGATTTTTCTGAGTGCAATGAACCAACTCCCGAGTCTCTAGGACGTTCCTAAAAAAATTTGATTTTTTCCCATAGGAATGCATGGGTTAGGGTTAGGGTTAGGGTTGGAGCTAGGGTTAGGGTTAGGGTTAGGGTTAGGGTTGGAGTTAGGGTAAGTGTTTGAGCTAGGGTTAGGGTTGGGCTTGGAGCTAGGATTTTTCTGAGTGCACTGAACCAACTCCCGAGTCTCTAGGACATTCCTAAAAAAATTTGATTTTTTCCCATAGGAATGCATGGGTTAGGGTTATGGTTAGGGTTAGGGTTGGAGCTAGGGTTAGGGTTAGGGTTAGGGTTGGAGTTAGGGTTAGTGTTGGAGCTAGGGTTAGGGTTGGGCTTGGAGCTAGGATTTTTCTGAGTGCACTGAACCAACTCCCGAGTCTCTAGGACATTCCTAAAAAAATTTGATTTTTTCCCATAGGAATGCATGGGTTAGGGTTAGGGTTAGGGTTGGAGCTAGGGTTAGGGTTAGGGTTAGGGTTGGAGTTAGGGTTAGTGTTGGAGCTAGGGTTAGGGTTGGGCTTGGAGCTAGGATTTTTCTGAGTGCACTGAACCAACTCCCGAGTCTCTAGGACATTCCTAAAAAAATTTGATTTTTTCCCATAGGAATGCATGGGTTAGGGTTATGGTTAGGGTTAGGGTTGGAGCTAGGGTTAGGGTTAGGGTTAGGGTTGGAGTTAGGGTTAGTGTTGGAGCTAGGGTTAGGGTTGGGCTTGGAGCTAGGATTTTTCTGAGTGCAATGAGTCAACTCCCGAGTCTCTAGGACGTTCCTAAAAAATTTTGATTTTTTCCCATAGGAATGCATGGGTTAGGGTTAGGGTTAGGGTTGGAACTAGGGTTAGGGTTAGGGTTAGGGTTAGGGTTAGGGTTGGAGTTAGGGTAAGTGTTTGAGCTAGGGTTAGGGTTGGGCTTGGAGCTAGGATTTTTCTGAGTGCACTGAACCAACTCCCGAGTCTCTAGGACATTCCTAAAAAAATTTGATTTTTTCCCATAGGAATGCATGGGTTAGGGTTATGGTTAGGGTTAGGGTTGGAGCTAGGGTTAGGGTTAGGGTTAGGGTTGGAGTTAGGGTTAGTGTTGGAGCTAGGGTTAGGGTTGGGCTTGGAGCTAGGATTTTTCTGAGTGCACTGAACCAACTCCCGAGTCTCTAGGACATTCCTAAAAAAATTTGATTTTTTCCCATAGGAATGCATGGGTTAGGGTTAGGGTTAGGGTTGGAGCTAGGGTTAGGGTTAGGGTTAGGGTTGGAGTTAGGGTTAGTGTTGGAGCTAGGGTTAGGGTTGGGCTTGGAGCTAGGATTTTTCTGAGTGCACTGAACCAACTCCCGAGTCTCTAGGACATTCCTAAAAAAATTTGATTTTTTTCCCATAGGAATGCATGGGTTAGGGTTATGGTTAGGGTTAGGGTTGGAGCTAGGGATAGGGTTAGGGTTAGGGTTGGAGTTAGGGTTAGTGTTGGAGCTAGGGTTAGGGTTGGGCTTGGAGCTAGGATTTTTCTGAGTGCAATGAACCAACTCCCGAGTCTCTAGGACGTTCCTAAAAAAATTTGATTTTTTCCCATAGGAATGCATGGGTTAGGGTTAGGGTTAGGGTTGGAGCTAGGGATAGGGTTAGGGTTAGGGTTGGAGTTAGGGTTAGTGTTGGAGCTAGGGTTAGGGTTGGGCTTGGAGCTAGGATTTTTCTGAGTGCAATGAACCAACTCCCGAGTCTCTAGGACGTTCCTAAAAAAATTTGATTTTTTCCCATAGGAATGCATGGGTTAGGGTTATGGTTAGGGTTAGGGTTGGAGCTAGGGTTAGGGTTAGGGTTAGGGTTGGAGTTAGGGTTAGTGTTGGAGCTAGGGTTAGGGTTGGGCTTGGAGCTAGGATTTTTCTGAGTGCAATGAACCAACCCCGAGTCTCTAGGACGTTCCTAAAAAAATTTGATTTTTTCCCATAGGAATGCATGGGTTAGGGTTATGGTTAGGGTTAGGGTTGGAGCTAGGGTTAGGGTTAGGGTTAGGGTTGGAGTTAGGGTTAGTGTTGGAGCTAGGGTTAGGGTTGGGCTTGGAGCTAGGATTTTTCTGAGTGCAATTAACCAACTCCCGAGTCTCTAGGACGTTCGTAAAAAAATTTAATTTTTTCCCATAGGAATGCATGGGTTAGGGTTAGGGTTAGGGTTGGAGCTAGGGTTAGGGTTAGGGTTAGGGTTGGAGTTAGGGTTAGTTTTGGAGCTAAGGTTAGGGTTGGGCTTGGAGCTAGGATTTTTCTGAGTGCACTGAACCAACTCCCGAGTCTCTAGGACATTCCTAAAAAATTTGATTTTTTCCCATAGGAATGCATGGGTTAAAGTTATGGTTAGGGTTAGGGTTGGAGCTAGGGTTAGGGTTAGGGTTAGGGTTGGAGTTAGGGTTAGTGTTGGAGCTAGGGTTAGGGTTGGGCTTGGAGCTAGGATTTTTCTGAGTGCAATGAACCAACTCCCGAGTCTCTAGGACATTCCTAAAAAAAATTTGATTTTTTCCCATAGGAATGCATGGGTTAGGGTTATGGTTAGGGTTAGGGTTGGAGCTAGGGTTAGGGTTAGGGTTAGGGTTGGAGTTAGGGTTAGTGTTGGAGCTAGGGTTAGGGTTGGGCTTGGAGCTAGGATTTTTCTGAGTGCACTGAACCAACTCCCGAGTCTCTAGGACATTCCTAAAAAAAATTGATTTTTTCCCATAGGAATGCATGGGTTAGGGTTAGGGTTAGGGTTGGAGCTAGGGTTAGGGTTAGGGTTAGGGTTGGAGTTAGGGTTAGTGTTGGAGCTAGGGTTAGGGTTGGGCTTGGAGCTAGGATTTTTCTGAGTGCAATGAACCAACTCCCGAGTCTCTAGGACATTCCTAAAAAAATTTGATTTTTTCCCATAGGAATGCATGGGTTAGGGTTAGGGTTAGGGTTGCAGCTAGGGTTAGGGTTAGGGTTAGGGTTGGAGTTAGGGTTAGTGTTGGAGCTAGGGTTAGGGTTGGGCTTGGAGCTAGGATTTTTCTGAGTGCACTGAACCAACTCCCGAGTCTCTAGGACATTCCTAAAAAAATTTGATTTTTTCCCATAGGAATGCATGGGGAAAAAAAATTGAAAAAAAGTGCCAACCCAATTTTTCACCTTCCAGAATTGTGTTAGGAGCACGTTTCAGGGCACGGCGAGTCTATAGAACCTAATTCTGGGGGAAGTTTTTTGAAAAGTTTACTTTGGGTTTGGGTTAGGGTTAGGGTTAAATGAACAAATTGTCTCTGAATCCTTGTGTTTTCATGAGTACACCCCATGGAGGTTGAATGACCAAGCCACTGTGTTTTACAAAGTAATTGATTTAGTGATCCTTTTTTCAGTGATTTCCTTTCATTTATACACACCCTAATGGACATTGTTCACGAGGTAAAGCTTGTCTCTAATAACAATTTTCCCTGCAAAGGTAGAAAAGAGCCACTCCCAGATTATATTCCACACTCCTCTTCACATGTGTGTTGCCTCTTTCCTCTCTTCACTAACATTTTGTTGACTCATCCAGGAGCCACGCTGTCCCAGCTGTCAGACAGCGGCCAGACTCTGAGTGAAGACAGCGGGGTGGATATAGCCGAGGCAGGGGGCCTCAGTAAGGACGGCAGCCCCCGACCCAGCAAGAACCAGCAGGGCCACCAAGAACAGCCAGGGGCCCAGGCACCTCCAGCAAGAGCCACCAGACAGGTGAGTAGTTCACTCTGTCATAAGTAACCACCTGAACTTTGCAGGTCTTGTCTAGATCAGGAAAAACATGTTGTAGAGCTGAAAAAAAAACTTAAATCTTGTTGGTTGTTGCCAACAGCAGACTGCCTCACCAGTCCCAGCAGCAACAGCTACCAGAGTGCGGGTAATGAAGAACGCCAGTACCTTAGGAATTGCTATAGAGGGTGGAGCCAACACACGACAACCTCTACCACGTATCGTCACTATCCAGGTAAAACAGAAGTGCTCTTGTGCTAAGATAACTGATGGGCAGGGAACAGTTTTTCAAAACAGTTAAGCTAATCGGGTCAAACTCTTTTAGGAAAGTTTGTCCGCAGCCCCATAAGCTTTGCTGGCGGAGGCGGGATTTATGACCTATACTGCAGCCTGTCACCAGAGGGTGCTGTTCTTGGAGTGGCTTCACCCAGCGAGGAGATAGACGGCGTCCATTTTATATACAGACTATGGTCATACCTCCCGTTTGTGTGGTATCAAACTTTTATGCAGGATACGATCTAAAAATTTCAAGCGTCTCAAAATCATGGCCCTTGCAGTAAGAAAAATGTCCATAATAAGGTGTTGGCAGGGTGGAGTCCAGCACGCACAGCTTAGTAAATGAACTAATTCCAATTTATAGTACTGCTGTAGTTATGTAGAGGGGGTGTTATGCAATGTTTTAAAACTCTACAGCTCCTTTGATACCTCTTTAATGCTTTACATGATTTCCAGATTTTAAAAAAAAGCCTCTTGTTCAGCCTCAATCTGAAATGGTCTGTTTTTGCTGCTTTCTATTTACACCCAAGTCTTGCGGGTGATTTGTCTTTCTGACTTCTACAAATTGGAAATTAAACAGAGCACTACATTTCTCCAAGTATTTTCAACAAGCTGGGGGTCAAAAGTTGATATTATCAGTTAATTACTGAAGGAGGTACAGGCTCAGTTACCCCGGCAGTCACACACACACACAGACACACACATAATTTGGTGTTGTGCACAGGACGTCCTTGATGGATTTTTGTGAATGTGCAGTGATTTCCATAACAATGGCGAGTCTCTCTGTTCTCTGTGGGTCTCAGGATTTCAGCATGACAGTGATTGTTAGTCTGAATGTTGATGACCCTCACAGTCATTACACAGCTCATCGAACACAACGTCCCCTACAATCAGTGTGACATTGTGACATGAAAACATGCATCTGTCCAATTATATTCCCATCGTTTTATGAGGTTTAAATCAAATGAGTCTCAGGTTTCTGTGTTCCCGATGACTGCACATGGACAGTGGCATCACTGTGAGTGCTAAAGAGACAGAACTGTTAGATCTGATTGAAGATTTAGCCTCTCTAAAAATGGCTGGGTTGACAGAGATGACAAAAGAGGTGGTGAAGAAGACATTTTAGTTGCTGTGCTTGAAGATCATCCAACTCTTGCTCACTCTTGGGGCATTATCCAAACCAACTTGTCAAGGTCTGACAAAGTTTGCTGCAGTTTGCTTTGTCTTGCAGTTTTTGAGAGGTTTGATTCTAATATCACAGATTTGCTGTGATGGATTAACAAAAGCTAATATGCTAGAAACGTCAGAAAATCTTCCAAATGTGTTGATTTCATCCAACGCTAATACAGATAAAACTGAGATGGTTCGCAGAATGGTTTAATTCATGCTAGTCTACAACTCTCATGGAACTACAGATGAGAAGGCACCGCACTGAGGATAGTTTGAGACCTGATCACCAAGTCCACATACAGAGGTGTTCTGGGACCCATTTGTCAAGATCTCTCTGGCAGTATTATAGTAATATATTTAGGCAACGATCATGTAGAGCAATAGGCCACACAGCTCTCCAACACAACTTGTTTGATTTTGAATATTTAATATTTTTTCCATATTTAGAGTCAAAGATGTAATCGAAATTGCTGTATCAGTGATGATACAGATGATCTATGGACATGATCAGATATAATGTAGATCTGTCTATGTTCGTTATGCCCTGTTATGCAATAAGTCTCACAATCAGTCTCAAGTAAAAACTTGACAAATGGAGTGAAGCCTCTTTATTCTCAAAGGCTACCATTGCTCCACTAATGGGAGAGGAAAGCATGGGCGCATTTAAGGTGAGAGTTTGGTGTCACTTTGTTGACCTTTTCTTCACATTGCTGCCAATGATTTTGTTGTAAGTTGTGAGTTTACAATTATGCAGAAATGAAATAATAAAGACAGAAATATCTGGAATCTGTTCCCTTTGGCAAGATCAGGCTACAAAGTTATTTAGTCATTTTTGTGACTCATAATGACCACGTCAGCACCTCCTGCACTTAGGGGACACAAACTATTTCTTATTTTCTTCAAAACATAAGGAGCTGGTTCTGTTTACAGTTTGGATTTGAGAAGCATCTTTTACATCAACAGGTTGTTGGGCGCTGACCAAATAATTGCCAGTATGTCGCTGCCAACAGGAAACAATGGCTGTGTGTGTAAGACTGAATTATGTTTGGCATCAAGTCTTGTTTCCATTTTCTGCAATGACAGCCTTGCAGATTCTTCTGACATCAAATCACAGATATTAAATTCAGTTTCACTGCTGACATGATTATTTTCTGTAGGAAAACATCAGCCCCGCCCATGAAGTTATCATTGAGACTAAGAAAATGTACTTTCTATCGTTATCTTCAGTGTCCAGTTGCAGTGTTTTGAAAAAAAAGTTTCCATTTCTAGCATTGACAATCTGACAGATTCTTCTGACACATATCACGTCTTAGTCATCAAATCACAGATATTTGATTCTGTGTCACAGCTGACAAATTGTCTTTTCATTTTATCCTCTTAAATGTGTCAAAAACCTTCACTCTTTTGCATAAATGATCAGAAAATAGCAGTGCTACCTGCTTGAAACTCTCTTATGTAGTTCAGATGTAAGAGAAGTGGGCTGATAACAATCACTGGAACCTTGCAGGGCACTGAAGGCCCCAAGCAGTGTCACACCACCACATCTGTGCACCACCTTCCCAGGACAGTGCCACCCTGTTGCACCCCCCCACCGCCTTCCAGTGTATTGCACTCCACATTAAGCAGTGACCTTTCTGATGGCTGGTACTTGTGACTGCCTTTGAATGTTGTGGGTCACTTATGGCCATAGAACCATTTCGGCAAACTGCAGTGGACTTTGTGTGCATAAAAACAATATTTGTGTTGATAAATGTACAGATGGGTATAGAAAGTTATGTCCGAATAGTTTAAGATGTGTGTCATTGGCAGATGTGAGTGTGTTGGAAGCGTGTGAAAAAACTGAATGCTCTTAGCTGGTCTAAAAGTAGAAATAACTTTGTGTGGTTATTGTATTTAGAGGGGTGTTGGAAGGAGGCCAGGGGAATCCAACCAGTGGGGGCGCTGTTGCCAAACTCAGCCTCCACGAACAAAGTTTTAAATTACATTTAGAGTAAACTATTGGTACTAGTTGCTGCAGTTTCAGCTTCCTAGCATGAAATCTTTAGGAGTTTATTTTTGAAGAAAAAAACAAAACTTAAAAAGTGGGAGAAAATGTCAATGGACGATTTCTAGTTGGGCGTGGCCAGTGGGTCCAACAGGCTTTTTTGTTCATCTTCGGGTCCTACATTAGCTTACCAAGTTTCTAACTGTAGGTAACAAACAGGGGCGTGGCTTAATTTTATGAAATGTTATAGGACAACCCTTGTGATCTGTGTACCAAATTTTAAGTGGCTGTACATTTCTAAAGCAATATCACAGAATGCTATTTTTGAGACATTTTATAGCGCCACCTAGGCGCAGTCAAACAAAACATGGTGCTGATTTTTTGCTGCTACGGCGCTGTGTCAGGTGTGTCCTGAAGCAATCTCAGCTGTATCACATTAATAAAGAAGGAGTTACAAGCAATGAACTAAGAAAAACATGTTCCCTTTTCCCCTTTACCACTAGGTGGCACTACGACAAATGGATGCAAGTTTGGTGTCAAACTGTCCGGGGCTGAAGTGATATTAAACAACTAAAATCTGGTGGAGCTGGGACCATGTACACCAGAGACATGGCCATATATACACTTGCGGAGACACACCCTACTTTGCAGTGTCACTATGGCGCCTAGCGTTTCAGCAGGGCTGTTGTCCGCTGCCCAGTGTCGGCTCAGGCCCCAATGATGACCTCAGCCCCCTCCTGCAGCAACTGCAGTGTAGCAGACTAAGTTAATACCTTGCTCATAGGCGCATTAGAGCTGGCAGTAGAAGCAACAGAGAGTATATCTGATTAATTACCCTCCTCACAGTTTCTTGGTCAGTCTGAAAAACAAGAATTCATTTAGCACTGCCAGTACAATCCACAGCGATGTTTTCAGCTGCTGCTCTGTAATTGAATGTCACAGCTAATAAACATGTTTAGCTCTGAGGGTTAAATTGAATCAGGTAATTTATTTCGTTTGTCCTGAGTGATGGCGGGATCAATGGATGGTGGATGAATTAACCTTGAGGGTTCTGTGAGACCGCCCAGTGGAAGATGAGGAAAGGTCATGTTACACAGCACACAAATTAACTCGGAAACTCAGACACACACACTCATAGACCAACTCTAATGACAAATGACTCATCTTATTGCTCGACTCAAGTCCCCACTGATGAATTTTTTGCTCTCACTATATTTACACCAAGTGTCATCGCTGCTATGATCCCTGCTTGTGGAGCTTTTCAGGAATGCTGCTGAATCTGTCTCAGTTCAAAATCCAAAATACCCTTCAGATCGTTTGGGCAGAAAAAGATACTTTACGTATGTTTATCATATTTTGCCTCCTAATCAGACCTTCTCAGCCCCGTCAGGCTTTAATAAAAATAATAATAATAATGCATCAGATTTTTTGGCGCCTTTTGTCAGTGACCTCAAAGCGCTTCACACCGGACACATCATTCATTCGCTCACACGGTCACACCCTTTAAACCTGATATTATAACAATAAGTCCATTGTGGCTCTTTCTATAAGAAATTATTGATTCATGGAGGTTTATTTTGATAAAACTGATATTAAAAATGGGAATTCATGATGATGCCAGAAGTGTAAGAAATGCTTATCTGGTAGAACCAAACTGCTGGTGAACATTTGGCACTTCAGGTCATTATTACATTTGGTGCATAAGAGACACTTTTAGTTACATCCTGTGCACCAGTGAAAAATGAGGTCTTTCACCTATAAGATGGCCCCATAACCTAGGCAAAGTTTTGTCAAGGAATAGTGTCATGACTTCTTGTGAAGCAACCCTCATAATCCATTACATATAATATCACACAATTGGAAATGAGCTCCTGTAATTGTGTGGTTACACACAGTTACATAGCAACTCAGACCAAGCTGGTGAAACCACTTTACAACACATTTTCTCTCACACTAGGTCGTAATCATGCGGTCAAAGAAACATCAGTATACTGTTGAGTAAATAAGCCTTGTGAGGCACTTTTTGTTCCCAGTTTTAGACTACAAGTAATCAGAGGAGAACGGGTGGTGTGGCTCGGGACGAAAACATGAGACACATGAATTTCATAATCACACACTCTGAAGCCTCTGGGTTTCTCTGTGACACTCCAGAGCTATTTCTGCTTCTTATGTTGTTGGTTTGTCTTCATTCTCTGCTTGTTAGCACACAGAAAGCCATGGCGACTGAAGCTGAGTGTATTATATAGGAGTTGGAGCTGACAAATGTCGAGCAGTAGTTGGAGTTATTGCAGAGAAGGGAAGAGAGGAGACCTTGAAGGAGATGTAGTGTATGGCTGCTGAATGAGTTTAATCAGAAGACAGGGGAATACTACGGCATTACTCAAAAACGTGCAGGAGATTACAGTGCTAACCAGCAGAGATATCACAGGTGTTGTGGTTCCAACATTTGATGAGTGGTAGCATTATTGAGGAGATGCATGTCAGGCTATATGCGTTAATTTCTGCATAGGTACAGGGTTATGTAAATGTGCCACATATGCAACAGCATAGATAGTGCTGCCATAAGGAAAGATTTGTTAATATTAAGTCTTCATCATGATTAGAAAATTTATATTTGAGCAGGAATGTGTCCAGAAGGAAGGCCTGGGGTAGCATGGGCCGACCATACCAAAATACTCAACAATGACTTACTGTGTCAGCTTTTGGCTGCCAGCAGCTTTTTACCTGTTAAATTAGGCTCATTTACTTTTGTTGGTACGCTGACTTTAGACTGTTGTCTGTGTACTGCAGACATCAGTGTCAAGGTTAATTGTGGAGACTTCCATCTCTTAATAAAACCTGCAGGGCAGCATTCAATGAGTAGACACAGGCATAGAACCAGGATTAGAGAAGAACTGAATGAGACAATATCCACCAACAAAAACTCACATGTTATAAAACTGTCTATATAACCTTCATTTCATTCATTGACAACACTCAGTCTACCGAAATTCTTCAACTACTAAAGTGACCATAGCAGTCATTTTGACTGCTCAGTTTTTATTTGCATATAGTTTAGACAATCAACAAAAAAACTGAAAATAAATCAATGGAATAGACAAAAACACATCAGTACACAAAATAAAAATTATAATGAATGAGATTTTTTAAGAACCTTCCTCAAAATACCAAGACACATCATTCCCTGAACTTGCTCATCCATCCTTCTTCCCCATCAAGGCTCTGAAGCAAGGCTAAGGCCCCCATACTTGTCGTCTTTCGTCAAGTTCTCAATTTTGAGTCTCTTGACTTTTGAGTAAAGTTATAGTTAGATTTTAGCTTCACAAAGCTTAAAGTACAAAACAAACAATAGGACAGGAGAAAGAGCGGGAAAATATAGCAAATAGCAAAATGTAACACCCTTCTTAAAAAGCATGCAGTCAATTTGACTGCTCTGGTAGTTCGAGGTAGTAATACTCAGATCTCTTTTGTGTCTTGAAAGTTTAATGATAAAACAATGTTAGAAAAAAATATACACACATTTAGGAAAAGTCAAGGTGAGACTGGTATATAGGTTTCATTTCAAAAAAGTCATGACATAAATTTTGAAAGCAGTCAAAATGACTGCCATGGTAGTTCGAGTGTTAAATTATTAGAGTATTGGCAATAAAAACTGCAAAATATAAACTTGTTTTTAGGTTTTAAGCCCCACATTTCCCTTGAAAATACAGAGGATGACTTCTTCTCCCTATATATATTATGTTATTTTTAAATGATTGTCTCTTTCTGTGTGTTTCTGTCAACAGAAAGGGGGTTCTGCTCATAACTGTGGCCAGATCAAAGTGGGTCAGGTGATCCTGGAGGTAAACGGCATTTCTCTGCGAGGTCGTGAGCATAAAGAAGCTGCCCGGATCATCGCTGAGGCCTTCAAGACCAAAGAGAAGGATCACATTGACTTCCTGGTGGTTGAACCTGGATTCTAGGAGGAGGACTTTGCACTTTAAGCAGCCGGGTTCAAAGAGACTCAGAAGAGAACTGTATGAACTTCACAAGGTGTTGTGTTATTATGATGGCCCTCGCTCTGACTGCAGGCAGAGAGTTTGTGGAAAATGTTATGGGTAATTGTTGATTGCACTCAACAGAGATTTGCACAATTTAAATCTAGAGAACAATATTATATTAATATCTGTCATGAATCAAACCTGGGTTTAACATTATTTTTATTTCTTTCACAGATCAGTTAATTTGCATCAGCTTCCAAACCCAGAATGTTAATGCATGTTTCACCAGGTACTGATTTCCACACAAAAATAGACTCTTTCAATAACAATCAATGAAGTCTGACTTTAAATCACTTGTAGTTTTGTATCACATAAAAGCCCTTAAAGGACCATCTATGTTAATTATGTCTAATTATTCATGCTTTTATTTGTATTTTTTCCCATGAGGATAAATAACATTGCACCATCAGTGTTAATTTTTTAAATGCGATTGTGAGCACAATTGTCATTAACCAACCTTTTATCAAATGGTAACAATGAGAAAGAGATGAAATTCATCATGGATTTAAGACTCTGATAAAGGCATGTAACTGGTTTAGCAAACAAGTTGAGATGAGACAAAACTTTTAGTGGTGAACAGTCACATGTTTAAAATTCAGTTTTGGGTCCCCTGCTGTGTTCCTAAACTTTCATTACGTATATGTTCATGATTGAATTAGGGAAGGAGTGCAGTGTCTTCATTTTGGCATTTATCAGCAAATAGAGTGCCATCGGTACAAATCCCCACCACCTCTATACATCACTTTCATTTACATTTAGGATTTTTCCCACTATAAATCAGAGACAAAGGCCGACTTTCATGAGTTAAAATCATCGAAGAATTAAAACGCAACTGAGAGCTCCGTTGGGCAGTGTTTGGGATTGTTGTAATAGTGCAAAACAGCTCTCTATGTTATCAACATACATGTGTCTCTGTTCATAATCTCTACCCTGTTACTTTTCTGATGAAAAACAAATTCGGTTAGTTATACAATAAAACTACTGATTACATCTCCTCTGTATAAAGTCTTTGGTTAAAACATTAGAGCCTAAATACGACAGAGTATTAGGGCCACATTAAAAAAAAAATTAAGACTTTGAGATTCATTTATGGGAATAAAGTTGTTGTAAAGTAATACATACGAAAATAAAGTTGTAATAGAGTAATCACTTACGAGAGTAAAGTCAGAATAAAGTCCTTAAATTCTAACCTGTTGTTTAAGATGACAGTTGTTGAAATGAGAGCCATGGAGCATTTTGTGAAAATGTACTTTAATATAGGTTTCTCAAACAAGATACTTTTGGCACATCAGCTCCACATTATCATAATTATCATATTGATTTTGTTATGACTTTATTCTCGTAAATTAATGACTTTAATCTTAAAGTCTTCTTTCTTCTTCTTTCTTTTTTTCTGAACATGGCCCTAATACTCCATCATAACTTAATCCCAATACTCAATGGACCTCTTGAAATAATTAACTTTTAAAAATAAATAATTTGGAGATATCATTTGACTAACGTTATGAGTTTACTGAGTATGAGGTGAATGAAGCATATTGTGATAAAAATCACAATATGTCCAGTCTGCCTCAAAAGAATAACATATTGAGAGGTCCTGTTCCATTTAAAGCTCCTATAAGCAGTTTTTAGCTGGTCTTGAATGCTGGTGCCCCTAAATAATCCAGGAAACCATTAGTGAGTAAAATGGATCATTTCTGTTGAGGTTTTTATGCCTGTAAGAGCTGACACAGGATAGATGTCAGATAAGACATGACCCAAAACAGCTTTTATTTACTTTTTACAAGACTTACAATGACTAATTCATCTGACTGTTAAAGCACATGAGCAAAGAGATCGGATGAACCACCTCATCAGGGGGCCAGTTTTGCATGTCTCACTTTAATCAGTCATTTTTTCAACATCTATATTTTTCAAATCAAGAAGCCTAGATGTACTTAAAAAAGCTATCACAAACACTAACAGTACGGTAGTTTGTATATATTGTAGATTGCTTATTGTCCCTATATGAGATGATTCTCTATAAATTTTTATATCACATAGTTTGAAGTAGACAAATATGTAATAGTTTCAGATTATAACACAGCTCACATCAGTCATATTTCAATTCACATCTTCTCCCAATAGCTTACAGTGCAGCATGTGCCCAGGATAAACAAAGACTGACAATAAATGAGCATTTCTATGTTCTGCAAAGACAATTGATTATAATAAAGCAATGGATCAGGGAGTTTCTAATGAACTGTCTGGGAAACACTGGTCAGACCAGGTCTCCTTTAGTTAACATAGTGCGCAAACGCCATCAAAGAAATGAATAGAAACTGAGACCATTGTTTGGGATGAAATACAAAAGAAAAGAAAAGCCAAACTAATAACTGAGTGTAGAGCCTCAAACAGTGTCCACGGTGCATCATTTGGACAAGTAGATTTTCAAAATATTAGATCACAAATAAAAAACATGTTTCAGAGTTATGATCTGCGATAGCAAGCGAGTAGTTGTATTAAATCCCTCAAAAGGCCAACTCTCCAAAGCCCTCAGGATCATTGGGGGTGGGAAACTTTGGTGGGAGGTTTTTGATGGTAATAAAATGGACTGAAATTTATATTGATGAGAATCAGGATCTGGGAACCCCAGCGGGTGGGTTCCACATGTTGGACAAGGAGCAGGGGGCGATCAATGTCCGGCTCCATGGACTAGAGGCAAGACTCCAGTCCCAAGGACAGGTGATAGAGGTTTATCACTAAGTTCCCCACAGTAGCTTTAATATGGCGTAAAATTATCAGGTGTTTGGCTAGGCTAAGACTCAGTATGTTTACATCAACAGTTCAGCCAAGTTGCAGTTGTCCATCAGCCAGTCTGAATTGGACTAAGATTTTCAGATAAAAAGCATGTCCTCCACCACTACAATGGGGGGAAACTCACTCCTCCTGAGCTCTGTGCTATTGGGCCATCTGACCTATTACATCACGTACCAAAACAATCAACAAAGAAGTGGGCAGAAGGCTAATGTTGTGTGTTGAACAGAAGAGATATGATGATATATGTACCTCTCCATAGGTATAACAGAAAACTTCATATTTGTCCTTTCTTTTTTTGAAGTTTTTGCTTACTTCCTGGCTTCCTGATGCATTTTCGATGTTCCACTACGCTGTTTGTTGGTTGGACTTGAACCAACTCAACTAAATGCAATTTCAGTTAGGACTCTATATTCACTTCTATTTTAGAGGTCCGGTTTCAGTTTATTTATTTTACATCATGTATGTTTTCAATGACTGACAGACTGAGCCTCTTTCCCAAGGTCTGACTCTAATTATTGCACTCATAATATTCAAGGCCATGCAACTTCATGATGTAAGAACAAAGTGAGCAAAATGAACACCAAAAAAATTTTCAAATTATCATCATGTGAAGATTAAATTGGCTTTCTGCAAATACCCTCTCAAAGATGAGGCCCCACTCCCCAGTTTGCGAAGATTGATATGATGCTAATGTTCGACACAGAAAACTCAGACTCCGGACTCAATCGACCTCGTTTGGTGTCTGATCTCCCTCCCTCCTTCATCGAAACAAAAGTAATATTCTGCAAATCCAGTCGTCCCAACAGAAGGGATCAAGGCCTGCGGGGATGTGGAGTGGTTATCATAGGCTGGGCCACTGTGCGGCCTTAATTATCTGCAGTGTTTTTCCATGATTCCTCATGATTTTAACTTTCACAATGTGTTTCTAATGTTACATCATTTCTGAATTGGACTTTATTTATTTATTTAGTCTTACATGTGTCATATAACACATTTTATATTTGTAACCATGGTCCTGAGTAAGACAGCAGAGATTAATCATTTAAATTAAGAAAGAAAAAACTATCAGAAATGTATTTTGAGCTGATTCTTTTGAAATGGTTATATTATATTTTTTTAACACAGTGACATAATCATAGTACAGTGAGGTAACAAGAGAGGTGTAGGAGTATGATGAAAAGATGTGTGAGTAATGCAACACTAAAGTGTCTGGATTTAAGGGTTGAGAATACTGTGCTGTTTAAAATTATGTAAACATGAGACAATGTTTTTTTGTTCCTATGAAGACAAACTGTGCAAATATTATATATCTGTACAGAAAAGGCACTTAGATTTATAGAGATGTGTATATAAATTAAACAGTCAGATAATAGAGAATTTTGTTAAACACAATCATGTAACCCCTCTGTGGCTGATATAACTGCTAACATCTCCTGTGTGTGTTTACCCTCTTGTGTCCTATCACAGCCAACTCACCACAGAAAACCCTGCAGATCCACCAACTTCTTCTTGTATTGGTTAAAGCCAACTTTTTTTTTTCTCCAACTGGCAAAATGAGAGAAATACTTCCACATATTCCCAAAGCAAAATTCCTAAAGACACAATAAAAGTCTGATACAATCAAAGCTAACATTTCATGTTGCATTTTTCAAGTAAAGAGATAGTTTTAGTACGAAGGAGTATCAGGACCATATTAAGAAAAGAAAAAAAAACAGGATTTTAAGATTGAAGTCGTTAACTTACGAGAATAAAGTCATAACTAACCAGAATAAAGTCATAATAAAGTAATTACTTTCGAGAATAAAGTCATGGCAATGTAATCATTTACGGGAATAAAGTCGTAATACAGTAATTATTTACAAGAATGAAGTCAGAATCAAGTCCTTATATTCTAACCCATTGTTAGGATGACAGTTGTTGAAATGAGAGCCATGCAAACAAGGAGATAATCTTTTGGCACATCAGCACCACATTATCATCAGTATCAGAATGATTTTATAATGAGTTTAATCTCGTAAGTAATTACTTCACTACAACTTTATTCTCATAGTTAAGTATTGATTTTATTAAGACTTTATTCTCGTAAGTAATTACTTCATTATGACTTTACTTTTGTTCGTTATGACTTTATTCTTCTAAATTAGCGACTTCAATCTCAAAGTCTAATTTTTTTTTCTTAATTTGGCTCTAATACTCCGTCCTAGTTTAGAAAAAAAGCTTTAAAGTATTTTATTTTCTTTTATTTATGTATTTTTTGCTTCATTTTGCTGCATTTTTGCTTAAAACACTTTCTACTTTTGCTACCAAATACACTTTTAAAAGTGTACTGTCTTTATATAATAGAAATGATAAAGGGGAGGAGGAGGCCCCATCTGGGCTTTAGGGTTTTCCCTTGAGCAGTCTTAAAAATATTAATCCTGCTTTGCTTGTTATCATTCACTATTAAATTACGTTGTTGAGATTGTCTTGGGCAATCTAACTCCATCTTCAGCAGATATTGGAGTGGTCCATCCTGCTAATGTCACACTTCAGCTGCTTGCCATGAGCCCTATTAGAATAATATGAATATGACTTCAGCTTTGTGAATGGGATGTAAAGCTAATCAGTACAGTTAGTCCCAAAATGAATTAACTTAATTCAGTTAAACAAGTTAATTTACTCCTGTAACTCATGGGAAATCAGTGATCTCTCTCAACAGCACTTAGGGGGTAACGTTTGTGTTTTTGCACCAGCTCTGCTTTTAACTGCAGCACACCGGCTGTGTTTTTTTTACAGCAGGGAGACAGCCTAATTTATATTGATTTGGCTTACATCCCTTCTTCCATTAGCAGCCTGCTGAGTTCACCAAATGATACAGAGCCCATAGGACTGAATCTGGAAGAGAATGCAGCAGAGACAAGACTTCGCTAAACCCAAATAGGAGCAGGATGGATAAGAGATTTCCAAATTAGTACTAGAAAGTTTAATGCTAATTTATAAACTGAAAGATTTGTACAACACCACAGAGTAATACCTTATGTCTGAAGACATTTTGTTACAGACTCTAGGATTTTACAAGTACTGCCAATATGGTCTGTATTAACAAGACAACTACGTTTCTGTTAGGTTACTGTCTTACTCCTGGAGGATATACAAAAGTTAACAAACAGGGTGAAAATAAAGCTCTTTGTCTCTCTGAGCTGATCAAGTCCATGAGGCAAGCATTTTGAGCAAAAACGGGACCTTGACAATCATTGAATCCTGGATTTCTCTTTGACCTGGACATATCTTTTAACCCCTACATTCCACAAATCTCTAGAACTGTCTTTTTTCGACTGCGGGTTACATCAAAAATCACACATATCTGGTCTCAGAATGACGCAGAAAAACTAGAGCATGCACTTGTCACCTCTAGGTTGAAGACTGTATATACTGTAGACATCTTGGCTCCGCCTTCCGTCATTATACCACCTCAGCTGACTCCTCTTAATGTGGAGGAGCAGCGGTTCTACTCTGAGCACCTCCTGAGTGTCCGAGCTCCTTACCCTACTTCTAAGGTTGAGCCCGGCCATCCTACGAAGAAAACCCATTTCGGCCGCTTGTATCCGCGATCTTGTTCTTTCAGTCATTACCCAGAGTTCATGGCCATAGGTGAGGGTCGGCACGTAGATCGACCAGTAAATCAAGAGTCTCGCCTTACGGCTCAGCTCTTTCTTCACCACGACTGATCGGTCGTGTTACTGTCCAAATAGTTTTGAGCCTAACTGTAAGTCTAACTTACCTCTTTAACAATTATCTGTGCACTGTGTGCATGATAAGTGTAGTTATTCTTCTATGTTTGTGATGCTAATCCTTTGCTGCTGTAACACTGCAAATGAATAAAGATTTATCTTATCTTATCTCAGCTTATTTTACGAGGCTGTGAATTTGATTTTCTATAAACAGGCTTACCCATATGATGTGTCAGAAAAACTGAAAATTATTCATTAGGTTTTAGTTTTCAGGGGAAATAATAATAACCACTGATAAATTGATTCCTAACTGCACAATGAAACAATCATCTTTGTCATTTTTTGACCCTTCCGACCAAAGATCTGCATTAGGCTCTTTTAAAATATAACAAAGGCAGTGGACTCTCTAGTAGAAGCTCAGTATCTTAATGGTACTCCCACTTCATTTGTTAATGCACTAGCGAGAACACACCTCAGAGAAGGGGGGGGGGGGGCATTGTCGGTACATACTTGACAGGGTGTTCTGGTTATATAAGCAAATGTTATTCCACTCTGTGTGAGGCAATCATGTGTTCATCCGTTCAGAGCTTTGTCTCTAGAATATAGTTTCCATAGCATTATGTGACACATATCCTTCTCTGCCTAAGGCCTTGAACGGATTGCACAATCCCCACACAACGCTTTGATTGCAGAGCGTTATTCCCATCAGACCTTTGCAGGGAAAAATGCAGCTTTATTTCTGTTTCGCTCACCATAATGATCCTTACAGGTAGAATACAGTGAAGATGTTATGCTGACTTCCTTGGTTTATTTGTTACACAAACGGCTATTTTCTTTTTTTTTGTTTAACCTCACTGTAAAGATCATACAGATTAAAACATCAGTGTAACGTACGTTAGAAGTGACTCAATACAGAGTCTCTGTGAGAGTCGAGTTTAAATGCTTTGAGGGTCTTAAAGTAAAAAAAAAATCTGATCTGCTCCACAATAAAAGCCTTTCATGTGTGTTTGGAAAAGGCTCCCTCAAGTGGCTTTATGAAGAATGACAGCTTTACGTCTGACCTTATAAAACTAAAGGGAGACACTGACTATGTTTTATTCATGTAAACAACTTAGGAACTCAAAAGGGGATCTGGGAACTGTTGCAACAACTCTAATTTCTCCAATCAAACCATTTAAAAGTTGTGAAATCGCAGATCACATTTTTGCACATATGCTAGGAACACCTCTTTCCCCCCTGGTGCTGCATTAATTTAGACAACTTTTAATGAAGGTATTGTTTATTTGATTGTCTCTGAACTGGTGCCATTCTGTCGATATTAATAAATTTTCAACCTAAAAGTTGTTAATTTTTTATTGATTTTAATTTCTAAGGGACTGAAGTGGTTGAAAACTGGGTCTGCAATAGAATAGGCAGAGTTTGAGTTCAGTTTTGTGCCTCACCCCTGTTAATCTACATGCTTGTGTGAAACACCACTTATGCCGGTGTATAGGACATTATATGGGTTAATTACTTGGTTTTCTTGCTAATCACCCAGCTCTGTTAAATGTTATATGTTATACCAAATCGATCTATAGAAAAAAGTTCTGGCACAGTTGAATTCAGCTCATTGACGAGGCAAAGATGATCATTTTTGGCCTGATTTAGACTGCCACTGAAGTCCTCTACCTATCATTTGTTAGCATTACTAAATCATTGTATTTAGTGCACAAAACAACAACAACAAAAGTGTTAGGCCAATATTATACGGTTTATCAGCCATCATCAAAATGTTGTACCTCAGTGGTTTCACAATAGTTAAATACTCTCATTTTGGCTGCAACATGTAACACTAAATAAAAACCACATGTAGGTTTCATTGAAGCCACTTTATTAGCACAACACACTTGCAGTGAGTATTGTTCATGTGGACGTAAAAGCACATACTTGTCTTTATACTGATATCTCTTCACACACAGTAATTCACTACTTATAGAGAATCACGATACAACAGAAACAGTGACATCATGATCAAACAGAGGTAAACTAGATTTCCAGGAGGAAAACAAACTTTAAAATACACTGCTGACGAATGAGACAAAGCACAAGAGACAACCCAATTACACTGTAAAATGTTCTGTTAAAAGGCTTGATCTAAAGCTATAAATACACAATTTTAGTGACTTTATGTTGGCATTTATTCCAGGGTCAGACACATCACTGTAAATCTGGTGATTTGGAGAGCATGGCATGGTAGCTACTGAATTTCAAGCACTCCATTAAAACTAGCATGTTCTGACAAAATAAAAAGTAAAAGTAGAGATAGTCATGTGAGGGAGTAAATACACTAGATATGAAAACAAAGATAAAGTGAAATCCACAAGTTTTACAATAAAAAACACACCTTTTTCTGGAGCTGTAACAGAGCTGGATGACACAGTCCCAGAATCTCATCCAGTTATCTCAACTAATTTACACACATTACTCCTCCAACACCATCAACATCTCACAACATACAGTAAACAATATCCAACAGAATGATCAACGTCTTCCTTTGAACTCTGATCAACACCAACACACAGATTTGTGATTTTAAGTCTGCTAATAGTTTAAAACAACTGAATCATATAAAACATGGAGTCTGTATTTAATGTGTTAAAATGGGGGCGGTAGAGAAGACGGGTGGGAATAGGGTGGCGGTAAATCTGCTCTTCTTTCTTCAAGTTCTTTAGGGCTACAGAAGGGGGGGCGTCCCATGATCCTGGAGGACAAAAGAAGACATGAGTTTATGAACTTGTATAAAATCACTTTAAGGAATGTCTTATTTTTTGCTAACAGTGTAAAGATTCACATATCTGAATCAGTCGTTGTTCTAGTAAGTGCTCTATGAACAAAACAGAATATCTTTTTTGTCATTGAGTAAGTATGGAGATGCAAACAAAAGCGCAGTAATTGGAAGTTACTATAAAAATTAAATAGTATAAATTCTAAAAAGACAGAAAAAAACACAAGCAAAAACATACCATACACTAAATACACTTGCTACATTTTCCTGCATATATTGCACAAAGAAAGTTGTTTTTATATAGCACAGTTCAGGTTTTGGCAGTACAAAGTATAGTTATGGCTCTGAGATAAAAAAAAAAAAACTGTTCCTCAGTGTATTTGTTCTTGTGTTCATTGCCCTCGCACGTCTGCCTGGAGGCTGCAGTTCAAACAGATAGTGTCTGGGGTGGGTGGGATTTTTTGAAACACCCTGAGCTTTGTTGAGACTTAACAGATCTTCCAGGGAGGATAGAGGGCAGTCTATGATCTGAGCAGTGATGACGACCCTCTGGAGCGCTTTCTTCTCTGCTGCAGTGCAGCTGGCAAACCAAACACTGATGAAATAAGTCGGTATGTTTTCTGTTAAGCATTTGTAGGGCACCAGCTGATTTGTATGCAGATGATTCTTTTTTTTTTTCAGAAAGACAGAAAATGGGGGATGTACTGTAGAGAGAGGGGATAACATGCAGTAAATGGTCGAGGCTGGGACTTGAACTCATGACCACTGCAGGGACTATAGTACCACCCTCTCTTTCTATATCCTCTCTCTCCTTCTTATTAATCTTACCTCTGTTCATCTCTCTCTTTCTGCATCCCCCTCTGTCCCCTCTCTAAACCCAATGCAGTAGTGAATGCAAAAGAAATAGTTTTTCTTGCCATTCCAACTTGCTGCAAAGTTTCAAACTATCCTACAGCCTTTACATTTTACAAGCATTTCCTATCTTCAAATCAATCAGATATTGTGATGTATTGCTATAATGATTGTTTGGCAACAAATCAACTATTGCAGTGTCACTGAATTGTAATATTATTGCATATTAGTATTGTATATTATATTGCACTGCATCATATCACATCGGATCGCATCATTCTGCACCAAATTGTTTATTTCAGGTTGTATCTTGTTGCATCATCTTGTTTTGAATCAGTTTTAGTGAAGTGTGTTGTACTGTTTAATACTGCATCATATAAAATCAAATCATATTGTATTGTGCTTATGGCATTGTATTATATCGTATTGTATCCGGTCAATGTGTAAAATCATATATCGTACAGTATCGTGTCGTGTCGTGTTGTGTCATGTCATGTCATATCGCATTGCATCATATCATATCATATCGTATCGTGTCGCTTTGGACAAACCACAGAGATTTTCAAAAATGTTATTGTGACCTGTCTATTTACCTTCAAACGTGTTTCACTCTGCAGGTGGCTCCTCTGTGCCTTCTGGTGGAGCATTAGGGTCCAGGAAGTCAGAGTGCTGGAGTTCCTTTAGATACTTGGGCGGAGTGAGAATGTGGGTGGAACCTACAGAGAACGGTAACCATAAAATAGTCAACTATTTATACTTTTCAGAAAGTATAAAACCATCTAAGTGCTGTTTAGTGTCTGTTAATAACTGACATCTTGATTAGAAAACTATTTCAAGTCAAGTAATGTACGTTTCATAATCCACTGCACCACCTAGAGAAATGACTTCAATCTTAACAAAACAACAATCATTTCAATGTAAATCTTGATAAATTCTTGTTTTTATTTTCAGACAAAATGAAGTCAAAGACGATACAAAGCAGAAACACAGTCTACCACAAATGTGCCCTTTTATTAAAGTTATTAAGAACACTCCCTTAATTCATCGGGCTTTTGAAACAGTCTGTAAAATAGAGAGTAAATATTTTTTTGTATTTCTGAGCAAATAACTCACCAATCAGTGCCTCCCATTTGCCGTTGGCCTGTGTGACTTCATACACGCAACGCATCTCGCTGTACGCCAACCCTCCGATGATGAAGACAATGATCCTGGGCCCTGTCTTTATCTCTGTGGGGCCTCGGTTCTTGTGCCAGTTACCATAGCGTGCACTGAGAAAAACACAGAGCAATAAAACAGATGCTAGACTTTGGATAATGTACTTGAAATAATGCCTACAAAGTTTTTTCTTGTGCTGCACTTGTCAAATTTATAACATAAATCTGTTTCCTGTAGGATGTTTTTTTCCTTGCTTACTCACCTGGATGGAGCACTGGCTTTGGCAGAAACTTGTCGCTGTGAGATGTAAGGGTACTGTTTAGGGTCAAGTTTGTCCTCAATGGCATCCTGAGGGAACACAAATAAATCATGTGGCATCAGAATCAGACAGTAGTTAAAGCTACTTTTCCTTAAAAACAAACAGCACTAAAGGTACCTCAATGAGATCCTTGACGAGAGGGGTCCATCTGGACAGCTGGTAGGTCTGCTCACTGATTCGTTCCTTACGATCAGGCTTTTTGGCTTTCTTGGTGGTGCCCTGTGAGAAAAGGAGAACAAATCGATTGCCAAAACTGTAGCTCACGCTTTAAAGTCTCCTAGAAAACCAAAACAGTTCACTGAAATTGCTGCACCCTGAGACCTGACATAAAAACAAGAGATAACTGATCATGTAATGCCACTGACACTTAATTCTAACTACCTGTATATGTCACAGTACACGCGACTCTGAGATGAAAAAACGAAGGGCATGATCCACATCCAGTGACACTTTACAGCATGAAAAATCCACCCATGATTAACTTTGAATTTCACAAATTAACAGCAAGAAATTGATCTTTGCATCAGGAAGTTAAAAAAAAATTACGTCTGTATTGGAAAGGAGGACACAGGCTAATTGATGTTTCACTCAGAAATGTTTACACCATAGACTGTATGAACTATGGACAACTTGGTTCCGCCTTCTGCCAATATACGGATTTGAAGCCAAAAAGCTCTCGGTTATTTTGCGATTTCTCCCCATTTCCTGAAACCAACATAGCGTAGTGGTGTTGGACACACTACAACACTTGCGCAGTAGCATTGTACGCATTCGGCGGGAGAGTCGCCAAGAGACGCTGTGATGACACTCGGCTCAAACAGCGTATACCCATAGGCTGTATCAAGTATCTATCATAGAAAATATGGACCCCTAATATCTTTTAAAAATGGAGCTGTACAGAAAAAAGAGGACTTGAGCACAAACCAGTCTTACAATAACTACATGTCAACATCACAAGCAGGGGGAGAAAAATGTATATTCTGTGTAATTAGTTTCTAAAGTTTGTCCACAGCTCCATAAGCTTTGCTGGTGGAGGCGGGTTTTATGACCTATACTGCAGCCCGTCACCAGAGGGTGCTGTTCTCGAGTGGCTTTACCCAGCGCGGAGGCAGACGCTGTCCATTCTATATACAGTCTATGGTTTACACCCTGTCAGTCAGCATACATGGTTTGGTAAACATGCTCCGCAATGAGACTCTGAGAATGTAGACAGGACGGCTCACCTCAGAGATAATGGGCACGCCCATGTGGGCCATGTTGGAGATGATGTCACTATCCTCAGGAGGGATGTTTGCATGCTGAAGAAGCTTACACAGGTTTTCCTCAGTCACACCTGACATACACACACAAGTGCACAAACACATGCAGCACAGATTTACACTTATGCAGCAGAGCATGCACTGTTAGGGCTGTGGTGCAATAAAAGCATGCAGACAGAAAAAAAACACGTAACATAAATAAACATCAGTACAGAATATGACACAGCACTGAGGCCACTCTTAAATTTATTAATCGCAGTGTTGATCTTTAAATATGAAAGTATGAAAGAGCGAGTGTCTGACCATTCTTCATGAAGATGTAGAGCAAGATGATGCGGATCTTGTCGGACACTGAAACGTTGGCATCAAGCAGGATGGGAACTATGAGCCTCATAGGATCTTTGATTTTTTCTCCTTCTGCATCCATGCCCATTGCCAAATCCTGAAACAACAGAGGACAGGAGGGAACAAAGCTTAACCCGAGACCTTCATATGGATGTTTGCAATTAAACAGAGTTCAAGGTTTCTACAAGAAATCTTAGATTTTTAAGGCGAGCCTGCAAAGGTGTAACTTTATCTACAACATTATAAAGTTTCCCATTCTTGGACAATCTCCATTCAACAAAATAACAGACACTTCTACTCCGCGTGTCATTTCCTGTCTTTGGTATGATAGTTATAATGCTTTCACACTGGGCATGAGCCAGACCATGGTTCAGTTTGGTCTGGACCGAGACCGACTCTTTTGGTCGGACCAAGGTCCAGATGTTTGGTCCAGACCAAAGTCCAGGGGAGGTTTCACACCTGTCATTTTGGTTTGGACAGAGCAGAGAAGTAAGACAGTCCTGTGATTTACCTGCTCTACACGACACAGTTTGTCCACAGTGCCCTGGTAGCGGTTCATACAGTCCTCAGCCAGGTGGAGGTGGGTGGAGTACTGAGGTATCAGAGAGGAAAGAACTGTAAATCAGCTGAAAATAGTTAAATTAGAAGGATGTTTATTGGGGTTTGTATGTCCGCTTTGAAACTTTTTAAAATCAAGTTAAACCTTAAGAGTTGTACCATTTCGAATTGTCATAATTTTTACTTTAACATGTTGAAATATTCTTTTCATGCATAAACTGATTCACGGCCTTATATTTAGTTCAACTATGTTTCCAAACCATATGCTCACATGCAAACATACTTTCACAAATAGACTGTGCAAAAAATAATATTGAGTTTTTCAAAAATGCTAACACCCCAAAGCAAAACCCTTTTATCCTTTGGCTATCCAAAGAACAGTAAAACTTCAGCCCTCACCTTGCTGAGCTCTTTCTGGTACTGAGGCATCTTCTTCAGCATCTGAGACAGCTCCTTCATTGTGGTCTGAAAAACACAGATTAGAGGTTTAATACGGTGATGAGTGACTGTTACCATCTCTAATATTAAGTCTGCATTGATAGTGAGTAAGTCCAATTATGTCCATTAGCATTAGTTAAAAATAACACTACTGCACTTTTGAATGACACATACTCTTTTTAAAGAACTCCCAGATGGTTTAGTTGACAAGTCAAAAGTAATATGCGCTTAGTGTCAAAGTTCAAAAGCCAGCATCTGTGATGGCATGGGGGTACATTAGTGCCCAAGGCATGGGTAACATACATATCTGTGAAGGCAACATTAATGCTGAAAGGTACATACAGGTTTTGGAGCAACAATAGCTGCCAGCTAAGCAACGTCTTTTTCATGGACGCCCCTGCTTATTTCAGCAAGACAATGCCAAGCCACATTCTGCACGTGTTACAACAGCGTGGCTTCGTATTAAAAGAGTGCAGATACTTCACTGGCCTGCCTGCAGTCCAGACCTGTCTCCCATTGAAAATGTGTGGTGCATTATGAAGCGTAAAATACAACAACGGAGACCCCGGACTGTTGAACAACTAAAGCTGTACATCAAACAAGAATGGGAAAGAATTCCACCTTCAAAGCTTCAACAATTAGTCTCCTCAGTTCACAAACGTTTATTGGGTGTTGTTGAAAGGAAAGGTGATGTAACACAGTGGTAAACATGCCCCTGTCCCAACTACTTTGGCACGTGTTGCAGCCATGAAATTCTAAATTAATTATTGTTTGCAAAAGAAAAATAGATTTTATAAGTTTGTATTCTTGTGCTCTGAGTGACTGAGTGAAGTGCTGCAGGGAGCAGAAACAGAGTAACAAATGCTGAAAACCAGAGGAGATACTGTGTTCTCTACCTTTTCTCCTGTGTTCATCTTTTTGCTGGCGGAAAATTCTTTCAAAGAACGAGTCACAGCCCTGAGCAGAAAAAGACAAAAACAGAAAAAACCTAAGAAAGTTAGGAGCAAAAGATTAAACTGAGGCATTATCTGAATGTGACAGCTTTGTGTCAGAGGTTTGTGAAGAAGGAAGGTGTTTCTGTGATTATTTGTCCATACTATAGGTGTGTATGTGTGAGTAAAATGTCAAAGCCACTCACGTTGATACCTCTGCGATGTGTTTGTGTCTAAGAGTCAGCCACAGGTCATCATCCTCATCCAGCACCACCTCCTTCGTCCTCGTCTCGCCCATCCCGCTAGTCTCAAAGCTGACAGAGTGAAAATCAGAGTGACAAAAGGTTATACACAAATTTTTTCATGCTGTGGAGTTTAGTATTTGCTCATTCCTCGCATTTAGATTTATCTTTAATTTGTTGTTTTCCTGTCAGACTCATGCCTCAAAGTATTTTTGAAGCAGTTTTTAAACTCAGTGAAAGTTTTGGACTGAGGGAAAGAAATTCAGCTTTTTCAGGGGCATCTTTACCTGTAGACGTCATTCTCGATGCCCAGCAGGTCGTACGCCATGGCCTGCAGCGTGAGCTCATGCAGGACAGGTGAAACACAGTCAAAACCCCGATCCAAGATGATCAGTTGAGAACGGGACTTGTCTGGACCCTGGAGACACCAGAAAAGACACGAAAATCTGCACATTTCAGAATTTTCTTAAGACGTTTTTCATTAAGGCTCCTGGGGCAGAGTAATCTAGTGTTTGATGATTTATTCCCAGAAATTTAGTCATTTATTATCCTGCTTCATACCTCTCCCATGGTGGGGTCATCTGCTTTGTATCCATCCAGCTTCTCCTGAACCATCTGAGCCAGAACAGCACAGTCTTTGTATTCTCTGAAACACAAACACACAAACCGATAGAAAAACGCTTTGAAACCAAGCTGATAAAACACCTATTTTTTAAAGATATATTTATGGTACAACTACCAGGGAAGGACCGGAGGATGTAAGGACAAAAGGACAGAAGGACAGAAGAACGGAAGGATGTATGGATGGGTGCTACAGGTGCAATTTTTGATGACATCTTGATGTATAATCAAAAATGATCATGGGCATTGAACACTGAATGATCAAAAACTACAATACCTATTGAAACGTAGATTAATACAGCAATAGACAAGACTTGTGTCTACATTTTAAAGTTTAAATGGAGCTTCGAAGTGAAAGTATAACAGAATAATTGTTCTTTTTTTCACTTTTCCCATTGACTTCAATGCAAGTTTTTCCATGGTTTCTCTGAACCTATACAAAAATTTGTATACATTAGAAAAAAGTAAGCTCACACCAATCCCAATCAAACCACACATTTTGATGTATGATTTGTCGTACAACTCTTCCAGCTGTGGGACTAGTAACAAATTGAAATTTGTCCAAAAAATAGGAAAAAGAAAAAACCCACAGTCTAACAATAGTGCCTTGGTGCGTTTGCCCCTAATAATAACGGCACACATAAATCCTTTTCGAACTCGGTAGGAAGCAATGTCCAATATATAGAGAAATAAACAGATCTACATGTAATTTGCATTTAGATTCAGGTGCTTAAAATGAATTTTGGATATCTTGGCTAGTTATGGATGCAAAGGTATACATATAGAGTTAAATTCATCATCTCTTCTTTGTGGACGCAGTTATGTTTAAGTGACAGTTCTTGTTATTTCTGACCCTGTGATGCCTTAAATTACTGCCAAATAAGACTTCTTTGAAACTTGATTAAGATGCTACAACATAAACAGAGGTATATCCAAGTCAATTATTGAAATGAGTAATTGTAATCAGTCTCACCCTCTGTATCTGACTCCAGGATACTCTTTGAGAGTAGCAAGGAGTGTGCAGATCTGCTCAGCACAACGCTCCAGCATGTTGTTTTTCACATCAGCCTTATACGGGCTGTAGAAGTCCTGAAAGGCATCCACTTTGTCCAGGGAAAAGACCTGCAAACACAGAAAAAAAGGGACAAGGTTTACAACCAATCGTGGATGGATGAGATCTTCAAGCCGTGAGGCAGCACTGCATTAAAACGGACATGAGTCTGTAGTGTAAGTCACTTATGATAAAACAGGGGGCAAAATCAATTTCAACACTTGATATGCTGCCTCTGCACAATTTTTGATTAAATATAGACTTCAATTATTTGAAAACCCTTGAATGGTTTGGTGATATTTGACAATGTCCCACTGTTGGAGTTGTAAAAGGGAAAATGAAAATATTGTTTTCCATAAACTTTTATGTTGAAGGGGCAATACAAATGCTCTCAGAAACCTTAAACTAGTAAAACCCCCTCTCACACACGTGCACATCTACCCATCTGTTCCAGACTCTATCACATGATAACATCCTGTGCTTTTCCTTGTTACACATTATATTCATGCTCTCATTGGTGGCAGAGGATGATGCTGATGCTATCAGCCAATCAGGTAAAAGGGTGAGTGGAGGACGAGGGGAGTGCTGGAGGCGGGGTGTGCCCCTCCCACCGAGGATTAAAACTTGAGGGCAGCAGAGGATTGATGGCTGAAGGCTGACCCAGCACAAATCACAACTGCTTCTCTCAGCTCTCTGTAGAGGTAAAGCGGGGGTTCAATATCATCTTAGGAGAGTTTGTTGCACGCAGCTTGGGCTTTTTCACCTCTATGTGAGAATTAAGCTATTATTTACAACAGAATAAAGTTGTTTTGAAATATATCTGGCAATAATGGGTTAGGGTTAGGGTTTAATACTTGTTAACGTCCAACCCAAGTCAATGGCTGAAATTCAATGTGATGTTTTGCACGATACTGTTGCTAGGATACATATTCAACATCCCAAGGAATTAATAATAACATTGTGGGCTCTATTTTCGTTCGCGCCGGTGAGGCGGCGGAGGGCGGCGAGCCCCGCGCAGTTGTATTTTCGTCTGGCGGAGCCCAGCGTAAGGCCAATTTGGTATTTTCGTGGCATGAGCCGCACGGAGGCGAGCCGAGATCCGCCAAGCTGGGCGTGGTGGCGTGGCAGGGGGAGGTGTCGACAGAATCAGCAGGCGCAGTGACATTTTCGTGCTCGCCACCGGCGTGTAAAGTGCGCTGAAAGCTCGCCGATTCAAACCTGGTCAGCTTTCAGCGCAAGGCGGAACGCAGCTGGTCTAGTAGTATTTTGGTAGACCGGCGGCGTATCGACATACGTCACTGATGCCTCACCGGCAGGTTTCCACGGTGTCAGGCACATTTCAGTGCAATAAATAATCATCATCAACTATTAATCTGAGTCAGCACATACATTTGGATCTATATAGATATATTCTGATCTATATCTGATCTGATCTGATGAGCGCGTTTGGCACGCGTTTGGACACACAACCTGACCGAATCAACACAGCTGAAACCGCATCAAATTAAATTAAATATCTAGTAAATATTCACACATGATGAAGTTAACTCGATATGTAATTCGTCTCCCTCCTTTTCTTTCTTCCTCTTCCTCTTATTTCTCGCACAGCTCGACCTGGACACGTCTCCGTGCCCTCTGTCCGTCTTGCTGCTGCTGCAGCTGAACAGATGATTTGTTTCAGTGCTCAGATGCGTGATCTACTTTAAGCCGACATACGGATATTATAATATTCAGTTTTGTGGGCCAAATTTATTTTATATGCCAACATCTATGAAAGAAAGAGCCAGGCCACGGAGCGCGATGCGTCATTTACGCACAGATGGTTCCGATTTTTATGCCATTTTTGGAGATTATGTTGTGATCTGTGCGCTCAACCGACCTTTGTCACGTGAGGTTTGAATATGAGCAACTTTATGTGAGTGTCTTTATTTGTGGAAAAGGGTGTTTGTCTTACCACTGGGTCCAACATTACGCACACTAAATCCATCTGTGCTCATATGAGAGAGTGTGGAGGACACTTGTTGAGGAGCTGCCCTCTGTCGCCATCTTGTGGCATTACTGTCTTAAGACATCTCTTGATCTCTTTGACTACTTCATGAAAATAGTAATACGCCTCGCCTGTGGCGGATTTAAAGGCAAGGAGAGGAGCCTATGTGATTGGTGAAAACAGGTCTCGGCTGTGTTAAACCCACTAACCGCCCTTTCTCCTCCCCGTCTACGACTTATGGTGCTGGGAGGAGCTGAGTTAGGGAGGGGGGATACTTACGCCGGGCTGCGCGGCTCACCAAAATACCAAAATGTGCTTGGGAACGCCTTGTCAGCGCAGCGGATCTGACTGACGCTGCACTTGCGGCAGGTCTCCGGCGAGGCACCAAAATAGAGCCCTAGGAGACTTCAACTAGGGCTAATCAATAAACCGAAAATTTACCGATCCTGAAATTTACGACAGTAACCAACATAACCAACATCATTTTGCCCATGTCGATATATTCGGTGTCAAAAAAATAAACAAAGAAAAGTTGGTTTTGGATGTTGGTAAGTAGGCTATGGTCTCATGTCCCTTTAAGACGCTGTCCTACGTCAGAGTCATGACTCCACCCCATCCAGTCCGTAACAGAAAGAGAAAGACAGATGAGGAGATGGAGGACAGTTCAAAAGTTGTAGCAGCTGTAGCAGTGGCTGAAGTAGACAAAGTTAATGCTGGAGGGGGTGAGCAGTTTGTGGAGTAGTTATCATCCATTTATCGTTATTGGGGTTGAACTGCTCAATATATCGTGATATTGATTTAAGGCCATATCGCCCAGCCCTAACTTCAACCATGTCGAACATATTCTTGCATTCACAGAGAACTGGCAGTGGAAAAATACCTAGCCTGATGTCCTCAGCACCCTTAACGTTCTGAATTTAGCACTGCACGGAAAAGCCATCACAGTTGCCAATGTGAAAAACAAAATAAAAGCTGTACATCTAAAAATGAAGCTGCTTTGATAGCTAGGACATCGACTGCTACCCGACGCTTGCAGACTTTCTCCTTGCAGCAGAGGAAAGGCTGAATGCTGACACAGTTGCGGCCTCCAAGGAACATCTGCAATGCCTTAACTTGAAACTGGCAACATATTTCCAAGAAATAAACACAGAGTGGACCAGAAATCCATCTGGGGACAAAACACACATTAAACGTGTTTCTTCCAAGCTCCCACCACAACAGGTTGACGGCTTTGTGGATGTTGCATCAGATGTAGACCTGGAGGCAGCTTTCAGAAAGAAAAGTTTGACTGACTTTTGGATCCACATCCATCCAGAGCATCCTGAGTTGGCTGACTCTGCTTTAAGAGTGTCGATGCCCATCCCAACTCATATTTTATATTTGTGCACACACACCTCAACCCACCCCTGGATAAGTCAGTGCCCCTAATCAGAAAAGTCTAGACACATCCTTGGGCTTCAAGTCACCTCATCTCCACCTCTTATCTTATGTCTGGGTTAACCAAATGTTAGTTTGAGCACCGTATCCGTTATGGCGACTGACGTTTTTGGGTTTCAAAACTCCACCAATGAGTTTTACAGTAAGTGATGTTGAAAGGTTAATCAACCCCAGTTTAGACCCATTGATTGTCATTTTTCCTCAAAAATATATATACCTCACATTTACTCAAACCTACACAAAATCCAAACTAAAAACAAACTTCACTCTACGAGCAGCAACAGAGCATTAGGTCTCTACACACCGCTGACTTAAATCCCTCTAAACCTCTTTATCATACCTATGGAGGCAGATTATGATCTGTTTCAGTGATTTAATCCCAGTCCAGACAGAGTTTTACCTGAGATTCATAAGGCAGAAAGGCGATGTGGATCTCAGTCAAGGCCTTCATGGCTTTGGAGGCGCGAGATTTGGTCAACAGTCCAAACAACATGTCAGGAATCGCTGCAGACATGGAGAGATAGAGAAAGAGAGTGTGAAAAATAGGAAAAAAGTTTGGTTGGTTTTATTAAGGATGGATGTTATTTTCTTAAATTAACCATGTTTTAAGTAAAGTAAGATTTTTAGAAAGGCTTTTCTTTTATAAAACAACAAATGGCACACATAGAGATCAACCACTTTAGTCATAAGGAATACAACATGCTGCAGAATTTTAGTTTTCAATTCTTATAGGAGAGTTGACTTTGAACGTAGTAGCCTATCTTTCTTTGCAGGGCTGCCCAGGGTAAAAGAGGGGTGTACCATGCACCTATCAGTGCATAACAAGAAGATATTCAAATTCAACAACTGTTATTAAAAAGGACGATATGTAAGCAGCTCAGTTTACTTTGTCTGATATTGATTTAACAAAGAACTCTGAATTCTTAACTTTGACCTCTTGCAGTTCAAATGTTTGTGGAGGAAGTTTGAACTACATGGTGTTTCAAATGATCGAAACCACCATGTTAAGGTCACCGAGGTCCGCCAGCTTCCAATGTCTTTGGTTTTAGATAGTTTTTAACAATTTTTCTTTCCATGCATACGAGTCATACCATGGACTGTATATACTATGGACAACTTGGTTCCGCCTTCCGCCAGTATACGGATTTGAAGCTCTCGGTATTTCCGCGATTTTTCTCCATTTCTTGAAACCAACATTGCGCAGTAGCGTTGTACGCATTCGGCAGGAGAGTCGCTGTGATGACGCTCGGCTCAAACAGTGTATCCCCCGGATGAGCTACACAATCTTCGTATGCCAATAGGCTGTATCAAGTGTCAATCATAGAAAACATGAACCTCCTAATAACTTTTAAAAATGGAGCTTTACAGAAAAAAGAGGACTTGAGCACAAACCAGTCTTACAATAACTACATGTCAACATCCCATGCAGGGGGGAGAAAAATTTATATTCTTTGGAATAAATTGGAATTGGGATTGGGATTTGCTGGAGGAGGCGGGATTCATGACCTATACTATGGTGTCCATTCTATATACAGTCTATAAGTTATAACTTAAATGTATTGAAATTTATCTTTGAGTAAACTTGGGGTATTAGTTGAATATCTCATAGCCGGGCCGAGTGTCCTGGTTTAGGGTCATCAAATTATGGTCACCCTTTTACATTTTATTTCAGGCGGGGAGTCAAACTCTGCAGCACATCATAGAGCTGATTTTATGCATCTCAGAGGAGTGAGAAAATGTTCCAGTTATATTTGCTGGTGTGTGATGGATGTACTCACTGTCAGTGAAGAAGACGTGAGCTGCTCGGTATCTGGGATTTTGTGGGTCCCTGAAGTCGTCAATAAGACCTTCAACAGACTGAGATAAGGAGAGAAAAAAGTTCATAACTGTGAATGTGCAAGGAAACAACAGTTTAATTATTTTTCAGTATTACAAATATTTGTGGATAGAAATGCTCTATCAAAACATGTTAAAACTGGTAAATGTTATCAATTTAACTCTATAAACATGTAAAATGTGGTAAAATGAAAATAGCAAATATGTATGTGTTAAAATGCAGATGGTACAGGAGCTAAAGGGATTTACCTCATCTGAGGGAGTGATCAGGTAGATGGCCTCCATGCTCGGCAAGGGCTCGCGCCGTTTGTTGATGTCTTCTACAACTGGAGAGCAGAATCAGACAGTAGTGACCATTTATAAAACCAGCAGTATTTATAATTGGACCAAAATTTTCCCCAGATTAGCTTTTACGAAACTTATCTGCACATTCTCTTCAAAAAGATACTGACTTGTCTTAACCACAAAACTCTACTAGGCTGCAAACACTTTTTCTGTCTCTTAAGATTTATTTTTTTCCACCTTCTTATACCATCATAAGGGAGGGTAGGAAAAGGAAAAGATAAAGCAGTAAACTGGGGAATAGAGCAGGAAGTGACCTGCATGAAACTGGATGCTGCTGGGCTTTATTAATCCCTATGAGGAAAATTAGTTTGTCTGGAGACTCAAGTTATGCACTATTTACAGAAGAATTAAGAGTCTGATGGCTGTAGGTACAAAAGATCTTCTGAATCACTCTGTCCTGCAGTGAAGTGAGAGGAGCCGTCCACAACCGTTGACCCTTTGGTGTTAGAAGTCGGTGTCACTTGTGGAGCCCCTGTCCTGCTTATTAATGTCCCAGAAACACAGTTTGCCTTGACTGAGGCTCAAAATCAAATCAGCCACTCCAGGGTTTTCAGGAAGTGTGAAATAAGTGCCACTGGGCTGTAGTCATTGAGTTCAGCTGCACATTTGACATACGTACATTTCCCCTCTGTATCTCAGAGCATAGGTTTTACAGTGCACCAGTAAAAAGTGCCTCCTCTTTAAGTTCTTCACCTATTTATGTGCAGATGTGGGCTCTGCTATGATGAGAGAGCAGCAAGGGGATGCTAACAGCTCATGTCCACAATCAGATGCAACACAAGCACTTAATGCAGTATGAATATCCTTTGCATTTAACCAACTATAAATGTTCAGCTGAGGAGACCAGTGGTGAGCTGTGTGGTTGTACTCACTGGTGATTCCCTCTGACATGATATCCGTCATCTTACAGCAAGAGGACACCATCCTCATACTCAGCTTGTCCACTACCAGCACCTAATAACACATATAGAGCAATTTTAAATGATCAGGGTTGAGATTAAAGTGGAAAAATGACAAACTTATCAGAACATTAGGACACTTACCTTCCATTTTCCTTTCTCTCTTGCCTTCTTGATGACATTATTCATGATCTCTGTGGAGAAGAAAAAATGTACATTTGTATCAGGAAACCAAAAAAATACTTTGTTTTCATCAAATAATCATAATTTTTATCAATAGGAGTTTGTTGTTTTGATTCAGCCCCATGATTAACTTTGATTCTCGGTCTAACCACTGAATTATATTAATGTTTGACAATCATCATGATAGAGAAGATAATCCATGAACCTTTACATTTTAATAAATTCCTTATATGTTGGTCCTTACAATTATATAAAAAATAAACTATCAGTTCACTAAAAGCTCCCAGTTTTCTGAAAATACTAGCATTTTTTAGGTGGGATCAATGATGTCTATAAGGCTGAAAAGATTTCAAGTAACTTGATTATAAAGATTCAAAGCAGCTAATGGTAAAGTGCACTGCATGGATGGATATTCCTGTGGCACAATGTGCTTGTTTTCACTGATGCTGTAATGTAGGTCTAAGGCAACAACCACAGAATTATGGAGGATAAGAACAAGAAAAATAGAGACATAAAGAAAAACCGGACACCTCAACTGAAATTACGGAACATGTCCAAAGTGTGGGATCACAACAAGTTAAAATGAAAAGAAAAGAAAATCCGATGCAATGTGTCAAATATTTATCCAGTCTAGTGTTTCCCACACATCATGTTGACTGTTTTGAAATGTAATATATGGCAAGCAGGAGTTGATCTGATAGTTACTGGTTTGTTGCCACCATGTTGCCACCTACCATAACAGAGACAGACTTACATCAGACAACAATTAGATTCTTGCCTGGTCAACTGGGACAAGGACAGTAGTCCAGCTAAATTGTCTAATTGAGCTTTAACTATAGCTTGACTTAACTGTACATGTAAATGTACTGAGTGACTTATCCAACATGTGTGCAAAAGATTATACAAGACAAGTAACACTTCAAACCTTGCCAAGCACCTCGATTACAGACACTCAAAACTCTCCAGGGAGTACAAAACATGAGAGGTTATCATGTAAGCTAACGGGCTAACCTGCTAGAAGGATTTTGATTAGTTGTTAAATTGCATTGTATGTGATTTGTAGTGTTTTCATAGTGTAACAGACTCACCCTGCATTTTAGATAACATGACAAACCTTTGAAAACACGTGTGTGAGTTTACATCGACAAATTGACAAACCACATGTGCTAACTTAGCTCGACACTTTTTGTACTATAGTGGCTCTGTATGCAGCTAGGAAAATCGTCTCATTTTTATAAAAACTTTGCAAAATTATGTTCTCAGATAAATACAAGTAAATGTAACAGGTTGCTTTAGAAACCTTTAAAAAGAACTGGCCTAGGGGTTGTATCTTGGGTTGTCAGTTTATGGAAATATTATTATACACCCGCAGGTTTGTACTGTATGTCTGGCCTATGATATATTACTAGGGATTTAAAGGCATAAATCATTTCAAGAAAGCTTGACCCTTGAATATATCATTATTTACGTTGCATAACTTAAGGGAATGTTCTCCAAGTATTCCTTAAAAACATAATTTTAAGGTATGTCAAAGCAGTTTCTAAAAGATAATCTAAAACCCAATGGAAAAGATCAAAATGAAACCAGAGCCCTAATAATAAACAAACAAAAAAACACACAATAGGCTATAGTAATCAAACATGCATGCAATCTGATGTCCCACTGACTGAGTGAATCCTTTACATAACAGCAGAGACACAGAGGTACAAAGGGACAGACATCCTTAAGAGGAAACATGTCACGAAGAGCAGCAAATTAAATCATTTGCTCTCTATTGTGAATCAAATTTATCTCACAGGGTCCCTCATGTTGACGTCCCAGTTTCTCTCTGTGGAGATTTAAAGCGACTGCCTTGCATGTCACAGTGAATGTGAAGGGACTCAGTGTGGGAGGGGAGGGGGGCGGGGCTGCAGCAATCACTGTCTCTAATCTGCTCCCAATCCTCTTATCCCATCCACCACACCCCAACACTATTTCTGGGACATTTCTGTGTCAGCGGATGTTACGTCACAGGGGAGCAGCTTCATTCACAGGCTTGCACACAGAGACAGAGAGAGAGAGAGAAGTAAGCACACAGACGAGCTCTCATCCCACAAGATAAGTCATGTCCTGTTTCCACAGAAGGTGTAGGGGGACATTTCATTTTACATCTATTTTCTAAGACTGTGACAACATAAGCTCACCTCATGATTAGAAACTTAGCATACATGTAGTATAAACACCAAACTTTTTAACTTTAAAAGAAGTCCTAATCACATGTACCATCCTTTCTCAAGAACAGACTTCTACTTTCCACACACCTTCACTGTTTTGATTAACTTTTAATCCTGTTCACTTACATTTGAAAGCACAGTTTTTTCCTCTGTCAATATGTAAATGGAGCTTTAGGCTTTTTAATTTTTATTTTATCGACTGATTCCCCATTGACGCTACCTACTGGTCTAAAATGCTTGTGGAAGTGTTCTTGACTATTTTAATGGTTGTCATGCAGACAAAGAAAATTTCAAAATCCATGCTGGTATGGAGAAGATTTTTGAAAATGAAGATATATAAATTGTTTTTAAAGATATCTGTACATAAGAGCCTAGTCCTGAACTTTCACTTATGTTTACTTATTCTGCATTTATTCTTAGGTATGAATAAATCTACAGGCCAACATTCAAAACCAAGCCAATACAAACTTGTAAAGTGATACTCAATGGTCTATTCTTGGAGCAACAGAAGGTGTTAATGTGCATAAATCTAATTTTATATCCTCAGAGCAGACAAATCTGTGTGCTCTTGTAGAGGACCAGAGCCCGTACTCACAAAGTCTTCTAGTCTACAAAGTTCTAAGAACAGTCTTAGAATCGTGATGATTTCTAAGATTTTTTCTTAAAAGTTAAGATCAGATCTTTGAAAAGATAAAAGTTATTCACAAACCATTTCTGCCCATAAGAGAGCTCTTAATATGAAATACTGTTAGAGAGACAAAGGGCCACTTCTAAGAGGCTTACAGGTTTCTTGAGCAGAGAAGGAAATTGTATAAAGACAGTGAAATAGGACAAAACCACTCCAAACTGCACTTATGTACAAACTGACACAAAAACGCTGATCAGGAGAATAGTTATGGGCTATTTGGCTTCTTTAAAAACTCAACAACTTCACTTGTGATCTTTCTCTCCTGACACATGAACTGCACATAAAAAAAGTGCAGAGAAACATTGACAACCAAATGCTGCTCACTTTTCTTAAAACAATAAAAAACTGCAGTATGTAAAGGTTTATAAATAACATGAGATGTCACATTGCAGTAAGTGCATGTAATTAAAGAGACAAACCAACATCTCAGCCTCACAAGGACAGATCGCACAATTTGCTGCTCGGGTATAGTAGACCCGCATGTGGGAAAAACTGCTTTAATAATCAGCATTTAAAGAGTACAGTGAATTTTGAATGTATTTTCAAATATTTTGTAAACTGCACACTTTTCGAGATTATACCACAAAATTTTCATTATTTACATGTAGAATTGAAATTAACCATTTGACAAGCTCTGACGACGATGCCCGTTAATGAAGAGTAAGTTGTTTTATTTTCCACACATTTTCTCTCTTTGTTAAATCAGTCAATCACAGCTTTAAAAAAAAATGTGGCATATCCATAAACCATATATAGATTGGAAGTCATATTCCTCCTCGCTGGGTGAAGCTTCAGCGAGAACGATACCCCCTAGTGACTGGTTGCAGTAAAGGTCATAAACCCCACCTCCTCAAGCAAAACAAATGAAGCTGCAGGCAAACTCTCAGACCTGGATGCTGCAGTGATACACTATCATTGTTAGGCTGATTTCTGTTGAAGTTCTTGTTTTTCTGAAAAGGTTCTTTTTCTAAGTTATGCACTGTTATCCCCTCGATTTCTGTCTGTTATCAAACTAACAAACTATTTTTTTTTTTGCAGTAAAATATGCCAACAGACCCGCAGGGGTTAGATGATATTTCAGTTTTTATTGGTAGGTCATTTGTGTGTTTTGCATGAGCAACCACAGTCTACAGATGGCACTACGGTGTACGCATCACCATAGCTAGAGACCATAGCTATACATAAAGCTTTTTCGCTTAGTTTTCCTCTGTATAAGACCATCATCTATGATGTAGTGAAAAAAAAGTGAATGATCTCCCCCATAATGAAGTGTTTAAAGATCCTCTCTGCAGGTAATCATAGAGAAACGGGGGAGAAGGAGAGAGAAAGAGAGTCGTGGTGTGACTCTCCTGTAATGTGATGATTTAGGACATCTCATTTTAAATATTAAAGCTTCTCTTCCATTTTAACACTGCTGTGCAGCCAGCTGCTGTATTCTCAGTTTTGGATCATCCTTATCAACCCTTCTTCGCATACAAATCCCTTTATCCAATTACAAAATATTCCAAATGCAAATTATTAAATATGGTTGTATTTTCAAATGAACAGCATAAAAACAGACTGTAGGACAAACCACTAAAAGACACCTCAATCCTAAACACTGGAACTTTTATTCGTTAGAATCAACAGTTTTCTGACTATTGAGAGAAGTTTTTTGAAGTAGCTCTCTGGCGTTTTCTTTGGTTTTCTCTTAGGTCTTCAAAGTATGACTGTGAGTCTTTAAAGCTGCTGTGAGGAAATTTTTGTTAGTGTCAGTTTTAGCCTACTACCAATTATCTGGTCCATAAAAAATTACAACTCCTGACTATTTCATTTTCTTTCGGAGGCCATAAAGAGGCACCGGCATTGGATACAGCCTGTTTCCAAGACAATTAAAAACTCCTTAAGTGTCTTTAAAGTTTTATGTTGCAGCTGTGCCATGTCACAATTTAAACCCGAAAATCAACACACAGGTGTATAATAAGTAATAATGATAGTAGTCATAAACTCAAATGATAGGTTGAGAAAGAAATTATACTGATACTGATAAATTATAATTATCAGTGTTGTTCATCCACTTAAGTTAAGTGCTTCAGTTTGGCCATCTCCATCAAAAAAGTGTGGATCTGTGCCTTTCAGGTGTGCATGGATGATATGACCACACAATAGAATAAATGTGTAAACTAACCTGATATTAGTGGAAAACATATGGTAAAATAATGGGTTGATATATTTGATCTGATCAATGCATCCCCCTCATATAATGGCGATCTGTTTTTTTTTTTTTTTTTGCTAGTTATTCATCGAAATCATGAGAGATCTGACTCAGACCTGCCCCTGAAAGACTCAAGTGTTGACTTGGCCTCATGGGCAAAGACTTGTCTTGAACTCGCAAAAGTCACTTGTGTCTATCTAGGCTTTTTTCTCAAAATTTCAACAAATGGCTATAATGTTAAAACTGTAAGTGTAGTTTTTGGGGTTTGATTTTGTCAGGCTCCAAACTGAATTCAATAAAATGTAAGAAAACTGTCCTGTAGGGTTGATAAATTAGATAAATTAAGACCAATGTGTAAGGCCAGCAGGGCTGCTGTATCCCTCTATCAGAGCACACCATATTATTGTTACGTAACAGTTCCACCAGAGTTTGCCCTGATGTGACCGCGGTCTCTGGGACTAATCAGGTTCACAATCATGAAGTCTAATTCAGATTTCTGACTCTGGACTCCTGTGCTCAACTCCTCCTCGTTAGAGCTGTGTGTGCGATAGACAAACATGCAACAGAGTGGAAAATAAAACTACAGTCAAACCGTTTACAGTATGTTCGATACAGTTTTCCTTTTGTGTTCATTTCCTTCGGGCTGATCTTGATGAGTAAGAGAAATATTGTGACCTTATCTTTAACTGACAAAGTTTTAGTCTGTATTTTCTCATTATAAACATTTAGTGGGCTAGATTTTTCCACAAGGCAATCTGGTTTGGTTTAATACATTTTAGTAAGGAGCAACCTGACACTGTGTCGCCTGTCAACAAATTCAATAAAGAAGAAGACATAGTAAACAAAGAGCAACAAGGGCCACCTCTTTGTGTTTGGGTATCTGGCATTTGAGGTTCTGCCACTCACAAACGTTGGGTGTTTCCCACATTTAAGTGACATACACAACATGCCATGAATATATAACAACAGTAGGACCTTCCTTTATTCGGTCATAAGGATGTAGATTTGTCTTTCTGGTGGTTTATCCTAAGAAAACAAAATGCACTCTAAAAACACCAGGGTTGAAAAGGGAACGACTACTCATTGGGTTATTTTGACCCAGAATGTTAGGTTATTCAAATGACTCAATAACTCTTTATTAGTGATCCACAATATGAAAAATTTCAACCGATAACCGATCATTTTCTTCTTCTCATGGCCGATACCGATAGCCGATAAATTCATATTGTTATATTTATTACAATCTTCATATAATCTGCCGTTTGTGCAGAATGCAGCAATTGAAAACTGATATTTTTGTTGCTCTGGCCTATCTAGAACAACAAACAAAAGTTTTTGGCTCTTCAAATGTTTATTTTTTCCATGTCATCACAAAAATATGTGGTCATTTGCTATAAATAACAATAACAGAGCAAAAAGCAGAACTTCATTTGACCAAAACAGTGCATCCCCTGAACTGTTCAACAGAACTGTAAACTGTAAAGGAGCTATTATGAGAAGTTAGGATAAGCATGCTGACCGGACTAACATCTGACGTCCATATGTCTGTGGTAAAACTCACGTGTAGTCCGTTCTTGTCGATCAGGTTGTGAATGGATGTGGCGACAATATCATAGAGTGCAGGAAGGGACACATCCGAGAAGAAGCGGCGGTTTGGGAGAGTAAAACGTGGCTCCAAGTGTGCTATGAACTTACGAAAACCCGGGTTCTGAACGACGGAAAAAGTCGACCGCTATGAATTCCATCACTTTGTCGTTAATGGCTTTAGCCTTTTCGCTGTCTCTTGAGAGGCTTTTGCAGTTTTCAAGCGCCTGCTGAATGGGGACATCGATCCTCCGTAGTGTTGTTGTCTTAGCTTTAGTACCGCTAGCAGCTTCGGCAGCTGTCTCATAGTGTTTTAATACCGCTTCGCCGCGATGGCGACTTTTTTGAGCTATCAGATTCGTTGTGTTAAAGCTTGACGTCTTCTTTCGTCCTCTCGGAATCCTCGCTGAACAGGTTTTGCATGTAGCAATGCTGTTGTCATCTTCTGCCACTGAGAAAAACGACCATGCTGGTGAAGACCTTTTATTATCAGTCAGGCAGTGACGGGGTCAGGCTTGGGACCGGCGAGTAAGGCGCGACGGGCGGCTACTCCGCCTGCAAACGTTACTCGTAATTTCAATAATATATCGGATCTTTCTATCGGAAAAATGCACCTACCGATAAAAAAATGACGTAATTTCCCTCCAAATCGGCCGATATTCTATCGGTCCGATAAATATCGTGCATCCCTACTCTTTATAATGGTCAAGTTAACCCAATGTTCGAGTTACTTTGACTCATGATCTTGGGTAAAATTGATATGCATTTGGGGAGCTTTTCTTTTACAGCCTGTACCTTATTCTCCCATGTACTTTTATCTAACTGATTGTAGGCTAAAGCGCTAAGGGTCTCACCTAAGGACCCACACTGGTGGATGTAGTTCACTCCTTACATATGTGCCTCACATAGGATTTGAGCCCCGACCCCGTGGTTCAGAACTGGATGCTCTACCCGCTGAGCTACTCCAACTGCCGAAAGTAAAGCCACCAAGTAATTTTTAGAAACCACATAGAGTCAATTGAACCCAACATTCTGAACCAATTATTGGGTTACTCTCAGAAAAATTAATCCATAATTATTAACCCATTCAAAAAACCCTCAAACTGGGTTACACTCGAATCCATATGACCCAAGAAATGAGTATGGATCTGAAAAATAACCCATAAATTTAACTCAACACGTATAACCCAGAAATTGAGTTGAAGAAATAACCCAAGAGTTTTTAGAGTGTGTGTAGAATAAAGAAAATTGTCAAGTAATAGCTTGTTTTTTTCCCTTTGGTTAGCTTCTGAGAGTTGGTTTTTAATGTCTATATTTTGATATTTTTCCTGTCATGTCATTTCGATTCTTGACATATACCAACTTAGATATCGATTATCAAATGCAAGGGATGATATCATTCATTAATTCATTAATGCATCTGTTACTATACTTTATTCTTATAATTCAAACTCCAATCTTGACTGTTTTTCTCTATAAATGCGTAATGACATTGACGGTTAGACTGTCATGAGATAAAATATCACTAACTTGTGTTTCCACCTATAGAAAAACAAATGATGAGTTTATGAAATGTTCCTTTAGCCCACTGTGAACTGGTGGAGATGTACAGCATAAAGAAACACTTGTTTGTCCCGCTCCTCTTCCTCTGAGGATGATGTCAAAGCGCTTAATCCGCAGACTGAAGATTAGTGAGGCAGATTTACCCTAAACCAAACCAGGACTCCTGCCTCTCACAGACCGACACAAAAAAAGGAAAAAACGGACCAATAATCAAGTGACAATTATTTAAAAAATGGTCCAAAGATACATACGGAACTTTATATTTGTACAATTAATCATAATGTGATTAAAATCAGTGGGAATAACCGTGTGGAGAAAAGCATGGCTTGGATGTGTGAGTGCATCTTTGGCGCACAGAGTTCCCCGATTTGAGTGTCTCCTAGAACTTGATTAATACTTGAAATAATCAAAAAAGTTAAAATAGCCACAAAATGCTGATATATCACAGTAAAGGTTGGATTTGGATATGTTTCGACATGCCTCTACACAGTTTTTCATGTCTCTGGAGCAGTAACTTCAACAAACCAGCTGGAAACATGTCAGTAAAACAAAAATAAAGGTATCTCTATCAACTGAAATAAAAACTTCTTACTTTCTCCAACAATTGCTTTTAGTCCCAGCGGTGCCATGATGAGCCCTCTGCTGCGTGTCCACCTTCAACCACGAAACTGACCGAGAAACAGATATTATCAAGCTCATTTAATACAGACGACTGTTTCCGGAAACGTAACTACAAAATAAAAGTCTTCAGTCAGGCATGAAAGCCTCCTGTGACTTTACAAGATGAATACTACTACTACTACTACTACTTTCAATAATAATAGTTATAATAATGGTGATGATGGTATTGGTAGTAATAATAATAATAATAATAATAATGAAAAATAAAACAAGGTCCAGACCTCGACTCAATTGTCTAATCATGAACTAATATTGCACAACCAGCCACACATATGCAGGTAATTATTCCTTCTTGCTGCACATACACAGCCTTCTGATAAAAACAGAAGGTTAAAAACGCTAAATACACCTCAAATACAAAAAATGAAAAACTTCATACACAAAAATAAAGAAATAAAATATTTTAAAAATGCGTGTTTCATGGAAATTTAACACTACGGAATGATGTTTTTTGAGTCTTATTTAGCTTATAGAACTCTTTTCCCCATCTGCTCAAAAATGAAACTGCAGGTAGGGCTGGACTTTTCATTGACCATGTGGGTGGATAAGTTGTGTGGGCAAAGTGTGTCATCATAGCCACTATGTTTTCTGCACTTGAAGTAGACGGCACCTTGATAGCTCAGTTGGTAGAGCAGAGGACTGTAGGCAGTTCCTCAAATGAAGTGTTGTCATTCCAAAGTCGCTGTTTCAACTCCTTCCCCAAGCAAGCCTTATCTTACTCTGTCAGCTCCTCCAAAATGTAAAAACACAAAAAAGAGAACTCCTACTTTATTTTCCAACCATCAATTTTTTATTCACCCAGCCTAAAAGTCCTGATTATCAGTTCTGGGTCCCTGGCAATGACTGTTAGGTACAAACTGTGAAGCTCTGCTCTGGAGGTAGGGCTGGGATTTTCATTGACCCTGTAGGTGGATTAGTTGTGTGGGCAAAGTGTGTCATCATAGCCACTATGTTTTCTGCACTTGAAGTGGACAGCGCCTTGATAGCTCAGTTGGTAGAGCAGAGGACTGTAGGCAGTTACTCATATGAAGTGCTGTCAATCAAAGGTCGCTGGCTCAACTCCTGCTCGAAGCAACTTCATTTCGTTAGTGTGATTTATGTTCTGGGTCTAATCACATTGAAATAATGCCAAGCCTTGACTTCATCTGTCAGCTCCTGCAAAATGTAAAAACACAAATAAGAGAACTCCTACTTTATTTTCCAACCATCAATTTTTTTATTCACCCAGCCTAAAAGTCCTGATTATCAGTTCTGGGTCCCTGGCAATGACTGTTGGGTACAAACTGAGAAGCTGTGCTCTGAAGGTAGGGCTGGGCTTTTCACTGACCATGTAGATGGATTAGTTGTGTGGGCAAAGTGTGTCACCCTAGCCACTATGTTTTCTGCACTTGGATTAGATAGCACCTTGATAGCTCAGTTGGTAGAGCAGAGAACTGTAGGCAGTTCCTCATATGAAGTGCTGTCATTGGAAGGTCGCTCGTTCAACTCCCGCTCAAGCAAGCCTTGTCTTCATCTGCCAGCTCCTCCAAAATTTAAAAACACAAACAAGAGAACTCCTACTTTATTTTCCAACCATCAATTTTTTATTCACCCAGCCTAAAAGACCTGATTATCAGTTCTGGGTCCCTGGCAATGACAGTTGGGTACAAACTGAGAAGCTGTGCTCTGAAGGTAGGGCTGGGCTTTTCACTGACCATGTAGGTGGATTAGTTGTGTGGGCAAAGTGTGTCACCCTAGCCACTATGTTTTCTGCCCTTGGATTAGACAGCACCTTGATAGCTCAGTTGGTAGAGCAGAGGACTGTAGGCAGTTCCTCATATGAAGTGCTGCCAATCCAAGGTCGCTGGTTCAACTCCTGCTGGAGTTGGAGTTGAACCAGCGACCTTTTGACCAAAGCGTTTCTTGAACTTCGTAAAGTCATGTGCTCTACCAACTGAGCTATGAAGGTGCTTAAAGATACAAACGCAGAAAACATAGTGGCTTCGGTGACACACTTTGCCAACATTACTATTGAACACACATGGTCAATGAAAAAGGTTCAACGGTGCATACAGGAATGAAATCTGGTGTTTGGAGCAGGAGTTGAACCAGCGACCTTTGGACCACAGCATTTCAGGAACTTCTTAAAGTCCTCTGCTCTACCAACTGAGCTATGAAGGTGCATATATACACAAACGCAGAAAACATAGTGGCTTCAGTGACACACTTTGACACCAATGCAATTGGACCCACATGGTCAGTGAAAAAGGTTGAACAGTGCATACAGGAATGAAATCCGGTGTATGGAGCAGGAGTTGAACCAGCGACTTTTGGACCACAGCGTTTCTTGAACTTCTTAAAGTCATGTGCTTTACCAACTGAGCTATGAAGGTGCTTATAGATACAAACGCAGACAACATAGTGGCTTCTGCGACAGACTTTGCCAACACAACAATCAAGCCACCTGGTCATTGAAAAAGGTTGAACAGTGCAAATACCAATGAAATCTGGTGTTTGGAGCTGGAGTTGAACCAGCGACCTTTGGACCACAGCGTTTCAGAAACTTCTTACAGTCCTCTGCTCTACCAACTGAGCTATGAAGGTGCTCATAGATACAAACGCAGACAACATAGTGGCTTCTGCGACAGACTTTGCCAACACAACAATCAAGCCACCTGGTCATTGAAAAAGGTTGAACAGTGCATACACCAATGAAATCTAGTGTATGGAGCAGGAGTTGAATCAGCGACCTTTGGACCACAGCTCGTCTTGAACTTCTTAAAGTCATGTGCTGTACCAACTGAGCTATGAAGGTGCTTATATACACAAACGCAGAAAACATAGTGGCTTCGGCGACACACTTTGACACCAATACAATTGGACCCACATGGTCAATGAAAAAGGTTGAACAGTGAATACACCAATGAAATCTGGTGTTTGGAGCTGGAGTTGAACCAGCGACCTTTGGACCACAGCATTTCTTGAACATTTTACAGTCCTCTGCTCTACCAACTGAGCTATGAAGGTGCTTATAGACACAAACGCAGAAAACATAGTGGCTTCGGTGACACACTTTGCCAACATAACAATCAAGCCACCTGGTCAATGAAAAAGGTTGAAGAGTGCATACAGGAATGAAATCTGGTGTTTGGAGCTGGAGTTGAACCAGCCCTTCGGACCACAGCGTTTCAGGAACTTCTTACAGTCCTCTGCTCTACCAACTGAGCTATGAAGGTGCTTATAGACAGAAACGCAGAAAACATAGTGGCTTCGGCGACACACTTTTCCAACGTAACTATTGGACCCACATGGTCAATGAAAAAGGTTGAACAGTGCATACAGGAATGAAATCTGGTGTTTGGAGCTGGAGTTGAACCAGCCCTTCGGACCACAGCGTTTCAGGAACTTCTTACAGTCCTCTGCTCTACCAACTGAGCTATGAAGGTGCTTATAGACAGAAACGCAGAAAACATAGTGGCTTCGGCGCCACACTTTTCCAACGTAACTATTGGACCCACATGGTCACTGAAATATGTTGAACAGTGCATACACCAATGAAATCTGGTGTTTGGAGCAGGAGTTGAACCAGCGACCTTTGGACCACAGCGTTTCAGGAACTTCTTAAAGTCCTCTGCTCTACCAACTGAGCTATGAAGGTGCTTATATACACAAACGCAGAAAACTAAGTGGCTTCGGCGACACACTTTGCCTACACAACAATCAAGCCACCTGGTCAATGAAAAAGGTTGACCAGTGCATACAGGGATGAAATCTGGTCTTTGGAGCTTGAGTTGAACCAGCGACCTTTGGACCACAGCATTTCAGGAAGTTCTTAAAGTCCTCTGCTCTACCAACTGAGCTATGAAGGTGCTTATATACACAAACGCAGAAAACTTAGTGGCTTCGGCGACATACTTTGACACCAACAATTGGAGCTATGAAGGTGCTTATATACACAAACGCAGAAAACATAGTGGCTTCGGCGACACACTTTGCCAACATAACAATCAAGCCACCCGGTCAATGAAAAGGGTTGAACAGTGCATATACCAATGAAATCTGGTGTTTGGAGCTGGAGTTGAACCAGCGATCTTTGGACCACAGCTCGTCTTGAACTTCTTAAAGTCATGTGCTCTACCAACTGAGCTATGAAGGTGCTTTTATACACAAACGCAGAAAACATAGTGGCTTCGGCGACACACTTTGCCAACATAACAATCAACCCACCTGGTCAATGAAAAAGGTTGAACAGTGCATACAGCAATGAAATCTGGTGTTTGGAGCAGGAGTTGAACCAGTGACCTTTGGACCACAGCGTTTCAGGAACTTCTTACAGTCCTCTGCTCTACCAAGTGAGCTATGAAGGTGCTTATAGATGCAAATGCAGAAAACATAGTGGCTTCGGCGACACACTTTGCCAACATAACTATTGGACGCACATGGTCGATGAAAAAGGTTGAACAGTGCATACAACAATGAAATCTAGTGTTTGGAGCAGGAGTTGAACCAGCGACCTTTGGACCACAGCTTGTCTTGAACTTCTTTAAGTCATGTGCTCTACCAACTGAGCTATGAAGGTGCTTATAGATACAAACGCAGAAAACATAGTGGCTTCCGCGACACACTTTGCCAACATAACAATCAAGCCACCCGGTCAATGAAAAAGGTTTAACAGTGCATACATGAATGAAATCTGGTGTTTGGAGTTGGAGTTGAACCAGCCTTTCAGAGCACAGCGTTTCAGGAACTTCTTACAGTCCTCTGCTCTACCAACTGAGCTATGAAGGTGCTTATAGACACAAACGCAGAAAACATAGTGGCTTCGGCGACACACTTTGCCAACATAACTATTGGACCCACATGGTCGATTAAAAAGGTTGAACAGTGCATAGACCAATCAAATCTGGTGTTTGGAGCAGGAGTTGAACCAGCGACCTTTGGACCACAGCGTTTCAGGAACTTCTTAAAGTAATGTGCTCTACCAAGCGAGATATGAAGGTGCTTATAGACACAAACGCAGAAAACATAGTGGCTTCGGCGACACACTTTGCCAACATTACTATTGAAAACACATGGTCAATGAAAATGGTTGAACAGTGCATACAGGGATGAAATCTGGTGTTTGGAGCAGGAGTTGAACCAGCTACCTTTGGACCACAGCGTTCGAGGAACTTCTTAAAGTCCACTGCTCTACCAACTGAGCTATGAAGGTGCTTATGTACACAAACGCAGAAAACTTAGTGGCTTCGGCGACACACTTTGACACCAATACAATTGGACCCACATGGTCAATGAAAAAGGTTGAACAGTGCATACACCAATGAAATCTGGTGTATGGAGCAGGAGTTGAACCAGCGACCTTTGGACCACAGCATTTCAGGAACTTCTTAAATTCATGTTCTCTACCAACTGAGCTATGAAGGTGCTTATAGATACAAACGCAGAAAACATAGTGGCTTCGGCGAACACACTTTGCCAACACAACAATCAAGCAACCTGGTCAATGAAAATGGTTGAACAGTGCATACACCAATGAAATCTAGTGTTTGGAGCTGGAGTTGAACCAGCGAACTTCGGACCACAGCGTTTCAGGAACTTCTTACAGTACTCTGCTCTACCAACTGAGCTATGAAGGTGCTTATATACACAAACGCAGAAAACATAGTGGCTTCGGCGACACACTTTGCCAACATAACAATCAAGCCACCCGGTCGATGAAAAAGGTTGAACAGTGTATAGAGGAATGAAATCTGGTGTTTGGAGCAGGAGTTGAACCACCGACCTTTGGACCAAAGCGTTTCTTGAACTTCTTAAAGTCATGTGCTCTACCAACTGAGCTACGAAGGTGCTTATAGATACAAACGCAGAAAACATAGTGGCTTTGGCGACACACTTTGCCAACA